AGGGGGGGGGGGGGGGGTGCCCTGTGCATGTCCAATTATTCCCTCTTCTTTTTCTAAACTAACAATCTGTACGGATTGTTGTCGGGATCTTTCCTGCTGCAATCATGACGCGCTGTGGCAAAGGATCCCCCGCCGCCCTGGTTTACCTCACACAAGTTCCCATCTGGCTGGTCTTTTGTCAGCCTCAACTACGCATACTGCCTTGCTGCATGCCACCCAGGTGGTAAGCCTGTCCTTCAGCTTTAGCAAAGAGACCGCCAAGGTTCCATGTCTGGCTGCGTGCATCGATTTGCCGGTGCAGGCTGGCTGATCAGCCGTGGTGGGTTCCTCGGAGCCAGCCCGTGTCCCTAAAAAAAAAAAATCCTAAAATACTCGCTAGCTACATAGCTACTCCGTAATAATAGTGAGAATAAGAACCAAGATAAGCTCAATGCATCTAACCTACTTTTTGCTGGAGCCCATCGATCTTGCTGCCCTCCTCTTCTCCAGCAGGCGGGTTCTTTAGCGCGGGCAATCAGATGGTTAGCCATGGCGTGACGGCAAGGACAAAAGTTCCAGCTTTATCACGAGGAAATGGAGCTCAAGCATCCGTAGAAGCAGATGTGTCTTTAGTCTTTATGCGTTCATGACGGAAAATAACTGGCACATTGCGAAATGAGTGGCATGCACCTGGTAACTACGGAGTACTACAAGACACTACTCACTCCATAGTGTCGGAGCACTCGACTCGACTCGACCCCAGATCCAAAACTCTCACTATAACTAGCCACTATTCACTTAGTTGCTCAACAAAACAAGTACATAACTGCCAGCAAAACATTCCTTTCATGTACTATGTATTATGGGATGTAATAAGAGTGCCACAAAGCACAAAGTCCCCCCGAAAAAATAAAAATAAAAATAAAAATAAAAATAAAAAAGACCCCTTGGCAACCAGGTTATCCGGGCGCCCGCTCGCTTGTCTAGGGGCTCGGCAAGCAACCAGCAAGCCCAGTCTACTCCGTCCAGCCTACTACACCCACTGAGGAAGCTCAAGTCCGAGATCTCTTTTGTTTTTGCCTTCAGCGCATTCCCCCACTACCAGGTATTTAATTGCAAGCCCTCTTTTCAGCCACAGTGAGTCCCCGCGATCTTGGCGTTGCACAACCGTCCGTCCAGCTTTAGGGGGGGAGGTACAGATTAGCTGGATACATGGATGGTTCACCTACCTCATGACCAACCAGCCGTGGTAGCACAGCCCAGCCCTTGCCAATATTTTTTTTTAGACTTTACTATATGATGCTCTGACTTCCCGTCCTGTCTTTCCCGTCGAAAAAAGCAACCCCAGAATTCTCCTTGTCTTGAACAATCCCAACCCTGGGCTCAACAGTTGGTTCTCTTCCGCCTTTTGGAGAGCCAGGATAAGCAAGGGACAAGCAAGGACAGACTCAGCAAGGACAGACTCAGCAAGGACAGACAAGCAAACCAGCCAGCCAGCCAGCCAGTCCAATTGGCCCCATCATGGCGCGATCGGTAAATGAACCGCGCGAGATTCGCTCTCAGGATCCCAACAATGGCGGTGTTCTGAGTGAGAAGCACGACGCCGCGGCTGACGTGGTAAGTCTTTGCTCTCAGTTCAGTCCTTCTTCTGGCTGTCCATCTGCATCTACGACTAACCCGTCACCCCTTGCGCCTTAGCATTATGACGAGGAAGACTTGCACCGCACCCAAACATTGGAAGGGTATGTTGTAGTTGTTGGTCTTGTTTCAGATTTGGAGATGCTTGTGATATTGACAGCTTTACTTCCCACAGCCATCTCAATGCCACTGAAGATGACATCCTGGAAGCCAAGGAGGTTGCAGCCTCCATGTCCCTCGAGACAGTGCAAAAGGTAAGTAGTCGGTCAATTACCAGCTCACGAGCCAACCATTCCATCATCACACACTAACATTTTGGTAGATGATGAGAAATGTCGTCCTCATCCACGATGGTGACCCCAACTTTCCCTTTGTCACTCTCCAAAAGATCAAGGAGTTTCTCGGTAAGCCCCCCGATCCAGCCAACGTAGACGGACAGACAGACCAGACAGACAGACAGACAGACAGACAGACAGACAGACACCTTGTACTAACCAACTCGGCATCACAGGCAAGGAGGACATTGCCGATAACCCGGAAAAGCACGAGCACCTGATCCAGGAAATGAAGCTCGAGGCTGCCCTCATCACCAACAACAGCCCCTACGCCGAGGTCCGAGCCGCCGTTGACAACCACGACAATCCGTCCCTCCCCGTTTCCACTATCCGGGCCTGGACCATCGGCATAATCTTCTCCGTCTTCCTCGCCTTCGTCAACCAGCTCTTCAGCATCCGCTACCCCTCCATCCGGTTCGACACCAACGTCGCCCAGCTGCTCGCCTACCCCGTCGGCAAGGCCTGGGAGCGCTGGATGCCCAACGCCGACATCCCGCTGCCCTTCTCCGGCGGCCGCACCATCCCGCTCAACCCCGGCCGCTTCAACAAGAAGGAGCACATGCTCATCGCCATCATGGCCAACACCTCCCGCAGCACCCCCTACACGGCCTACATCATGTGGGTGCAGGTCCTCCCGCAGTACTTTAACCAGCAGTACGCCCGGTCCTTTGGCTACATGTTCTGCAACGCCTTCGCGACCAACTTCATCGGCTACGGCTTGGCTGGGCTGACGCGCAAGTTCCTCGTCTACCCGTCGTACTGCGTCTGGCCCTCGTCGCTCGTCACCATCTCGCTCAACTCGGCGCTCCACAACGAGGAGAACCACAGCGTGCCGGGCCCGTTCAAGAAGATGTGGAACATTTCGCGCTACAACTTCTTCCTCGTCACCTTTGGCGCCATGTTTGTGTACTTTTGGTTCCCCAACTACATCTTCTCCGTGCTCTCCTACTTTAGCTGGATGACCTGGATCGCGCCCAACAACCTGAACCTTGAGATCTGGACGGGCATGAAGAACGGACTGGGTCTCTTCAACCCGGTGCCGACCTTTGACTGGAACATCATCTGCTTCACCACCGACCCGCTGATGATTCCTTCCTTCTCGACCTTCAACGCCGTCGGTGGCATGTTCATCACAGGCTTCCTCATTGCTGCCGTCTGGTACACCAACACGTGGAACACCGGCTACCTGCCCATCATCTCCAACCGCATCTACGACCACTACGGCAAGCTCTACAACGTCTCGCGCACGCTCGACTCGCACGGCATGTACGACGAGGCCAAGTACAAGGCGTACTCGGCCCCGTACATGGGCGCCGCCCAGTCGCTCGCCTACGGCTTCTTCTTCGCCGTCTACGCGGCCATCGTCACCCACGTGCTGCTCTACCACCGGTACGAGATCGTCATGGGCTTCAAGAACCTCTGGCAGGGCCTGAAGTGGAAGAAGCGCGGGGCCGCCGCCGCCAGCAGCAGCAGCAGCACCGGTGCCGATGCCACCGTGGTCAGCGGGGCCGCCGACGACACCATCCGCGCCAACGAGGGCGAGTACCAGGACGTCCACAACCGGCTCATGGCCGCGTACCCCGAAGTCTCCGAGTGGTGGTACTTTGGCACGCTCCTCATCTCCATCGTCTTCGGCATCGTCGGCATCGCCGTCTGGCCCACCTACACCTCGGTCGGCGTCGTCTTCTACGGCATCCTGCTGTGCCTCATCTTCGTCGTCCCCGTCGGCATCGTCGCCGCCATGACCGGCATCGAGGTCACCCTCAACGTGCTCGCCGAGTTCATCGGCGGCATGATCGTCGAGGGCAACGCGCTCGCCATGAACTTTTTCAAGTCCTACGGCTACGTCACCTGCGCCCACGCCTTGTCCTTTGCCAACGACCTCAAGATTGCGCACTACGTCAAGATCCCGCCGCGCGTCACCTTTGCGGGCCAGCTGCTCGCCACCTTCATCTCGACGCTCGTCTGCACCGGCGTGCTCAAGTTCCAGATCGACCTCCGCGACGTCTGCCAGGAGAACGCGCCGATGCGCTTCCTCTGCCCCGGCCCCAACACCTTCTTCACCGCCTCGGTGCTCTGGGGCACCATCGGGCCGATCAAGGTCTTCGGCAAGGACGGCCAGTACCGCTGGCTGCTGATGGGCTTCCCCGCGGGCATCCTGCTGGTAGTCGCGTTCTGGGCGCTCAAGAAGGCGATGCCGAACAGCCGCGCCGTCCGCCAGGTGCACATCGTCGCGGCCATCGCCGGCTCCCTGCAGTGGGCGCCGTACAGCTTCTCCTTCGCCTGGGGCGCCGTCCCCGTCGCCTGGTTCTCCTGGATCTTCATCCGCGGCCGCTACCTCGCCTTCTGGTCCAAGTACAACTTCGTCCTCTCCGCCTCGCTGTCCGCGGCCATTGCCATCTCGGCCATCATCATGCTCTTCTCCGTCCAGTGGGTCGACAAGGAGATTGTCTGGTGGGGGAACACCCAGGTCTCGGTCGGCTGCGAGGCCAAGGCTTGCACCCTTCATCACCTCGCCAAGGGCGAGCGCTTCTACCCTTGGTGGGATAACTCCAAGGTTCCGGCTCCTTGAGTTGCTGTGCCTTTGGTGTCCGGGCTGATGAGCTTGATGTTTTCTTTCTCTTTTTTTTTTCTGGTTTTTTGCTGGTTGGGGAAATGAGATGACTGGAGATGAGGCGTGTTTTTTTTTTGGATGTTTTGATGCCGCATGTTGTCAACGATATCAGCCACCTAGTCCACATAATGGCATATATATATATATAAATTGTTACGAATGACGCTCATCAGTCACCTGTATATAACAGCTGAAACACATATAATGTATATAAATTGTTTTGGAATCCTGCTCAAGACATCCGCATGGTTGAAGCGGTTCTATTGCCAGTTCATCAGCGAAAACTCTCGCAACTTCTAGCGTTCAAAGCACTGTTCCACCAGTAACGCCCAAGCGGAAACAAAAGAAAACAACCCCTAATGGAAACAGTCGTCGAAATGCAGCCTTCTCTCTCTTTCAACTCCAACTCTCCGTAAAACCCCATGAATAGAAAGGTATATTCAGATTCGCCACGTCATGCTTATACTCCGTCTTCCGTAAACACCACACTTTACTCCTCCTTCTCCTTGGTCTCGTCCTCCTCCTCATCCTCCTCGATGGCCCAGTCCCGCCAGCCCTCGCCGCGGACCCAGCTGACGCCCTTTCGGAACGAGTTCTGCTGGATCGCCTTCGCGTCGCGCTCGTACACGACACCCGTAATCATCAGCGCCAGCACAAACACCCAGAGGTCGCCGCCCTTGGCCGCGCGCCACCATCTCCGCTTCACGCCCACCTTCCAGAGCGAGTTGACGCTCGCGCGGGCGCTGTACAGGAACGCCATGCGACCGCCGCGGCGCTCGATCCACGCCCACAGACCGGCCGCGAAGCCGCCGAGGAAGAAGCGCTGCGTCGCGAGCAGGTGCCGCGGCAGGTAGGTCTGGAAGAAGCAGATGGAAGCCCAGGCTGTGGACAGGGAGCCGGTGACGAAGGCAGTCATGCGCGCGGAGCGGGCGAGGATGCGCTGCAGGCCGGCGATGGGGTCGTGGTAGAAGCGCCGGAAGCCGGGCACGACGGTCACGGCCGAGTAGAAGAGCACGAAGAAGCGGGCGACGGGCGGGAAGGACCGCAGCCAAAAGGTGAGGTAGGTGCGCGTGCACGACGGGTCGGTCGGGTGCAGGGCGGCGCAGGAGAGCGAAGTGATGAGCGGGTGCGCTTGCGAGGTCAGCGGCGACACGGCCGTGACTGTGGGCGGGAGAATGTTCTTCTTGTTGGGGAACATGGTCGGCGAGATGAAGGCCCTATCATTCACGTCTTGTTAGCAACCCAAAAGTACTACGCATGCATACCCTTGTGGGAAGCGACTTACGGCCAGTTTAGTCGTGCCATCTCGGACAGGCTGGTAACGACATCTTCCCTGCTCGGCCACTTGAGGCCCGCCGGGTAGCCCTCCGGGCGGCCGTGCAGGTACACGGGCGAGTTGCCCCAGATGAACTTGCCATAGCTCTCCGGGAAGCAGTCCTTGTCGAAGACGGCGGCGTGGAGCAGCTGGCCAAAGGCGAGGGGCTGGAGCAGCCAGCTGCCAAACCACCAGGGCCGCTCGCGGGGGCGGCCCTGCTTGGTGGTGCCCCAGACGAGCCCCTCGCCCTCGGCCAGGTCCCAGCCGTACTCGAGCGCCTTGAAGAGCAGCCAGAGCGCGACGCCGGCGCGGGCGGGCGGCGACGGGTAGATGCCAAAGGCCAGGCCGGCGAAGGAGGCGCCGACAGCGGGGGCGTACGGCGACGTGAGGGCCGCGGCGGTGCGCGGGTTGCGCCGCCGGAACGGCTCGACCGAGGGCTCCAGCAGGTGCGCGCGGAGGCGTGTGAGGAAGCGGAAGAGCAGCCGGTAGAGGAAGAGGATGCTCGAGAGGGAGAGGGAGAGCCGCAGGGCGGGCGACTTGTAGAATGGTTGCTTCTTTGCGGGGGCGCTTCTATTTTTGTAGGAAAAAAAAAATCCTCACGATCAGTTCCATCCTCTCGAGAGGCCATTGATTGTAAGGGGGGGGGGCTCGCAGACTCACCCGTCTTTGGACAGCTTCTTGGCGACAAACTCGTAGCCCTTCATGCCGACCCAGGACGCCACAAAGACGCGCAGGGCGTGCCGGACGGCCTTTGCGTTGTAGTCGCTCGCGGCCGTGGCGGGCGTCGTGGCCAGGCTCTTCTCGACGGCGGCGGGCGTCGGCGCGTTGCGGCGCAGCGTCCGCGACCGGGCGATGATGTACTTGTGCAGCGCGGCGTACTCGCGCGGCGAGACGGTGTATCGCAGCGCGTTGCGCATGACGGGGTCGACGGTCGCTGCGGCCGACGAGACTCGTCGCGGACGGCCCGGTCCTCCCTCAGGCGGCGGCGCGGACATTGTTTCCATGTGCGTTTGCTCGGTTTCTTGTGCTTCGTCTCTTCAAACTCGCGTGGCCATTGGCGGGTGAGAGGTGAGAAAAACAAAAGGAACGACTTCGATATCGGAGCGTGGGTTGTCTGCGGGTTTGGACGGCGATTTGTAGCGTGGCTGACGGCGGATGCAAGATGACTTGTTGTGCTTATCCCGAGGCACAGGGAATCGGGGTGGAAGGCGGCCGTTGATCTTGCAGCACACGAGCCTAGTACCGGAGTCTCTTGATGGGTTGAAAATGAAGACGGCTCCGATTCAATGTCCGAGAAAACAATGAAGAAGATCTCGGGATGTCCAACTGGACGCAAGACTCTATGGCGGGGCGGGTTTGACCTCGCGATAACTTGGTGATAGCAAGGAAAGAGGGAAAACAAGGGCACTCCTCAAACGGGATTGGAATGTTGAAATCACAAGCGGCCCAAATGGAGAGCCTCGGCTTCAGCAAAGGGGCTAATAACTTAGCTTGTACGAGCGAGTAGTTAACTAGTAGTCCAGTTGTGGGGAGCTTGTCCGGGGGTGGACAATGGGTACCCGCTCCTGTGCAGCTCCATACTGACGCAGCCGTGTACACCTTGTCTTGAGTCTGACAAGCCAATGTCCATCTTCCATCCTCATCTTCTGCGGTCTATTGGTTTCGTCACTACAGGCGTCCCTTTTAAAAGTCATCACTATCATGATTCAACATTGAAAAAACTCGTCATCTCCCAGCTCATGTCCAGACCAGGCATTCATCAGCGTCTTCCTCCACTTGTCCGCCTTCTCTGGCCATGTTAACAAGGACAACCGCAAGCTGGAGTTACGGTTTTCGGGCCTCTTCACCTTGACCATTCCCAACGCCTTTGCCAGCCATCTCGTGCGCTCGGTGTCCGGCTGCTTGTCGTAAAAGATCACCATGTCCTTTTCAAGGGAGGAGGGGGGGCTCCGCAAGTCAACAGCAGCATCGTCTCAGCTCCCGTGAACATGCACTCTCTGGCCAAGACTTCCAGAGAAGTTTCCTCCACGTATATCAAGCAACCAGCGGCAAATACCTTTCGCAAGCCTCCCAGTATAGCAGTAAGTGTTCCGTACTTCCTCCCGGGTACCTATTCGGTTCCGCTCCATTGCCTAGTAGCAACCGCGCGATTTCGAGTCGCTCGCTTTTCCTATTTTCGTGCATCAGCACTCCCAGAATTCTCTCTTCCGACCAATTTTATGGCTCGATTTCCCCATCTGCGTCCATCAGCATTCTCATAAATCTCTTTCCCGACCATTCTGATGGCTGTTTTGCCATTAAAATCTCCGCTTTTCCTATCATGTCTCTTCCCGTCTCTGAAGGAAGCGAAAACAGAAGCCGAACAAGCTCAAGAGAACTCATACGGCGCTGCCTCCGGATCCTCAATCACACACTTCGGAATATCGCTGTCCATGGCGGAAAGGAGCATCTGAACTTGGTCTGCCCTTCCCTTCTGCCTGGCCGTCTCAAACACTCGCTCCAACACCTCGCGTTCAACTCCCCGAGCCACAAACTTGAAACTCTTCAGTGTAAGCTGGACCTATTCCATCCTCCAAAATCCTTTTTCGAAGTCTTTGTTCGTCTGATGAGTATGATAGTAAGAGTTCGATGAGGGCAATATTGCGTCGCCGGAGAGCATATCCGAGGATACCTTCGAGCTTGGCCTCTTTCCACCTGTCGTCCTTCAGGCTGGCGAACTTTTCAACAAGTTCAACAATACCCTTAGAGCCTTGACCTGTCACTTTCACACGTAGATCATCGTAGATCTGTTGTTCTTGCACATCAAGGTCTTCGTAAATTTCTGCAAGCGGCCGCACAGCCGACAAGACGTTCCAAACTTCGTCGTGGCCGCCGCCGGCAGCGAGCCTCAACACACGGTTATAGTACCAACGGGGATGTGACACACTCACGACCGTCGGTCTCGTTTTCGTCTCCAACAACAGCTCCAGCACCGCCATCCGTCCGAATTTGGCCCCCGGTCAGAAACGCCTCGCGGACCACTTGCTCCACGGTCGTCCCGGGACAATAAAAAGGGGACTCCTCGCCATGCTGCTTTGCGTACTCCACAAGCACCTCAAGCGTCTTAATGTGCCCGTTTCTGGCTGCGCGATTAACGGACACCTCGAGTTCTTTGTGCCCCATCCTCCCAAGATGCCGCAGCAGCAGGGCCACGACGTCGTGGTGGCCCCGCCGCGGCCGCAACGTTGAGCGGTGTCAGGAACCCTTCAATGTCCTTCTTCTCGTGCGCTGGCACCTCACCCTTAGGAGTCGACTTCCCCGTCAGACGTGAGCAAAGGTGAGATTGGAAGTAGAGGCGACGGGAAGCCGCCGGGTGGCACCGGCGGCGTGCCCGCGCCCAGAGCGCGCTCTGCCACCTTGAGCATGCCGTTTTGCGCCGCCCAGAACAGCGCGTACTGGTTGTACTCCTTCGCGTCTTCGAGGTAGATAAACTTGTCGACGAAGTCTCGGCTTTTTGAGCTCGGTGGAGGGCAAGTCCGGTCCTGGCAGCGGCTCCTTTCGCTTTCTTGATATCCCGTTGTTTTGCGTTTGAATAGATGTGCCGAAAATGAGTAGAAAGTGTAGAGTGTTTGAAAATTATGTTGAGTCGGGGTCGAGGAGAAGATGAGAAGAACATGAGGGCTTAACATCGCCCTTCTGCTTACAAGAAAATGAAAGAGAAATAAAGAAAGGGCCTGGCGCTTAGGCAGCGATGAGAGAGAAAGCGGTTGCTGCTTGAGTGACAGTGACTGACAAGGGCCTTGCCGCCTGTGTGACGATGAAGTTGAAAGAGCCAACAGGGTCTACGAGCCTACGGACACCACGTATGTAGATTGCTGCTCTGCCTGCACGTCAACCCCTCGGTAAGCACGAGTCACTCGCGGCCGTGAGTTCTTGGTTAGTTTTTACTAGCGAATCAATTCATACATTTATCGTACCGTGGTTGGACGCATCGTCCGTTACCGAGCCAAACGATATCTCAGCGTAAATACATGCATGCCAATGTTTGTCTCCCACTTGATGTCCTTGCCATAATCGTCCCATTTTTTTCGCATAGAAAACAAAATACACAAAGAACGAGAGGAAAAAAAAGACCGGCTCTCAGAGACACCTATGCAGGCTCTCGTCATGATAACAAAAGTCCTCCCATACTACGCGCCCATTCACCTCATCATCATCCCCAGGCGCCACGTTCACCGCACACTTCCTCTTCCGAGACTCGTATGCATCAGCTGACGCCCTATCCTCAAATACCGGCCCAAGACTTGCGCAGCCGAGCCACACCACCGACACCATGGCATGGGTAGGACTGCCGAATGGAAAACATGCCAGTGTAAACAAGGCTGCTATTCCGCGGCGCCAATGAGTGTGGACAGCTTAAGAGCTCGGTGCCATCGTTCATCCTGCTAGGCGGTTATCCATAAATCCGTCAGAGCCGGTCGCAAATACAAAGAATCAAATGAGAACCCAATTGTTGCCGAAAACATGCTTAACTTTTTGTCCTTTCTTTTTTTCCAACGGATTCAGGCGCAAATGCAATGCTCATGTGCTGTCTTATCTTTAGCAGCATAGGCTGATCATCATCTCATTATGTCCATACTTGGTGTATCAAGGATAATCAGCAATAGATACGCCCTGCGGCGCTGGCAGCGGAGCCCACTTGCGTCCCAAGGAAGGGCCATCTGGGTTTCCGTAGGGAAGCATCTCCTCATGCCACCCAAGTGCTCCCCATTGCGGCATGTTGCGAGGTTCAGGGGCTCTCAGGCCGGCACGCAACGCATCGGCATCCAGGACTCGGCCGTCAACAACAGCATCTACGGCTTTGATGCGACGGGCCTCGCGCTCGTCAACTGCAGCCTTGACAATGCGGTATCGCGATTCGGCGTTGGCCCAGCCATTAACGTTGCCCGAGCCGGCGGATTCCAAAATCATCTTGAGCTGCGTGAAGGGAATGTTGAGCAGAATTCGGGATAAGACGGAATGGGAGACGGGCTGCGCAGGGCGGGATGCCTTTGGCGTTTCGGTCGCCGAGGTAGGGTTGCTTTCGGTAAGGGTCAGGTCACCAAACTGAATGTTAGTCAGTTTCTGCGAGCGTCGTCCCTTGCCAAGCTGCACTACCGGCTTCTCACCTGCCAGCGATGCCATGCTTTGTTGGGCTGTGGGCAGGCTCGGAGGTGGCGAGTGCATAGGCAGGCGTGCATACTGCACGGGAGCAATGACATCAGTGTCCAGCTCAAAAGTGGGCGGGAAGTTGTGAACGATAAATGTAACGACTGCATCAAGGATAATCTTGGACCCTTCACCATATCGGTAAATATCGTGAGTCCCCTGATCACGATGACCTTCCAAAGCAAACTCCAGGACCCTTTCAATCGTCTGCCAGTCGATGAGCTGGGTAGACACCTCGCATCCACGCTTAGTGATGGGCGCCCAGCCAATCAACTGGCCGGCTGCTGCATAGGAGAGTGCGAAATCCAGCTGTTCAACGATAGAACCAGCATCAGTGAATTCACCCGAGTCAGTGTGATGATTGCGAGGGCCTAAGTACTGCAAGAGGGGCAGCCCGTAGAGGCGCTGAGCTGCCATGTAGAACGAGTCCGAACGGATCCATTTGCTATTGGTCTCAATGAGCACAGTTTGTTGAGAGCGGTCGGGCGGGCTTGGCGACACTATCTGCTGACGCAGAAGAGAAGCCAGTTCTGGCGAGCGGTTCAGGATGAATCTGTGGCCAGCAATGCGAACTGGAGGCGCGCGGTCGTCTAGGTAGCGGAGTTCGAGGGAGCAATCAGAGAGCTCTGGGTTTCCAAACTGCTGTTGAGCGTATCCGGCCAGATGGTCAGCATCATCGCTGGGGCGCATGATCTGGGGCGGCACGCCAGGGTTGGGAATCATGCGGTGGAAGTCGGGCGGGGCAAACATGCGACCAGCGTTCCCCTGCATCTGTTGCTCTTCCGGGACAGGTCCGCCATTGCGCATGGGTACTCGGCCGCCGCCGAACTGCTGCTGGTTGAATTCTTCCATGGAGGAATGAGAGTCGTGGAAGCTTTGGGGCGTTGACGGGTTGTAGGTGTTGCGATAAGGCGGGTATGACTCTGGTGGGGCATAAGCCATAGAGGGTCTTCCGTAATTGTCAAAGGTCGTGACGGGCATCATGTCTGGGCCGTACGGCATCATGGGCGGGAAACCGTTACCACCCGGACCAACAAATGGCTGGCGGCCAGCAGGGTAGGGCATGCCAGGCGGAGGGGCGATACCGCCAGAGTGAGGAGGTGCCGGGCTGGAGCTCTGGGACTCGTGGAAGACACCAAAATGCAAGCTGCTGTTGCTGGGGTGGGCTTGGTGGTGGACATGAGCGTGGCCGTTGGGAGCAGGAGGTCGAGGACCCCTGGATCCGTCATCGTTGGCATGCATGCTGGGCATCCTATTGCCAGGCTGGAAAGGCGGAGGCATGTTGTATCTAGTTGGCGAGACGGCCGGAGGGGGTCGAGGCTTGGGTCCTTTGTTGTTCGTCACAGTCACTGTTGTCACACCCAAATCAGCATCAAACGAGGCGCTGGAGCGGGGAGCACGACGTGCGACCTACCAGCCTTGTTTCTTGGCTCTTTCGAGGCCACTGACGAATCTGCAGTGCTTTTCGCGCTGGCATCGGCGCTGCTGGTTTGTACGGCGGTTGCTGCGGCTTCGGTCGAGTCCTGTGTGGATGAATCGGTGTTGGGCGACTGCGGCTGGATGTTGGGGGTTGGCAGTGCTTTGGTCGGCTCTTGCGATGGAACTGCGGGCTCTGCAATTCGTGTTAGCACAGCGAGATGGAATAACGTGGGAGATTGTTCATGAGCTCGAGTGAAGTTTATCCTGTGCAAGAACAGGCGCAGTGAATATCTTACCAGGACCATTGGCGACTGACGTTGGCTCCGCAGCAGTAGCTTTGGGGCCGTCGTCCTTGCCAGGTTTGGTGTCCTTGATCTTGTGCTGTTTTGCCTGAGAGGGCGAGTGCTCGGCTTTTGCTTCAGCCTTGTTCGCTTGAGAAGCTGGGGCAGCAACCGCAGCATGGCGCTTGACGTAAGGCAGCGGCAGGGCAGGGACCACGGGCTTCTTCTGCGCAGGCTTGCCTGTTGTCATCGTCGTCGCCGGAACAGGCGCCACAGGAGCAGGAGCAGCACCAGCGGCAGCAGAAGCGGCCTTGCGCGGCTTGGACGAGCCGTTGGCAGGCGCCATGGCGGGCAGAACGGCGAGCGGGCTGCAGTGAAGCGGCCCTGGGATGGGGACGGGTGCGCAGGTGGTGCGGTGCAGGAGGTGAGAGATGATGTCGAAGGAGATGGTCGGCGAGATTTGGGAATTTGAAATCTGCGGCGGGCGGACCACAGCGGCAGCGGCAGCGGCTTGGCCAGTGAGAGGGCTCGAAAGCGCTGTTTGATGGGCATAGGAGAGAGGCTAAATTTAGTGGACATGCTGGGGAGGCAGCGTTTACAGTGGCTTACAGCTTGCTCGCAACAGAGGCTGCCCGCAGTTTTTGCACCGTACCAACGTGACATATGCATTCCAATCCTCGAGAATTATTGCTTAGTACTTGCCTATCTATCTACACGTTTGTGAGTAATGCCGAGCGATACGTCGTACATACAGATGCATGCTCAGCTTCTTTCAACCGCTGAGATATTCTCCCTGGAGGGCGCTGTGGGCTTCATCTGCTGTGGGCCCAGCCTACTAACAATCGGGCCTGGGCCACTTCTACTTTCTGTCTCATTCGATAGGGCACCATTTTGACCTGTCCAAACTATTCAATGACACGACGCAGCATTGGGCAGCATTAGCAGCATCAACGGCATCAGAGTTTAAAGGCCATCATCTACACTTTCTTATAAACTCGCCTTCGGCGCACTTCTGTCCACAGTCAAAGCCTCACCCACTCGCCATCCTTCTGCCCCTGCAAATCTATACAAACGGGGCACGCAAACTGGTTAAAAACAAACAAGGGCCTCAACCTGTATCAACGATGCCTCCAGAATTGTCGCGTGCAAATGATGTCGATTCGGCTGCCCACTAGCAGATGCTCAAATTCTGCTGCGTATCTACCTAGCTACTAAATCTCTATAGCTGGCTTCTGTAAGCTCATCGTAATCGTCCCGCTGTAAAATTCTTCAACCGTCGTCACGCTCCATCGATTATAAACACGATCATTCTATGGTTTCTCTGAGCCCCCGTGTGGATGCGTCACGACTGTGCTCTAGTAATGGCCAGCTTCTGGGCCCTCAACTCTAAGGAAGGCCTCCGTAGCCGCTCATCAATCTCGCAATCAAAACGTAGACGAATATAGCTCCGCCTGCGAGGACCAGTTTATTGCGGTATATCCAACCACGGCCGGCGTCCCTTTGCTGCACCACAGCGTCAACGACAGCTTGCGTCTGATGGCCGCTCGTGCCGGCAATTCCAAGCTGCGGGCCGCACGAGGCGCCATTATCTCCGCCCGCACGGTTTCCCGTCAGGGCGTCCACCTTGCAGCTCTTCATCCACTCCCAGTTTTCCGCATCGACCTCCGGCCACTCCGCGCGGAACTTGGCACCTCCGTCGCCGGCCTTGACGTTGCCCTTGTTCGCCGGGTTCTTAGCGTGCGAGCCGCCGCCCGTCGAATTCCACCATCGTGACCGGGCCGCGTGGAACTTCTTCTCCACGATCGTGGTCGAGACCGAGCCGGTAGTCATCTCGTCGCTCGTCATGAAGGAGAGAAGCCCGATGAGGATTGTCGAGACTTCCCATGCAGGGTTGAAAGACTTGGGGTGGAAGTCGGATATCGAAAGGCACAGTCGCGTCGACGGCTGGAATCGCCCAGACGGCGTGTGCATCCGGATAGCCGGCGGAGCGAACGGGTAGTTGGGCGGAAATATCAGCGTGCCCCAGTACTGGCCACCGTGGTACGGTGTGTCCTCTGGTCCTGTTATGATATAGTGCCACCTATATTCGATTCTCTGTCAGTTTCTACCAGAAGATACCAGGTAAATGTGCACGTACTCGAGAATATTGGATTCGGACGGATGAGCCGTGATGTATGGAGGAGGGTTCTCAGATATCGTCTTGTATTCGCGAGTCAACTGCGTACGTTAGCACTTCATCACTAGAAAACTGCGCAAGTCGTACATACACGCTTATAAGCCGCTTTACTCGCCATGGCTATAGGAGAGTGACGAAATGCGCTGGGAAGGTTAAAGTCGCGTGACGGAGGGCGGCAGTTATATGTAGCTGAAGAAGCTTTGGCAGAAAAGACTAGTCGCGCAATCAACAAAAATATAAATATAAAACCAAGTAGAGATACAGGTCGTTCTAGTCGCTCAGCTTCTGCAATTTGAAGAAACGAAGGTAGGTTTGGAGATGTTAGGTCGAGAGTTAGCCATGGCACGGAGCCGGAGCGAGGCGTCAGCGTGGCAAATGGCTTTGTGGCTAGTGCCAACTTCTCAGCCACACTGACGTGGGTTGCGCCACACTATGCATCCAGCAGAGAGCTTGGAGCTTCGCGAGATGTCCCGGAGAATCCCTCGTCCAATGCGCGAAATCCATCCTTCGACAGGTCTCAATTACAACAATGGCGAGCGGAAACGAATCTTTTAGCGCCGTATGTTCCTACCCATTGCCACACCCCAAACCCGCAACTAATTGCATCGTACACAGCGCGCCGGCAGCTTCGATAAACTTCACGAAGACGGCATGGATGTCCTGCGGGATGCAAAAGCCCGAGTGGAATCCCACGATGCCGACCAGGAAGCGAGAAACCGCAGGGTAGCACAGCTGGTATGAAAATTCGTGCAGCTCTGACAAGCAATGCGAGAATTGACTCCGGCGCAGATGATCGATCAAACGGCCATGCCAATGACCGTCAACGAAGTCAACATTCTCGGCGGTAACAATATTCGACGCCCCTTTCTCAACCCAATTGTCCAGCCACTTCTAGCCGATCAACCCGGCGCGCCATCCACAGTAGGAGAGGTGCTTGCAAAGCTACAGGACGCAAGCGGCAAGCTGAGTGCACTACGTGAGTTGGCAGATCGGCCTTGGGGGCAAAGCCATTGCGTTGCTAAACAAGTATACAGAAATACTTCGGGAGCCCCCCGAGGTCTTCCTCCAGCAGTCCGACCCGACAGACGCTTCCTCGAACCCGACCGATGTCAACGTCTCCTTCTCCCTCAAGGAGCTGCCACGCTTCAAACTGCAGACGGGCACCGATGTCGGCAACGGCGAAGGCTCCGCGTACGGCTCCCTGCTGTGGCGCAACGTATTTGGCGGCGCCGAGATGCTGACGCTAAACGCGCGGTCCGGCACGCGCACGCGCTCCGCCTACAGCGCAACCCTCGCCGCCCCGGTGCGCAGCGACCCCGGCATGCGTGTCTCGCTCGAGGCGCTCGCGTCTGCCGCCGAGAAGCCGTGGGCGTCGCACGAGGAGGTCCTCAAGGGTGGCTCGCTGTCGCTCTTCTGGCTCAGTGGCGGCAGTGGCGGCGCGCAGCAACAGCAGCAACGGGACAGCCACACGCTCGAGTACTCGGGTCTCTGGCGGCAGGTGACGGGTCTGGGCCGCGGCGCAAGCGCTACGGTCCGGGAGGACGCCGGCGACTCCGTCAAGAGCGCGCTCAAGCACACGTTCCTCCGCGACCGTCGCGACAACCCGCAGCTGCCCCAGAGCGGCTACATGGTGCGATCGCGGTTCGAGCTCGCGGGCGTCGGGCCGCTGGGCGGCGACGTGGCCTTTTCCAAGAGCGAGCTGGAGCTCGGCGGCGCACTACCCGTGCCGCTCCCCGGGACGTCGCAGAAGTCCGGCATCTCCATCGGCGGCGGGTTCCGCATGGGTATGCTGTGGCCGCTGCCGCTGGGCCTGGACTTCAACGGCAAGGCGCAACCGAGCCGCATCAACGACCGCTTCCAGCTCGGTGGTCCCGCTGACGTGCGCGGCTTCCAGCTTGGCGGCCTAGGCCCCCACGACGGCAAGGACTCGGTCGGTGGTGATCTGTTCGCCGCCGGCAGCGTCAACATGCTCCTGCCGCTGCCCTACAAGGGCCCCGAGTCGGGCCTGCGCTTCCAGCTGTTCGCCAACGGTGGTCGCCTGGTAGCGCTCAAGAACCCGAGCAGATCCAAGAGCAACGGCGAGGGCGCCGCCGCCGCCGCCTCATCTGGCCTGAGCCCTGCGGCTGTCCGAGAAGGCATGCTGAATGCCGTCGGGAGCTTGCTAAACGGGGCTCCAAGCGCCGCAGCTGGTGTCGGTCTGGTCTACGCACACCCCGTAGCTCGGTTCGAGCTCAACTTCAGCCTGCCTCTGGTAATACGAAGGGGCGAGGTTGGCACCAAGGGACTGCAATTGGGCGTTGGCATCAACCTCCTGTAATCAACCTCCTGTAAGAGTGCAGATGATTAAGGCACCGTGACGAGGATAGAGCTCGCAAGATACTGCAATGGAGAACAAAAAAGGAGCAGTTACAATCCATGTACTATACATTTATCTACAACTACATCGCAACGTTTATTCTTGTCCCATCGGAGTTCCGTGTTTAAAGAGCTTATCTCCTGCCACACGGATGCTACAGGCGTGAGGAAGGCACGTAATTCGTGGAATTCGAAGGATACAACACTGAGCACGTCATCACCTCATCAAAGACGGTCAAAAGTAGTCCCGTCATCTTCCGTAGATATTCCTCACCTACCCTATGTGGAACCTGGATACCCAGGTCGCCTTCAGGCGAAGCCGGGAGAATGCGCTGCCGCCCGTCACATGTCGTGCGTGAATCGAAGTCGTGCTATCCGGAATTTGTGTTGCAGCTCCAAAGAACCCCCTGCGTATCGTTGCATTGACACATACGTTTGCCCCTGTGCGGCCCGTTGACGTGCATCACAATGCTTCGCCTACCAATGCCGCCGATGAACCGCGGTTGTCCCCTGGAAAGTGACCACTCCGTCATTTAACTACGTAGTGACGGTCGTAATGTTGAGAGGCGAGATTAAAACGATGGTGACCTGTGCTTACAATGACAGCTGCGTGACGCAACTGCAACAGAACCGCCCATGCCTCCGTTTTCCGCGACATGCTCTTGGAGGCGGCGGCCCTGCTAGAGTACAGAGTCCATGTCATGTCTTTTACAACTGATATCTGGCTCCAATGCAACTCCAGTGTTTCGATAAACTGTGTCGGCGTAGCTTTCAGTTTGAAGGCAGGAACCTAAAACGTAATCAAAAGCTTATATTTCCAAGGCGGTTGAGTGTGATGAAGCGCTTTTCCGAATTGCCTTTTCCATCTTCTGACCGTTTTGTGACAGGATTTGGAATGTACAGCGTTTTCCTTTTGGTGTTGCATGTTGAGGCAGACGCAGTGCTTACGAACGGAACGCTACTGAAACTCCACGCATTATGCTTCCGGGTTCTAGTAATTTACTTGTCGCAAGGGCGATTGGGGCAATAGCTTTGTGTATATTTTGTCTGATATGATGTTTTATTTTGCAATGAGATTCAAGAGAAAGTTCGTATGTGAGATGAGAGGTGCTTGGTAATGAAGCTCGAAGTGGAATAGAAAGAGCGTAGGACGCCCCGAGCTCGCGCACAAGGAATGGCAAAGTGATAGATGACGTCAGAAGGCGAATCTCGTCACTGCTTATTGGTCCCACGATAATTAAATCGACAATGAAAAACAAATAAAACGGTATGTATAGCCATCCACCCGCATAAACAAACAAATGGCGAAGAAATTATCGTGGAGTTGTTATGCCGGGTAGGCCTGCGAAAGTTGGGGCATTGACAGTGCATCAACGATTGTATTTACATTGCCTAATAACCTCGACGGTGGAGATACCGTCCGTGGCAAATGAAATGAATGAATTGCATTACTTCGTATAAATGGTCTTCTCATACTACCAATGCATCTCACCCCATCCCGCTCGGGACGTTTTGACATTGCTGTTAATATTCTCTGTAACAATAAAGAAGTCTTCGCACTGTTCTGTCTGGGCTGAAACCGGCTAGGAAGTTAGCCAACGTCCCGAGGCCGGGCACCAAACCTCGCTGGGAGATTCATCCTTGTCAGGACTTGGTCCAGCCCTGTCAGCGTCACTTTGTCTGGTGCTGCAAGAACTGCCGATGCTTTTTGGCCTCTGTTCTAGCTCGGCATGACTAGCGAATAGACGAAATGATAATTAGGACCTATGTAGATTGGTGAAGAACGACCAACCCTGCATCGTTCCAAACCGCGCATGCGCAGGCCGGAGAAGATCAACGCTGAGCTCGCAGCAATAGGCATTTCTTCTATCAAGTGACCCCAAACATTCAAGCGCGCCGCATGCCCAGCAGGAAAAGTACAAGCGGCAGCATCTGGGTTTTCTTGCTTCTCTGATGTTTGAGCCACCTAGACACGTGGCATGCCAAGTCGCATGGAGTGAACACAAGCGGGTGACAAACTGGATGTTGACGCCGGCCCCTGGTATCGATGTCATCGAACAAAGAAGATGCTCAAAATAAGTCGTCGACTGTGCTCGTCGGCCACAAGTGTACATATACAAACTGCGCTAAACTCATGACACACGATTCAAGTGACATGACCCTTTCCATGACCAACTAATTATTCGCTAGCCCGCAAACAACGCATGTGGTGGAAGCGCGCAGCGCGTTTCGTTTACTATACGTTTTGAGATGCAAAAAGAAAGAAATATTCCTGGCTGTAACGAGAACAGGCCAACGACTTGTTGCTGCTCGATTTAGTGGCTCGATGAACATGGTATTATGAGGAGGTGATCGACATCTGAAGCGTTTCGTGTGATCCACCGCCTGCACTGGACTTGTTGTGAGCAAGAGTAGGAGCTTGAATAGTTTCTAATCCAACAACCACTCAGAGGGCTCAACGATACTGTTGGCAAACTTACTCTCGTAAATACTTTGCCAACAGCGGAGCTGTGGCGACGTTAGCTGCTCTCCAGGTTGTAACTATTAGCACCAGCGGCGTTTCATCTTGATGACTGATTACCTCGGACCATGTCGGTGTCAATCGAGGCTTCTAACGGGATGAACGACAGGGTTGAATCCTGTCCTTTGCTTCACCAGGCAAAATTTTCTTGACAGAAACCGACAAGGTGCAATGGTTGCCAAGGTAGGGTCAGAAGAATGAGAAAAGCTTGCTCAGGCATGGCGGCCCACCAAGTGTACGGACCGTACGGAGTACTTTAAAAGGGGCTTCCTAAGCCAAAAGAAGTCTGGAGCCAGGAACAGCGCTGTGATTGGCGCGGGGGAATGCGAGGGGAGAGCCGAAGCTCAGGGGCAGCCGGCGAACCCTTCTTTGCGGCATCGGGGCTGTCAGAAAGTAATCAAGGATGCTCGTCTGTCTTTGTACCGGAGAGAGAGTGTCGGTCGATTGTGCCCCCTGATGAGAGGAACTGAAAGCGGATGCCTGTAGTTACGCCTTGCTGCACGGGCAAACCCTGTGCGTGACGCAGCTCAATCGTTTGAATTCTCCGCTTATGCTAGGCATTACCAGTGGAATGTGGTAACGCACGTGTTAACTGTCTTCTGTCACAGGCAAACAGGGAAAGATTCTGCGGGTTGAATCCAATTGTTGATGGTGTCGCGGCCGTCGCCGAAACAATCGGTCGGGCCATGGGGCCAAGGTGGCACCAAAACAATCGACAATATCCGGACTTCGTATCGAAGTTACACGTCGCCAAGGTCCTGGGAAACGTGACACAATGTCTCTGCCGTAACAGTATCGTGTTTTACCGGGCTATCCAGTCTGGTTGTAAGCTGGCTGAATCGAAGTCGCATCTCCGAAAGTGAAAGCGTGAAAGCGCGATTTTGATGTGCTGGGTCTGTTTCTCCTCTTTCCATCATCCCTCCTTCTCGTCCGCGGGGGGGGGGGTTTCATTGCTTCTTTCCAGCACAAGTGGCTCGCTTGCAATTGTTGGCCCCAAGATTTGATTGACTCGTCCCATGGCAAGAAACTTTGTTTTGGCGGCGCACCGACTCCCCCACAGTGTTTTATGACCTGGAAGGCTGAAGATGAAGGGGCACATGCGGCGGTGGGGTTTGGCTGGCTGCAGCGTCCGGAGTCATTCTTGTTTGTTTTGTTCAAATGGCGGTGGTCATTGGATATGGTGGATAGTTGAATTGCTCCATTGCACGCCGTTGCAAAGTATCCAGTGTATTTTGCTTTGTCTCGTTCGCGACTTTTTCTCCCCGGCGTGGAGCAATGGCCGTGCGGACCGTGGATTAGGAAGAAGACAAACATCAGCGTACTTGCAAGTCCGCGACGGCGTCAACAATTGGGACTCATCATATACGACAGCGAGTGTAGAGTGAAGACGCGGATCCGTTGCCATCAGCTGGCATACCTAATAACCCGCAACGGCAGCAGACGTCAGGCCTGTCATACATGGTCATTTATTCGACTCGAACCAGGGCCTGCAAGCAGGAAGCGCAACGTGCAGACATGCATCGGAAACGTCCTTGGCGCTACATGGTATTGAGACTGGGCTCGGCGGCAGTGTGACAGGAGGACGGGGGTCCATGCTCACAAGGTAGTATATATCGGAAAGGCTCTCTTCAGCTGATGATGAAGGCTCGAGGAGGATAAAAATCTTCAGTGGTCTTGACGGCTGGCGAGGGTAGTCACGGCCGTGACAGGTTGCGTAGCCGGCTTGCTGGGCAAACAGCAGATTTACGGTGCATCCTCCAGGATCGCTTCCTGGCAGCAACAGAGCAATGGTGCTACAAGCCAAAGGTATTCGGGTTTAAATGTCTTTTCTTTGGCAGTTTTGGACCGCTGCACTTGTTGTTCGGGTGCATCATACGTCCGGTAATTTGTCTGGACCTTGCGATGAGATGGCGGAGGAGGTGGCTTGCAGTACCGTGTTTAGAGAGGACAGAGAGACAAAGAATAATGGACCTGAGTCAATAAGATCCTTGAAGATGCGGCCCGTCCGTTGTTTTTTTCTTGTTTCGTGTTGAAATAGCTGGCTGTTGCGATATATTGGTGTTGTCAAGCCACGTCTAGCAATTCAAGGGAGAGAGAGAAAACAGCGAAAGGTATTTGAGAGGTGACAGGCGATGTGGGCGGGCCAAGGAAGGTGGAATTTAGGTACACCGCTGCCGGGGTCAACCTAGCAGGCGCCATCAGGTACCCAGCTAACTAGTTACCTGATAATAAAACTAACTAAGGTAAGTTAGTTGTCTTGCAACTGTAACTACTTCCTAATAAGAAGCACAGTACCACAGCACATCAATAACGTGATCATCTTATCAGCAAGTTTCTCAGCTAACCTGTATCTCATACAGTTATGTACCTAACAACTTTAGTAGGTACCTTGCATTACTAAAAAAACGCCGGCCGGGTGCCGAGGTTGGAGGCGGGCAAACGTCGAGGGACGGTCCGACAAACATGGCAACTGGTACCTACCTGGAGAGCAAACGGAGACATGAACATCCATCTACAGATACTGGTATTGATTCAGTATTATACCTTGAGTATTTATTAGCACAGACACAGAGACAGGGATCCGCCGTTTGCGCTGCCTCGTTTGGTGCACGCCCCCTAGGCCGGCCAACGCAACGCACGGTGATGGGAGATATTACTGCACGGTCTAACAATACCATTATGAGTAGGTAGCTGTTCTCTTGCCATGGAAAGTTGACATCATACAGCATGATATTAATTACTGCTCTTATTAAAATGCGTCTCTAGGAGCGGTGACCGGTTGCACTGTACGTGCCAATAGAACTGTCTTGTGCTACCGTTGCCACCACCACCACCTGCGGTATCAACACACCATCAGTTCACCATTAACTGCACCAGCACCGTACTGGTAAGGCGCCTAGTCTAGGTACGCCCCACACTTGAGAGTCCAGTACCTGGAACTAGCCACAGATTGCCTGGGGGCTGCCAGCTTCCGTGGTGGTGCGGTGCCTGAGTGGGTTAGGGGCCCGTTGCCCACCCACCCACCATCCATTGCCCGGCATCAGCGAACGCCCCCGAACCGCCAAAAAGCCCCAGGTGCGGATAGTTAGCATCATTTTCTTCTCACCACCACAATGGAGTCCTGTATCAGTAATGCGGTAGCTCAGGTATCTCTACTCTGGGGCCAGCATACCAGAGGTATCTAACGGTACGAATGCAGGTAATAGATCCTGGTACCTGCATTGCCAGTACAGTGTAACTAACTTCCTTCCTACCTAGTAAATAGTTAGATATTAGTTAAGTTTATCCGTGTAGCACCGCACAAGGTACCACGACCACGAGTGCACAAACCTCCCGCCGCCCGCCTCCCCCCTTGGACCTGCTGGCTCTTCCCCCAAAATTCTACCCTGGCCCTTGCTGTACCAACTTGGACGTGACCTCGCCTGCGCTCACTCATTTTTCTCCCCTTCTCATATCTTCAATCCTTCCCTGCCCAGCCGTCGCCGACTGCGTTTTTCCTTCCTTGTTCTGGACCTTTTCCTGTTGTTGCGCGTTGATATTCACAGCTATATGCGCCTCGGCGTCTTAGGTACGACCGACTCACTCCCGTCTTGGCTCTATCCCCTTCGCGACGCCCTCTCATATTTTGGATCCGCAGATTGAGATTCGATCTAGCTACCGGCAACGGTCCCCTTCACGCATATCAGTTGCAACCTGACTCTCCTCGGCTCGCATGGACTGTGAATCTTGATCAGGCCAACATCCACCCAAAAGCATTGACTTTGCTGTCGGCCTGCATTACGCCGCACGCCCCATCCGTTGGAGCAATCACGACTCACTCGACATCGTACCTGACCGTTCAACGACATTGGCTTCGAGATTGACTCTTTCGACTGAGAACCAGCGCAGATAGAACCTCATGCTGGGTACTCTACTCGTATACCCCGTCGCTGGCTGATTGTATCGACCGGAGTGAGCTTCAATTGCTGTGAGTCTACATTTGCACCCAACGGGTTGGTAGAGGCAAGGCTCGGGATATTGTTACCATATCGGATTGGCCTACTTCGCGCCGGGCCGCCAACAAGTCCGTCATACACATGCTCCCGTACTAACGACAGCTTTGCGTGACTAGTCTGCTCCATAACTCGTCGAAAGCGTCCTCTCGCGGCCATCCCGTCTAACGTTTCATTGGCATCCGCGAAGCAGCCAGCAGCATATCAGGCGGTAAAAGCGACTCAAATATAGCTTCTTTTCAAAATGAATCGATTTCGGACCAAGAAGCGAACGAAGGACGAAGTGTCCGCCCCTCGTCCTTCTATGGACAGCGACACTGCCGGCCCGTTCAAACTCTTTGGCAAAAAGAAACTACCCGATACCGACTCCAAACAGGACCTCAACATTGATAGCGCCCTTCCTTCCAGCGACGATTTCAGAACCAGTCTTCTCATGACTGGTCTCTCAGCCCGATTCTCTATGCTACGAGAGCAAGATGACCCCCATTCAAAGCTTGGTAAAGCCAGCGATGATAGCGTACTCTTTCCCAAGCGCCAGTCGAGGCTGATGGACTTTGGTTATGTTTCGGGTTTACATGACATCTCTGAGATTGAGTCTCTCCAAGCCGCGTCACTCACTCGTGTCGATTCATCACATGGATCGGAGGACAATGACGCGGGCAACATCATGGACAGAGCTCGTCCCAATGATGGAAATAACCTATTTGGCGGCCGTCAGAAGATCTACCGTATTGGTGCTGGCGCCAAGACAGGGAACAACGGCATGGGTGGCCGTATTTTGTATGACGAGGATGTTGCCAAGTCAGCCTTCCAGAAATGGAAACAGTCGGAGAGAGAAAGAACCTCTTTTGAAGATAAGGTTGATGACACACTGGAGTTCGACTCAGCCTTCGACTACAACAAGAAACGCGCCACAAACTCGACAACATCATCTGCTGCGTCTGTCGGGCGCTACTCTACAGCCGCCACCTCGATTGCATCCCAGGTACCCTCGACCAAGGATGGCCAGTACTCAATGCCCTCATCGGCCAACAGTGTGGAGAGAAGCTTCACACGCACCAGACGGTTATATGAGCAAGGCTTGACGCAGGACCTGCAGAACCAACAGTCCTCTGCACTATCCCGGATAGACACACTGTCCAAGTCACACCGCAACAAGCCCTCGCCAGACAGCACGTCTGTTACCTCTCCAACTCCCACGACTTTTGGTGATCGCATCTTGGAGAGACGCACTCTTCTCACCAAGCAGAGCGCCCCCAACTTGCGGTCTTTTACGCCGCCAATCTCTGGTGCTTCCCCCAAGGCTCCAGCCGAGCCCGTTCCCAAGTTTACAACTGAGCAGAAGCCCAGTTTTGGTGCCAATCCGCCCTTGAGTCCCCCAATCAGTGAGGCAGATGATTATCCTCCCATGTTACCCATCCAACCCAACGATAAGGGCAAGGCAACGGCCATGGGTGTCTTCAACAGACCGGTCCAACAATACGACGACTCGAAATTTGCGCAGCGCCAGCAACAGATGCGCAAAGGACGTGATGCGTCTGAAACCCGCAGCCAGACTGGTGGGCGATCATCTCATGATGCTAGTCGATCTAGATCATCTTCGATGCATCGCAGCCTCCGCGACCGTATAGAAGCTACTCCGAGCAAGGCTGATCGTTTCGGCAAGAAGGATTACTCGTCGGCCTCTTTCTTTGACGAGAGTGACGATGTCCCTGGATCCAACAGCTACTCAAACTTCGCCACTTCCTTGGGTGCCCAGTTGAGCATTGAGCGTCCGAACGATGAAGATCACCCTGCATTTCGCAAGTCAGCTCTACCAACCCCGCTTTCGCTGTCATCCAGAGCATCCGACGATAATTCTTCGGTGGAAGACAAGGCGGACCGAAATTCGCGTTTCCGAGATGAGCCCCCAGAAGACTCTCCTACTCTGGGACCTGGGGTAAACACTGGACTGAGCGGAATGGTACGCCACCATCTCCGAAGCGACAGCAATGCTTCCTCTATATATGATGCAGCTGCCCATACGCCCGATGTGGACTCCCGTCAACAGTCGGGATCGCCAGACTCCAGGCAACGAGGCCATTTTGGGTATAATCCGGGCTGGGGATTTGACGATAACGAGTCTGCGATGGAGCGTGGCACGTGGACCCCGACGGCTAACCAGCCCAAGCCTGTGGCCCGCGGGGAACAAGATGAGTTTGCTAGACACTTGGCGGATGGAGCTCGACGGGTTCGCGAGAAGCTCACATCGTATGCAGAGCCTGATATGGAACAGTCGTCGCCAGCCTTACCGCCGACCGAGTCGGCCAAGGACTTGGCCGGCGCTAGAAGTAATGCACTTGGACTCCGCGCCATGTCAAGTCGTACGTCCCTGTTTGACAGGGGCCGGGATCGAGACAGTGATACAAAATCGAAGAGTGGGAAGTCTCCTGCACCTTCAACGCGGAAGACGTCGGCGGAAACCGCGCCGGAACCACCGGTGCCGGTAGCCAAGGAGGAGACTGTACATGCTGGCTTGAAGGCCTTCCGCCAGGCTAGAAGAGAGCTCCAGAAAATGAAGGAACTCGAGGTTCAGCAGCGACACGCTGGTTCGCCGCAAAAGCCAAGCCCCCGACTTGACCGGCCGGCCGTCCAGCGAACATTTTCTAACGACCCGGCAGCATCTCCTTCCCAGTACCAGCAAGCTGGCCAGCTGGCGAAAGCCCCGATGGTCTCGGACAGAGATCGCAGTGGGTCGGAAAGCAGCCGTGATGGCCGTGAAGCTCAAAGGCAAACGACCTCTCGCGGTGCATCTTCTTCCAGCGACACCCGGACCATGATGTCGACGTACCCGAACAATCAGTTACCAATGATGAACAGGAAGCGAGATATTTCGGAACCGACGTACCTGCCTGATAGCCGGTTTCATTCCTCGAGCCTCCCTGGGGCCACCGTGCCTCCTCCTAACCTTCACGCCCCCCTTGGAGTCCCTCCGTTGCCACCTATCAACCCTCGGCGGAAGAACGGGCCGGGGAGCCAGTTTCACCGTGGCAGCGACCAGACTGTCGGGGGCAACACGGATGGCTCGTACGATGAGAGCGGAGATGAGCAAAGACGACCGCTGTATAGAGCTACAAGCGACCAAAATCGGCACTATCCCCCAGCGCCTACTCACCGACCACCGCTCCCTCATGCCAACATGTCGAGCAACAGCCTGCCCGGAGGCATGATCTAAGTTGGGCAACAAGAAGCTACACGCGATTTAACACCCTGGACGGCCTAGCAAGGGCCCAGCAACATATACACCTTGACGAATATACACAACTACAAACATACTATCTTCTTCTTCTTCTTCTCCCTCCTCTTCTTCTTTTAATATTTTCTCGTGTCTCGTTCACAAATGGCAACCGAGTCTACGAGACCATTTCTGTTACTTTGAACCAGACTTTTCTTCACCCCCTTATACTTACGTTGCTACTATACGAGTCGGACGGCTTATCTTGTTTCTTGTGTGTTTTTTCAACTTTGATTCCTGTTGCCATCTAACTTACCTGCACGTTTTGTTTCTTTTTCCACATTTTCAAATTCTCTCTCATTTCATGGCAGATTTTGGCGGGCAGGCGGCGTACCATGTTGTTGCACTTGATTTTAAAAGTGATGTGGACGGATGGGAATCGGGCAGGCCTTTTGATTCACCACACCTTATTTGAAGGCTTCGAGACTGAAGCATGGAGATTTACTATGGCAAGAAGGAGCCAGCTGCGGCTGGGAGGACTGGAAGGAAAGGGGAAAGTACTTGACAGAGTGCAAAAAGTCCAGACGAGCAGCTCTAGATATCCGATACTACAATTGAAAAGTAACTCAATGACAGACAGATGGATGGCTGATTTGACGCTGAGTACCAGCGTTGTGTTGTGCACCAGTGAGTGCGGTGCTGCTGTACAATGGCGGCTGATATGTGGCGGGCTGCGAATAGAGTCACAAGCTGTGCGACGCAAACAAGATTGCAGGCCAAGATCACGAGCAATATCTGCAACACTGGCGCTTCGCCCGTGTAACTAGGGGCCGCGCCAAAAAAAAAACACAAAGCACCTTGATTATCCGTCCCGCCTCACGATGCATGTGCCAGCGTGTACGATGCAGCCCTTGCGTGGGTTGATTAGTATAAGAATGTTGCGGCCGCCAGCATCCGTATGGCAAACGCAGCTACCCGGCCACGCAACATCCTTCCTTGCAGATTCTTCCTCTTCTTCTTCTCCTTCTTCTTTCTTATCTTGTTCCGTCCCTTTCCTCTACCAACTTACCATTCAGTGCCCGCTGGCACCTTGTCGACCCGAGCGGGCAAAATCATCAGCCGTCTTTGCGCCTATACCGTGCATATATTCGTTTTTTGCCCCCTCTCTCGCCTGCTGTTGTCACCGGCACATACACAGCACACGGGGGCGGGCGGGCCTTTAGAATAAGGGAGCACCAGTAGTCATGTGCGACCACAGAGAGGTGCGTTTGCTTCGATGGGGGAGAGGATAATGGCGACGTGGCCACTGCGCGGAAAAGCACCTCTTGGGCTGCGACGGAAAATGCATATTAAATGGATGAAAGGGCTGACGCAATATCTTTTTTTTTTAACCGCGCAGATGATATACGAATGCCGCCACCCTTACTACATTATTGATCGATTCTGCGAGCGGTATCGGCGGACGGGAACGGTCTGCGAACTGCACATTGTTCATTCGGACGGCTTGTGAGTCTGGGATCCCCTCCAGCGCTTGATTTCGCCTTTCCTGCGAAACAAGCTTCACATGAGAAAAAAACTTGTGGCTAACACGAAGGGTCCGAATTAGCGATCGCCTGTGTCGTAAGTGGACTGACCGTTCTTGTAAGAATCGTGGGTGTGTTGTCATCGATACTGACTGGCACAAAAAAAAAACAGCTGGGTGCCGCGCGAATCATAGACCGTTACCGGAATGGGCCACGCAAGAGATTGAAAGGGCGAAAAGACCGCCTGCCGACGGCGGCGCCCAGCAATCATAAAGAATCGACCGAAATGGTGAAGGAATTTTGATGAAAGCAAAGCAGTGCGTTGCTGCTTCGCAGGTTTGGGTTAGAAACCCCGCCCGCGACGAAGCGGCGCACTACGAGTTACGAGATCCGCCGAAACGAATTTTACGAGATATCATAGAAGCCGGTCTCCCAAAGATTTTATTTCATATTTGTTTAGCTATGAATGGGCGCCGCCGGTGCTGGACCGACCCTGGCAAACTTCGGCGGTCCCGGGATCTCGGTGGGCTCCGACCGGCGTCCCCTCCTTCTCACCTTTGCCGACGAGGACGCGTTGCAGTTTGACCAAGAGCTGGTTTCCGGTCACCTGCCCTTGCAAACCCCACGTAACAAAGGTGGGAGCGAAGCTTTTCCAAATTCGTCTGGGAAGACTCATTACAGCCGAAGGTGGGGGTGTTGAGTGAGGAGAAGAGGGCAATGCCTTGTTACGGAGCACCGGTCCGGTAGTGCCAAAGTTGGGTATCCGAAAGGAATGGAGGCGTGTTGTTTCCCAATAGCTAGGTATCAGCGGAGTGAAAATGACAGGTGACTTGTTCTTGTCCATCTCTGACATCACAACCCAAGAGACGTAAATCTTGATTCCGCTTCGCCGTTATCCATACGTCCATCCTGGTTGCAAAGTTAAGGTTGGTAGCGTCGCCCGTACAGACTGGAGTAAAGTGACCAAACACAAACTGCGCTGTAAAAAACAACGACTTTCAAGCAAACTCCTATTAGTCGACAAGATGGCCTTTATACGACCATACCAAGAGTCGGACTTTGACGACATGTCACACATTGTACGTCCCTGACCGTCGCGCCTTTCCACTACATCCCGCTTCTTCCCCCCTCTAGAACAACTCACTCACTCATCCCGCCTCACAGTGCCGCGAGACGCTCCCGGCTTCGCTCGCCGCCTCGGAGCCCGCGCGGCGGCTCGCGCCCTACATCTGGACGCACCAGTACACGCTCCTCTCACCCTCGACGTGCTTCGTCCTCGACGACGGCCGCACCGGGCGCGCCGTCGGCTACTGCATCGGCTGCCCGGAGGTGCCCGCCTTCTGCGCCGCCTACCCGCGGTACGTGCGCGAGGTGCTCGACGGTCGCGGGCGCGCCAACGGCGACGTCCGCGCCGAGACCAGACCCCCGCCGGAGGGGGAGGAAGGGGAGGATGCGCCACGCGCGGCTTGGATAGACCCGGACACGGGCAGGATCAGCGAGGCGGCGCTGGCGCAGCTGGCGTTCTCGCCGAGGAGGCTGCTGCTGGACGGCACGGAGGATTTGCTGCGCGAGGGATACCGCGGCACGATGCACATTGATCTGCTGCCGGAGTACCAGGGGAAGGGCTGGGGGCGGAGGTTGCTGGAGGCGCTGGTGGAGAGCATGAGACCGGCGGCCGGCGGCGAGGCGGGGGAAGGGGAGGAGAGGTCTAGGGGGATATGGCTGGGGGTGGGCGCGGAGAATAGCAAGGTGGTGCCGTTTTACGAGAAGCTGGGCTTCCGCGTCAAGGAGCGCGAGATCAAGACGTCGACAATCATCATGGTGAGGGATTACTGAGACCGAAGAAGAGTGGAAGATGGGCAAGCCAGATGGTAAGCGGCGACGAACTTGTACACGGGCTGCGTGGCTTGTAGACATGTGCATATTCATCAGAGTGCCGAAAAGTAGACGAATGAAGGAATCAAGACGGTCATAACTCAAAGCAACGAGTCATCGAACCTCTGATTTCAGTCCTGTGGCCCAAGAGTCGCGCTTAAACTCGGCTTGTCGTTTGCGCAGTGACCTTTTGACGAAAATGAATATTCTCAATTTGAATACCTCAATAAATAAAATCAGACGTTACAATCTTACCCAGTAGCAAGTGGGTCACAATAATGTAAGAAATCGCATATATCGAAAAACTTAATCCACCGATTGAACAGGGTCTGGTACCCCTTTCCCATCCCGTTGACGCACGAAGAATAAGCCTGTGATGCTCGCTTTGTCGCGGCATTGCGCGCCGGCACCGGATTGTCTCGTCCCTTTCTCTGCCCGTGCCGTGTCAATTTTCCGTCATGAGACGGATCCCCCCCTCTTTGGGATTCTGTCGTCAACGCGCAGGAGATGTATGTCGTTGGAAGGAAGTTGCACAGTGGGGGGTTACGGCGTCATGAACCTCGTCCTTCCCTCCTAGGGCCCCTTCAACTCATCGTCATCATGCACCTGCAGGGGCACCACGCTGAAGCTAGCGAGCGTAGCCTTTTCGCTGGGGTGGCCTGGCTTGGCTGTCTTGGCCGTCACTGGTTAGGCTTGAGCCAGCCATCTCCACTGATAAGAGCAGAAACATACATTAATAAAAAGCCCTTGCAACTTGCATGCGGCGCTAGGAAGTTTTGGATATTTCGTACTGGAAGGTTTCGCGCGTTGTTCCTTTTCAGCATGAGAGAGAAGGAGAGACAGCCCCCGCTGTGTCCGCCAATGAGCCGTCACCGAATGAAAATACAAGAGAAAAAAAAAGTCGTTAGTCGGCCCGGAACGGTCGCCAAGCACAGGTGTCGCCGTCAGCGCAGTGCAAGGGGAGGGATATGGGTTGCATGTCTTAATCGGTCCGCGGGCTGTCGCGAGCGTCGACCCGGTCAGAGCGAGTCAAGGAGATTTGACAGGTGCCAAAAGAGAAATTCAGGGTCATCAAGCAAAAAAGTGAAGCAGAGAAGATTCAATTCATAAAGCGCCTGTCGATGGTATCTTTCGCTAAGAAAACCCAAGTGTGAATAAACGCCGTTGCCCGTAGCATAATGTCAAGTCATTGGTCGTGTCGTGCCTTTTTGCGTGTCGCTCGTGTAAAGAGTAAAGGAAGTATCTTGCGTCGCAATATTAGCACATGCGGTGGCCTAAGGCGATTGTCATTATCATTGCACACATACACAATAGGCGTACATGCCTGGTGTATCAGGCCATTTTCGATCCGTCCATGCCTCGAATTCATGTCGACATCATGAGAGGCTGTGTGCCGGTCAACCTGCCACTTAAGAGGCAGGGCAGTCGTTGCACTGCTGGTGACCGCAGTTGGAGCAGGTGGTGCTGATGACAATCATGCTTCCGCACTTGCAGCAGTACTCAAAGGCAGGCATCTTGACTGGGAGAGTGGTGGTGAATGAAGCTGGTGTTGAGCGTGGTGTGAGAGTGAAGATGAGATTGTATCGTTCAAGCCGGTCGTCAGAGTAGCTTGTTCAACAGACGAGATGATCAAAGGTTAAAAGCAAGCCACATCAAAGAGGGTGGGAATTGGGGCTTCCCGCCCTTTTATAGCTCCAGAGATACTGGTACTGGGCTCAAAGCCAAAGCCTTTCCTGGCACCGCGAAAAGCCAATTCTCAGGCCACCAGAGATAAGCGCAACGACCAGACCTGTGACGAGACAGACAGCCTCCTCTGCGACAAGCCCAGCCTAGCAGCGAAGTGGGACTGCGTGCGTCGCCGAAGTGCGAGGGGCCGTTGGATGTGATTCGCCGCCACGCAGACACTCCTTGACTCCTCACTCCCACCACCACTTCTCACCACCGACGACGCGACAGGTATTATTCCTGCCTGGCCTGCCGCCTCACTTTCATTGTTTGCTGGGGGCCGTAGGAGGGGCGAATAAGCCAGAAACAACGGAGAAAACCGGAAGCAGCACCACCCTGGGTAGTCCGCAGAGATGCCACCTGCGAGCACCACACCACTTTTGCTTCTCGCGTCGCACGATATTTTTTAGTCGTCTGCCTCAGCAAGCGTCAACATCTGCTTTTTTCTCTACTCCCACCCTCCATTAAGTCGAGGTGGAAAACGGAATGGGTTTGGGTACAGCAACTGCCGCAACTGCCGCAAGAGCCAGTGCGAGTTGACTGAGGAAAAGTGTGGTGGTGGGCGTTCTGTGGCTTCTGGTTGGCTCGTCGCATCGTCCCCTCCGAAGAATCAAGCAACTCTTTTCCTTCTTTTGGTTGGAGCTGCAAGGAGGCTGCGACCATTGGGATGACGCACTGTAGCCTACAAAGTAGAGCCCGCATCTCTGTGCACCCATGCAAGGTGTGGCAGCCATGACGCCGCTTGCTGCTTCAACCCCAGCAATAACCAGCCTGGTGGTTGCAGTGGTTGTCGGACGAGGGCGGCTGGTTGGACGCTCGCTTCCTTGTCGGTGGGCCAAGCAACGCCTATCTCGAGCTAAGTCGTGACGAACCCTGAACCGGCTGGGCTGGCTGGGAAGCGAACCCCGCGACGACTGGCCGAAACGAAGATTCAGGACCACACGGTTCGTTGCATTCGACCCTCTTCCAAGATCCTCTTGTGTCGAGCTTTTTTGGCCCGCATCTGCAAACAGAAATCCCCGGATTGGCCGTGCGACAAACCCCAGAGCCTCAAGAGAGGGACTTTGACCGGTCTTCACCACCCCGCAGGCGCCATCGCAGTCTAATTCCTGGGGTCGGGGTCATCCTCCTCTCACTATGAGAAAAAACGGAGACACTGATGCATAATGGCGTAGCTGTACGAGCTTGGTTTCTTGGTGGCCAGATGACAATAGCGATCGCGGTTGCAGGGTCCTGCCAGTTTTGTGCAAGGTAAACCTGTGATGCTGACAGGGCTGAAGTCGTATATCAATTCATCACACCGCGGCTGTGCTGTGTTACAGGCTTCAGTGTTTCGTAGATTAAGAATCTGTCGTTTTTGATACCATTATCACGCCGCCCGGCTGGTCTAGAACTTTGCGCAGTCGAATATTGACGGCTACAGGATGGTGTCGAGCTTTGGTGCCGCGCGGGCCAGATGCGGGGAAGCTTCAGCCGGGAAGGCAGCCAGGTGTCTGCACAAAAAAGCATGTCTAGCTCGCTGTCGCGTTTCACATGTTAGAGCTTGAAATTACGTCGCCCCTAGCCAAGTTTTTGTGTGTATTTTTTTTTTTACTTGAAGGTGCGCTCATATCTAGCCGTGTAGTTAGGCGTGCTCCTTGCAGCTGTAAAACAATGACGTCAGTTTGGAGGATGCTGGTACAGGCTCCTGGTCATGTTGCCAAACCCAGAGGGCCGCGGGGTCGGCATTTCGGATAGCATCGACACGAGGTGTCGAGAGCTTCCAACCACAGTTTAAGCTGTGGCGCCAAAAAGTCATAAGCTAGCTGTGCAGAGTGGTGTGTATGACCAAGGGCGGGCAGCCTAGTTACCCAGTTGCCAGTAAACTCATTGTAGACGGGAGGGGTGGTCGGTTTATGAGTGGCGATTTTATGAGGTGAAGGTGGGTGGCCGCCTTGCGTCGTAGTTGAAGAGTTAAAATAGCTGCGGGAATAATGCGTAATCACCTAAGAGAAATAAAGTGTTATTTTTCCTCTTTTTTTTTTTGCCAATCCATCTGGTAGAGCTCGTGGCAGCATCCCCGATATCGCAATGCCGCGGAGCTTGCTGTACCTCAAACGACGTGGTTTTAGACCACCAGCCAATTCTGCCTCTTACATACACCTCAAAACAAGCGTGTATATGTACGCCATTTGCTGTGCGATATAGCGGCTCGACCACTTTATGCATGCTGCTGATGTAGGTGTTTCGGACGGCCCTATGACTGGAGTTCAAAATAAGTAGCATGCGGTTGGCCAACAATCCAGGAGCAGCGTCGGCTCGTGCATGATTCGCCCCCTTCCATATCTGCTGACATCGTTGAACGGGCCGCAAAGCGTGCTTGACCAGGGCGGTCCAAACGATTGGATCTTGGCGGGCTGGAAATTCAAATATAATTTGTGTTGTATGAGAAGCAGAAGAATGAAAATCCCTCGCATTACAAGAAGATGTTGGTTTGAAAACTGCTGTTTGAACATTTGTTTGCGCGCGTTGGTGACAGGTATGTACATAGATACCTTGGTACCTCCTGGCTGGCAGCTGGCAGCTTCAATCCTTTCCCCAACAAAGCCAAGTCCGCCTGATGGCCAAAATTGCTTGCTTTATCACCGTCACGCATCATCACCAAAGAGCTGAAATTCCCATCTGTTATGCCCCGGGACCCATTCTTGGCGTCGTGGTAGCCTTGCATGGCAAAAGAAGGCGAGTCTTCAAGGTAACTAATATAGGGGGCAACGTAACCAGCCGCTGCGCCACCCACAACACAGGCTGAATCTGATCTTGGTAGCTGCCCGTCACGCCTGATCTGCATCAACGACAACAACCTCGTCAGTCTGACAGGAAGAAGCACCCCGGAAATGACAATGTTTACAAACGAGTCGATCCTAGAAAAGGGGAAATTCTCGATTCCCATCAGCTTGAGGCTCTGTGGCGCCGTCGCATGCCCAGCTGAAGAGCCCTGTCTGTCCACTTACCAAATCAGGATTCGCGAGATCAGCCTTACAGTATGCCCGTGCTTGTCGCCGCCATGAATGCGCCAGAATAAATCCACACCTTGCTCTGTCTCGTGTCTGCCCCTCGAAATAGCCTATCCAGTGACACCGAGTCGCACGTCTCAGGCTTTGTGTTCCCCAGCTTGGCGCCGGTGGTCGTCAGCTGCCCAGCCACTTGCCCGTGATTCAGGCACACACAATCCCGGAGCTCTCGCCGCGATCTCACTTAATAAATCGACCGTCTCCCGGCTTGTATGGCTGTCTGCTACTAGCCGAATCTTTCGTAGTTCTCCAACATCGACCAGCGTACGGCTGCACCATACATCATGGTTTGTACTGGATCCAACGTCAACGGTTCACTTGCTAACACCTGGATAGAGAGTCCTGTCTCTTCTTGACATTGATGAAAACCGCTCTCCATCGGGTTGCCTTCAGCTGGAAAGCTTCCCTCAGAAGAATGCACTGATTGCAAGCTTACAACCACCCAACGAACCGCCCGTTGCCGTGCACCATGTCCCTTGCGATATCGTTCTTGTCATCGACGTTTCTGGCAGCATGTTTGATGCCGCGCCGGTGCCTGGCGAGTCTGAATCGGAGGCTAATGGCCTATCCATTTTAGATCTCGTCAAGCATGCCGCGCTAACCATCATCGAAACCATGGACGAACGTGACCGTCTGTCCATTGTGACATTCGCCAGCAGCGTTACAGTTTTGCAACCCTTGGAGTGCATGACGGACGAGAACAAGAAGACCTCCCGCAACAATATCAATAGCATGGTGCCAAAGGATGCCACGAATCTCTGGCACGGGATCTTGACCGGCCTGAAACAGTTCGAGGGTGTCAATTCTGATGGCAAAGTCCCAGCCATCATGGTGCTCACTGATGGCATGCCGAATCACATGTAAGAATGCTGCTCCCGACATGGTACTGTAGGGCTCTACTGACCTGCCATAGGTGCCCCCCTGCTGGCTACATCCCGAAGCTTCGGACTAAGCTTCCGCTGCCGGCCACCATCCATACTTTCGGGTTTGGCTATAGTCTACAGTCAGGTCTACTCAAGTCCATCGCGGAGATCGGAAACGGCAACTATTCATTTATCCCCGATGCTGGCATGATTGGCACCGTCTTTGTTCATGCAGTTGCCAACCTGCAAAGTACATATGCCACAGAAGCCACCTTAAACCTCAGGTACGGTCCAGATACGCAGATCCGAGAGGCCATGGGTACTTCGGTTCTCACTAGCCTACCGGAGCCATTTGTCGAGCCATCCCAGAGTGGTACGCAGCTGTGTCTTCCGTTGGGAAACATACAATATGGCCAATCACGCGATGTATTTCTGCACTTCCACAGCCCACATGTCTCCCAACTTTGTGGCATGAACCCAGGCCCTTTGCCCATTGTCGAAGCTACGATTGCATACAAGCTGGTCCTTGGCAATGCTAAGGGCAACTATACATCGACAACGGTCACGCACAACTTGATGGAGAAGTCTTCTATGCCAGAAGAAACAGTTGCATACCACGAATCAAGAGCACAGATTTGTTCCTTTCTTTCTGGCCTCTTTCCTATCGAGAAGCAGGGCGTACATGCGGCGTCTGCTATGGGATCAGATTTTGAACAGATTACCGCAGATCTTGAGGCGCTTATAGAAAAACTGCCATCTCGCAAGTTTTCTGACCCGCTCAACAAGTCCTTGATGCAGGATCTCGCCGGCGAGGAGCCGGAAGGCCAAATTTCCATTGCCTTGAGCAAAGATAGCTTTTTCTGGAAATGGGGACAGCATTATCTTCCATCCTTTCTCAATGCGCACACTCGACAGGTGTGCAATTCGTTCAAGGACCCTGGACCACTTCAGTACGGTTGCAATAGCTCGCTTTTCATCACCTGTCGCGACAGGCTGGATGAGGCGTTTGACAACCTGCCAGCCCCCGAGCCATCCCGCCACAAAGAAATTGCCAGAAGCCATGGGGTCCGCGGCTTCGCTTTCCCCATCAGTTCGGCCTCCACCTCTATGGGTAGCTATACCCCCATTAGTACGGCCTCCGTATCTATGAGCAGCTATCGAAACTCGCGTGGTGTGTGTTTTGCCGGCACTACGCTGGTGCAGCTTGCTTCTGGGCGTGACGTCGAGATAAGGCGCCTGCGCCGTGGCATGAAGCTTCAGACACCGCTGGGATCTCGCAAGGTAACGGCTGTTCTGCGGACGCCTGTTAAGGACGAGACACTCTGCCGGGTTGGAAGTGTCCTGGTTACGCCGTGGCACCCCATCTCCCTCGACGGCAAGACTTGGACATTTCCGGCCGACGTTGCCGAGAAGGCGGTCCGATTTACAGGCTCCGTTTATTCCATCATGCTGCAGCGCGACAGGAATCCCGATGCGCACGCGCTTCGCCTGGACGGTCTCTGGGGCGTGACGCTGGGCCACGGGGTTACCAGCGGTGGTGACGTTCGCGCTCACGTCTTCTTTGGTGACTACATGGAGGTATGCAAGTCCCTTAAGAGCCTCGCCGTTGGCCCTCGAGGCGAGTTTATCGGAGGTGGCGTCGGCCGAGACGCCCACAACGGCCTGGTGTGCTCCTTTACGAAGGATGCAAGTCGAGGCAGGCCCTTGACGTGGTCGGATAGTGTGCGAGGAAAGGACATTCTCCGATCTTGATTTCTATTACCGTTTTAATCATACTTTATTCCTGTGTAATAGTCGTATTTAGCTTCATCAAAAATGACAAGCAGATAGTTTCTTGACCCTCCTTTTCTACCTCAGATGCTACTAATTCCATCTATATACACAATTGCACGCTACATGCTACCACCGTCCCCGGGTGTTTACTCTGCCACAAATAAGGCCGCGTGACCCATGCCCGTACCGATACACAGAGTCGCGACACCCACATCCCCCTTTGCCTCGCGCCTCAGGCCGTGCATCAGCGTGGCCACCATGCGTGCGCCGGTCGCGCCAAGTGGGTGCCCGAGCGCGATCGCGCCGCCGTCCGGGTTGACCCGCCCCTCGGCCCACGCCTCCTCCAGCCCGAGCGCGCGCACGCAGTGTAGCGCCTGGCTCGCAAACGCCTCGTTGAGCTCCCAGCGGTGCACGTCGCGCGTCTCCAGCCCCGTCGCCGCCAGCAGCTTGGGCACCGCCAGCGCCGGGCCCACACCCATCTCGTCCGGCGCGCAGCCCACCGTCACGCCCGCGACGTACCGCCCCAGCACCTTGCCGCCCAAGCCGAGCGCCTCCGCGGTGCCGCGGCGCATCAGCAGCGTCGCGGCCGCGCCGTCCGACACCTGGCTCGAGTTGCCCGCCGTCGACGCGCCGTCCGGCGCGAACGCGGGCTTGAGCCGCGCCAGCGCCTCGAGCGTCGCCCCCTCGCGGATGCCGTCGTCCTGCGTCACCGTGACCGGGCGCTCCTCGCCGACCTTGTTGCCGCGCGGGCCACACGTCGCGCGGCACCGCGCGGCTGCCGTAGTTGCGCGTCATGCTCTCCATGCCCGCGGCGATGCCGACGGAGATTGTGCCGGTGCGGATCTCGGCAGCCACGGAGGCGACGGCCTGCAGGGAGGAGGCGCAGGCGCGGTTCACGGTGTGCAGCGTGGTGGTGTGGGGGAAGCCCGCGTGGTTGAGAGCCATGCGCGCGGCCTTGGAGCCGCCGAGCTCGGAGAGGACGACGCCGACGGCGACGTCCTCGACGGCGGCGGGCGGCAGGTCGGGGACGGCGGCGCGGGTGGCGGCGAGCACGGAGGCGAGCAGCTCCTCGGGATAGGCATCCCGCAACCCGCCCTTGTAGGCCCGGCAGACGGGCGTGCGCAGGGCCGAGACGATGACGACGTCGGACGCGGAGCGGGCGAGCGTCTCCGCGGCGGTCCGGAGGCTCATAGTGGGTGCGGAAGGTTTATAGTAAGTGCTGTGGTTGGGGGGAAGTTTGTCGGTCTGTTTTCTGCCGACGGAGGCCGCGGTTGTGATGCCTGTTGATGCAGGTTGTTACCCGGTCGCAGCCAATTCACTGGACTTCTTTGAATGCAATGCGTGGGAAGAATGGATGTGTAGCAGAGTACGGAACGTGAACAAAAAAGGGAAGAAAGAGACGCGAAGCCGGAGAATGAATGATGCACAAGAGTAAAAACAAGCCCAGGATAAACGATGAAGCGGAAGGGGGATGTCGGAGGGCCAAATCTGGGGTAGCTTATATCGGGAGTGGGCTGGAGAACGTTCGGGTATTGGCGGCGGCAGTTGAACAGAGCCCACCTCCAGTGGTCCGTCATCCGACTACACGGCAATGACCGCGGCAAAAGGATGCGCGATGAAAGAGGCGTAAGTGGGCAATATTTGTAAACATTTCCAACGTTTTTACTTGTGTTCGTCATGATTGTACCCATCTTGACACCGATCCTGCCTCGGGTCAGCTACATATGTTTGTGTGTATATAACTACTGATCTTGTAAGCAAAGTAAACGCCCCCACCAGCCATGATTCCCATCATTTCCCATGAAAATTATTAATATTAACAACAGCCGTTTCTGAGAAAAAGGCTGTACATGCATCAAGTTCCCACCATGTCGTTAATTCGTGATACAGGTCGATATCTAGGCTCAACGCCTTCCTTTACTCGTACTGGATGCCAAGTCCCACCCGCCTCCCGTCAGCGTCCGCCCCGGTACGGGCCTTTTTCGCCGGGCTGCCCTGTTCACGCCGTGACTTGGCCGCCGCCGTCTCGGCATCAGACCCGGAGAGCCGTCGCTTTTCTGAACGACTGAAATCTGGTAGTCTGGAGCGGGGCTTGGGGACAACTGGCTTGATCGGGAGCCGGTTGGGGCTGCCGTCCCGCGAGTCCCCAGAACTCGCCATGTCAAAGCTATGTCCTGGATGACGGCGGAGGAGATCCGTGGCAGCCTGACTAGCTTGGCTGCCAAAGACGTCTCGATCTTCGACCATACCACTTCGCTCGCTGCGCATGGACACGTTGGCGCGGTGACCGGATGCTCTCCTGGCGGCAGCGGCATCATCGCTGTCGTCGGCAGAGATGGTACTCTCGCGGCTCCTCTGACCAGGATGTGTATCTGGTGTGACGGGCTCAAATCGTTTTTGTGAGTACATCATGCGCGGCTCCGTCTGTGGCACCAGGTCGGCAGATGGGAGCAGGCCAGAGTGCGCACCGCGGGGATGGTTCAGGGGTGTGGTAGGGAGAGACGACATAGACTGGGCGTTGCGGCTGTGTCTGCGGCTCTGGCGAGATGTGAGGCGAGCTGGTTGGGCAGGCGTCGAGGGGGCACTGTTGTTCGGATCGTCATGGCTGATAGCCTGGAGAATCATCGACAGACCATGCTGGTTCTCGGTGCCGTGCGTGCGCGCAGTATGGCGCGACTGCGCTGGGTGGGAGCTTTGTTGTGGATCAGGTGCATCGTGGGGGAAACCGTGGCGGCTGTACAGCCCTTTAAAGCGCACTCTATTGTCACGTATGCGGTTGAGAAGCACATCACGCTCGTCAGTGAGATGTATGTTCTCTTCTTGCATTCGCCTGATGACTTTCTTAGCGGCGTGCAGGCGCGTTTGCAAGTTTTCAATTTCATCCAAGCTCGCTTCGTTGGATGCCTTGAGCTCCAAGTACTTGGTAGTCATGGCATCCGAAGGCGAGCCGAAGTCGCGCTTGACGTGCCTGGAGTGCTCTGGCAGGCAAAGAACATCAACTTGACGGCGAACCATGTCATGTTCGACAGCAGCGCGCTTAGACTCCTCGTCGGCCTGCATGCTGAGTAGATTATATTGCAGCTTGTGATGCGCGGCCTCCATTTTGAATTTTTGGTTGTCGATGATGCATGTTTGCAGCATTTCGCGCAGTTGGTCGGACGAAGCATCGCGAATCTGGTCCGGGGAGGGCGCGGTGTAGACGGAGGAGACGTTGATATCGCGGTCGCGCAGGTTATTGAGTATCGTGGCGGGCGGAGAGACTGGGACCGTCTGCTGCGATTGGGAGAATGCGGTTGTGCGTCGATTGGCTGCGACACCGAGCTGCGATGAGGGAGGCGGGGTAAGGGAGGAAGGAATGACTATTGCGGATGGCCTGTCGTCGTTGACCTCGGTCTTGAAGGAGGCGCTGGGATCGATAGGCGAGCCAGGGCCTTCAGTGGAGGGCAGGGTGACCTGGGAGAGTGGTTCCTGCTCTTGATCCATGATTGGAATTGGCGTAGTCGGGACGGACGGGCTTGCGCGACGCGGTTGTTGGCGGTCCGTGGCCGGACGGGCGGCCATGGTTGTGTGATGTGAAGCTATTGCGAGGGGGAGGAAGCGGTGGCGGACGATGCTGTGATGATTTGGCGGCGCAATGATTTTCTTGGTTTGTTGGGTGAAAGAAAACAAGAGGGCGTCAACGTGGAGGTAGAGTTGACGGGTCCCTGAGTAAGGGTTGTTTGTATGTCTCAGAAAGCGATGACGGGTGCGGACCGAGAAGTCGCATACGCACGGTGAGGCCGAAACTAAACAAAAGGCGATGGACACGCGACTCGCGGATGGTATGTTGAATGAGAAAGAGGAGGGATGAAGAAGGTTTAGAGGGAAATAATTCAGATGATGGCGGATGAAGATGAGAGGAAAGGGGGAAAAAACAAATGCAGAAGGTGATGTGGGTGGCTGGTTGGATGGTGGGATGTGAAGAGCGTGGATATTCAATGCAAACGGGGACAAGTTCGCAGCGGCAAGTCAACTTGGGCTGCGAGGGCAGAGGCAGAACGGTTGCGGAAAAATGAAAATGGAGAAGGCGGAAAGGCGCGAAAAACAGGGGCAAACAGGGGTCGAGAGGGGAGGCTGGTGGCCAGCTGATGGCGCTAAAAAGCAACTCGACAGCGCTAGAATCGTGGTATCCGGGGAGCAAAAACAGGGGCATTACAGGGCGCTACAGGGGTTCGAGAAAACATTGGAGGCAGGTACATAGATTGGGGGGCTGGTGATTCACAGCAGTTGGAGATTGACCCTCTCTATGTGCTTAATCATTTGGTAGAAGGAAGGAATAAAAAGGAATCTGGGAATATTTATTTAAATTATACTATTTAGAGCAAGCAGCCGCTGTCTCGGCAAAGTTGCCGATGCAGTACGGAGCACAGCAGCTGTTCCGCTGCCACCTCAGGCACCAACACCCATCCAGCGAACAACTTATTCTCACCACGAAGCGCCAACTCCTGCCACCTCATCAACAAGCAGGTCTACGTTCACCACCGCCATCTCCAGTGCCCGCTCAATTATCCGCGTAGAACCGCGCCAGCTCCTCGTCGTTGTGCTCTGCCAGCCAGTCCAAGCCCCATACCCAGGCCTCGCTCACGCGCGCCCCTTGCCTGCTGCGCATCTCCGCCAGCGCCCGAAACGCCACGGCCTCGCGCGAGTAGAATCCCGCCGCCGTGAACGGGAACACGACGCAGTCATCGTCCTCGTCGTGCCGTGCCTGCCTCTCCACCGCCTTGGCGAAGCGATGCCCGCGATCCCACCTCTCCCGCTCCACCTCGGAGACGTCGGCGTCCTCGCCTGACCACCCCGGGATCGCTGCGTCGACGCCCATCCGCCGTGGGAACCGGTGCAGCGCCGCCTCTGGCAGCGCCATGACCGAGCCCCAGTCGATGACGCCCAGGATGTTGAATTCGGCGTCCACCAGCACGTTGCTCGGGCCCAGGCCGTAATTCGCCAGCCCGAAGCCGCCACACTCATCCTCTTCATCTTCCGCTCCCTCCTCGTCCACGCTTCTTGTCGGCCGGATGAAGGACGCCGCCACCACGCGCGTAAACGCCCGCAGCAGAGCGTCCTGGCCCTCCAGTGCCGGCTTGCCGATGGCGAGCCGGCGTGCCAGCCTCAGCGGGTAGTCGAGGTAAAAGGCGGCCGCCGAGTCGTACGGGCCGGATAGCGTCTCAGCGATGGGACCGGTCGCGAACGCGCCCGGGTTGCTGCTCTCGCGGTAGATGGATCCGATCTTGGGCAGGCGCACCGATGCCAGGCGCGCCATGATGCCCGCCAGCTGTCGCCAGAACCGGTCCCGGAACTGTGCTGGGATGGCGCCCTCGTCATCGCCCGGGTTGTACAGCCTGGAGACGGCTTCTGCCGTGCTTCCGGGTATGTAGTCCATGAGCACGAAGACGCAGCCGACATCGTTGTCAATGTCGAGGTCGAAGCCGTGAACCTGAGGCGCCTTGATGTCCGTGTTTTGCCTGCCCATGATCTCCCCGCGTTAACACACCAAGGCACGCAACATCCAGTTGCTAGTCCCGACAAGAAAAGCATACCGTACAAAGGCCATTGTTGCGAGCTCGGAGCTCATGGCCACGTTCATGGCGCCGGAGCCCAGATCATCATCACCCCAGATAGGCGGCATGCGCATCCGGGCCACCCACTCCTTGCCGTCCTCGAAGCGCAGCTTCCGCACCATGTGGTTGCTGCCGACGGCGAACTCGGGGCACACGGTGCAGTCGATGCCGTTGCGAAGCCCAGAGGCGTAGTCACACAGCGCGCTTTCGTCCGTGTACTTGAGAAACTGTACGATGCGCTCCGCATACTCGTCGGTGTGCTCCGTGGCACCAGTCCACGCCGCGCTCCCCACGGTGAATGTGTTTCTCATGCTTGCCGCTTGGGGTGAAGCTTCTGGCTGCATTTTTGCTGAAGCACGAGGAAAAGAATGCTGCGTCATCTTGAAAAAAAAAAAAAAAAAAAAAAAAAACTGCCTTTTGCACAGAGAGAGAGCAACAAGCAGCCCCTCCTCGTCCTCTTCCCTCCGATGGTGCCCGCCCGCCTTTTTTCACGCCACAAATTCGTGTTCACACCCATCATGCTGGGCTGCATGCGAACCAATCAAGGCGAACCGCGTTTTTCTTTTTCAATGTTTCTCCCTGTAACAAATGATGGGATAATACTCGCTCGCGTATCCGTCAGAATCTCTTGTAGAACAGGTCGCATAATCCTGGACGAACCCGTCCGTCACCTGAAGTCTGAGTTAGCGCCCCCCGTCATATCACGCACAACCCCTGCCTACAACATTGCTTGCGAGGCTTGCCCAGTTGGCAATGTGCCTTTGTATTATTTCTGTATTGGAAGGAATCACGAGCTGTTGCACCGTATTGTTAGTGCTGCTTGGCTGCAAAAGCCAAAAGGGCTACGTGGCTTGCAATACCTTGCGATTCGTGCAGGCTCACCCAGCTGCCCAACCATGCACGGCTTGCCCTCCCTACCAGGATCACCACCCCCCTTCTGGATGCCGCACCAACAAATGGACAGAAAGATGATGGCCCCTCATCGACGACTAGCTATCCCTACTTTGGTACTGTGTCTTCTCCTCTCCAACGTAAAGAGTTGGTAGATCCCAAATTAGAGCAGTCTGGCTTCGTCATTCGCCTCTTGTTGGCTTGTCGCACGAACTCGGCACTTATCGCCTTGTCTCCCCAGGATGTCGCTGCTGCCGCTTGCCGATTTCTCCTGAAGCATGTCGGCAACTGTCATATCAGGCGCTGGTGTCACCGGGTGTAAGACATGTGTGTAGCCGCTGCTACTCTAGAGAAGTGACACGAGCCGGGCACATGCGAGAAAGTTCACGTGTGATATATTTCGGGAGCTTTCACATCACAGTGGCTAACAGAGTGCGATGACAGCATCTTATATCGTTGGCAGTCGACTGACTCTGTCATTGCCCTCGACAGCCATACCTTTCCCTTCTACACTGACATGACAGAGGGCTGACGCGAGAAAGAGGCCACAGCGACTCACGAACTGTTCTCGCCAAGATTATCCATTAGTATCTATACCCCGTCTAGAAGATATTCCAACACAAATTATACGCCTATCCGTTCAAACTCAACGCCAAAGACACCTCTAGTTGACCGACGATCAGAACAAAACAACCAAACGCCACAGAAGAGAATCTAGCAAAAGCCCAGCGACCAATTTTTCCCATAGAGTGAAGTTATCGTAGGCGACGATACCTATAATCAAGTGTTAGCCGGTGGCCATGGAGCACAGGCTGCACCCTTCGTAGCAAGCATACCTAACATGACAAGCCTGCTTCACTGCGTCGAGGACGCGTCCAGCTCCTGATTCTTCTGCGCCATCCGTGACTCCTCGTCCCTACGAGCCTTGCGCTGCCGGCCGCGCCTCGCCCTCTTGTCCAGGGCCCTGCGCACCCCGCGCACCACCTTGCCCAGCAGCAGCGCCGGCAGGATCACCGGCCAGAGCAGCAGCACCGCGAGCCACCACGCCGCCACCAGCGCCCGGTCCCGCCGCGTGCCGTCCGAGTCCAGGTACCACTCCGGCACCCACCGGCCCGCCCGGCCCTTGCCGTTGATCGCCAGGATGCAGCCCGCCCCGAACAGCACCCAGCCCACCGCCGACACTGGTATGAGCACCTGGAACGGGCCCAGGTTGCCGCCGTCGCCGGGCGCCAGCGTCGATCCGTCGGCGGCCCGTGCCAGACCGTCGAGGTTGTCTAGGGGTGCGTTGTAGGTCTGCCCGGTGCGCTCGTCGCGCCAAACGCTGAGGGTAGCGGGCATCGCGACTGCCTCGGCGGGGAAGCGTGTGCTGGAGATTTCTTCGGTGACTAAATTTGGGAGGTTTGAAACGGTCGCCGTGGCTAGCAGCTGCGTGGTGGAAGTTCTGTCCATCGCTACGCTCGGGATGGTTGTCGTCGTGCGAAGAGCGTGTCTATTGATCAGCACTGGGTCTCAATAGATCGTCTGGGGATGGATGCAGGGGCGTCAACTGTTAATAATCTGGTTGATAATAGAACGAATATTTTGGCTGGGATAATCATGCCCTTTAAATATATAGGTCTGAAAAAGAGTTTAATAAGAGGCTTTGGTCTCGCCAATTTGTACCTGCGCGGCGTTGCACGCGGCGGCTCCTTCCAACTTTATGGTTTTGTTTACAAACTCTCGCTCCCCCAACTGTGGAAGAAAGGGCAGTAGAGATACAAAAAGCTATTCCCAGATGTACTAAATTTGAGCCCATCTTTGTCGTAGCGCCATGACCAACAACGCTCCTTACCTTGCCTCCAATCCTCTCTCGTGTTGTACAGGTATATATGAAAGCATGACTTACGTCTGATGCGCTAATCGTCTTCTCCATTTTGCTCTCGCCAGCGCTCAATCTCCTGTTCTGGAACGCGCCCGCGTAGCCAGTGCAGTGTCGCGTGGGTTCCTTGCTCCAAAATGTTCCACCTAGGTACCTTGAATCTATTGCCAGACACATCAAGACGCTCGAGGCCGTTGACACCCCCAAGGAGTCCTATCCTGGGATCCAGCTGTGCAATCTCGTTGCTGGCAACTTCAATGATTTTCAAGCCCTTGATCGAGTCTGGACGAAGTTCCGAGATTTGGTTGTTGCTTGCAAGCAATACACGTAACCGTGGGAATTTGTCCAAGAGACCATTAGGTAGGCACGTAAGGCGATTCGTAGAAATGTCGATTGTCTCGAGAGAAGGCGCATCAAGGTGCTCCAGAAGTGACTCTAGCGACGTAATTCTGTTGGCCATCAGATTGAGCTCCTTCAGCGCAGGCAGATGGAGGGGTTGCTGCAGATAAGTAGCGCCAGCAAGCTGGTTGTTTGCCAAAGAAAGCGATGTGAGGCTTCTCGCAACAATCGCCAAACTGTCAGGTATGGCAGAAAAAAGATTGTGGTGAAGAAGGAGTTGTTTGATCGCTTGCTTATCATTGGCCTCGCCAAACTTGACGGCATCCAGCACGGAACTACCCGTCCGAGATCGGTCGAGGACTCCGCCAGGTCTGACTTGCCAGTCTTCCAGCACGGGCATGTGAAACTGTGTTTGAATGCTATCCATAGTTTGCGAGCGAGAGCGTGATGGCGAATGGGGGCGTGAGGTTGGAGGTGTGGTGAAATCGTCTTCGGCATCAGACTTGGCATCGTCATCCACAATATGCCTGGTCGTGGCCTGATATATGTCGGCTTCCGCCAGCTTCCCCATGAGGCCGACTACAGTCTCACTCTGCTCTTGATACGGAGGCGGCGGTTCCAATCTGCCAGCCAGAATCTCTTTCAGCTCGTCGGTCGTGGCGGTGACGAATTTCTTGTCACGAAGTGGGTTGCCGCTTAGTCGAATCATGGACAGGCTGTCCATTCTCGACAGCTCTGGAGGCACTACGCGAATGTCGTTTCCAGAAAAGTCAACCTGTCGAAGCTTCGTGAGACTCATGAAGCTTTCAGGAATAGCCGCAATGCCATTTTCATCAAGGGTCAAAGTGAGCAAGCTTGACCAAGATGACATATCGGGAAGCTCCTGTAGCCTATTCATTGACGCTGACAGTGTGTGCAAAGCCGGAAAGCTGATTATCGTGGCGGATGGCATCAAATATTTGATTTGATTGCATGAGATGTCGAGAGTCTGCAGTGTGCGCATTTCCTCGATGGGAGCTTCAATCAATGTACCCGTCAGCTTGTTCTTGCGGAGCACCAGTTGGCTTAGAGGCAGGTCGGCAAGATCAGCAAACGAAACAGCTTCAAAACTGTTCTCGCCTAAGTCCAGGATCCGTAGGCGCGTCATCTTGTGCATATCTTGAGGAAGGCTCGATAATTTGTTATCATGAAGGTCCAGGACCTCCAGGCCATCGAGCAGAGAAATCGCCGCATTCAACGGCCCGGAAAGGTTATTGCTCGCGAGCTTCAAGTCTCTCAGGGCGGTCATTTGAGACAATATTTGAAGACAGTTTGAGTCAAGGTTATTTTTCGACTAGATTTGTGAGCTAGATATTTCGCACCTGCAAGAGGCTGGATTTGGACATACCAGGTTAAGAGATGTCAGTTGGCTCAAGCGGCGAAACCCAATAGGCACAGCTGCGAGTTTGTTGCCATGCAAGTCCATGGTTTCCAAGCCACCGAAAATGTTGGGCGTGGCATCATCGTCGTTGTCCATATCAAATTCAGTGGGCATCACATCGGGGAACAAGACGTCGTCCAGAGTCTCGAATGAATTGTCGGCAGCGACGAGGCGAGTCAAATCGACGCTCTCTGCCCAAGTTCCACCACCGGACATTGACTCTAGGTTGTACATGTTGAGAACTTCGATGGGCATCTCCTTGAGACCAAGTGCAGCAATGTTGAGACGGCCGGTGGTTCGGCCGGCGGCGATGCGCTGTTGGAGCACCTTGGCGCTGGCTGGTTCACTTTTGTTCTGGCCGAAAGGATCGGGGTGTTCCTCAATGTCAAACTCTATGCTGCCACTTCCCATTGATATAGGAGCGAAATCAGTGTTGGAGGTTGTATCTAACTTTGTGGAAGCTTTTCTGGCCGCTTTTGCTTTGGCAATTTGATCGCGGAGCGCAGCAGACGACTTTCTATGTGCAAGACCTGGACGATCTTCTGAGGCGTTGCCGCGGGTTTTCGTAATGGTTAGTGGTGCAATGGCACCATCCCAAGATTGATCTCCCGATTCCGAGCCGGGTGTGTTTCTAGCAGCTGCTGGCAGAGCTGGTTTCTTGAAGAGACCATTTGAAGATGCCTTAGACTTGAGTGATTTCGCAGGCGCGGGTCGCGACTTGAGTAACGTTTGTGTAGATTGTTTGTCGGGACTTGGGCTTCTGTCAAAAGGTAGTGGTCTTGAGGCTGAGGCCAAGGAGGGTTTCATGCTGATGCGAGAGTTTGGCGTTCTGACCGGGCCTCTATGCTTTTCTCTCTCGGGAGTGCCGTCAATTGTAGAAAGGGCGGATTTGTAGGCACCAGGATATCCATCGTTTTCAGCTCTGGAACCTGGGCGACTTGACGACCTCGACTGTGGCCGTCCTGACCCGTCAGAGTTATAGCTGGAGCCAGGTCGGGAGCTGACACTGCCCGAGCGGGAGCGAGGTCGGGCTTGGTCCAAGATTGACGAAGGTTTTCTGTTCATCGCTGGAGAGGAAGGGATGTTGGCGAGGGTCTCCATTGTGCGTTCAGACAATGATGGCCGAGGCTTGGTTGACTGGGTATTAGGCGTTTTCAGGTAGATTGTGTCTTCTGTAGGGTTATAGGGTGTGTATTCTTGGACCGGTGAGGTATCGTCATCGTCTGGTAGTAGGCCGGCTCGACTGGCCCGGCGGCTGCCTGCGAGATCGTTGACATCACGGTCGGCCGCGGCGGAGGCCCTGCTGGGAACTCGGTCAACGAAGAGGCTTGTACGTCTCTGCGAAGTTGACGATACGCGTGTCAAAGCAGGGCTCTGGGCTAGTGGGCGACTGACACTTGCCGTGCGCAGCTGCTCTCGCGAACCAGCTGCTCTGAGAGGTGTCCCGCCAAGCGACTTGCGCACTTTGGGGTTGTGAAGCTCATGGGTGCCAGCAGGACCCGTGGGCGCAGCAGGCAGAGTACGAGCTGGGGATGCAGTCGAAGAGCTCGGTATAGCGGTCGAAAAGGTAAGTCGAGGGATGCCCGACGCGCGAGGAACTGGCAACCTAGAGGCTCGTGAGGCGCCTGGCCGCTGGCTAGGGGCATCCATCTCGGTGATGCTCCGTTTGCAAGTTGGGATCTTCTTGGCGATTCAAAGGGCGTCAATCGCAACAACGTTCCCCTTCCACTGCGCGTGGGAAGTAAGCGAGAGAACAGAAAAAAAAGGGCAAGCTTATAAATATGTCTTGTTGAAAAAAGATTGTGGTACGGCAGCTCCTGCCACGAACGAGTTTGTCATGCACAAGTCCCCGCACAATGTAAACAAAGGTGAGAGCTTGCAAGGTCTCGCCAGAACAACAGATACAGCAAGGATTGATGTTCTCGACTCGGTGCAACAAACAACGAAAAAGGTGATTTTGGCAGAAATTCTAGCACGGCAAGTCTCTCTAAAAAATTGGTTCCCCTGAAGCAGCGGGCAGATGGCGACAACTGTCCTCTGGCGCAAATTACCCAGCGCTTGATGACAGGGGTAGCCCTCGCTGAGCCAAGTCCCAGGATGCCGATGCTCACAGTTTATTAGCCTAGCAATAAATAGTTAGTTATCAATATGGAAATGGTATTGTCAAAGTCGACTCCGGCCCGCTCCTCGGGACGGGGCCGGCCAATCGAGCGGCGTGGTGGCTTCAGGGGTAGATTTGGATGGTGGGCAGCGCAATTTAGGACTGTCGGCATCGCGCCACGACACGGTCGTGGAATGGGTTAGTTAATAAGTTAATAATGGTTCTCGAATACGAACGAATATCTGGAGATAGTTAGGTGGCTAATCTCGGCACTCGTTGCCATGCAATGGCAGGCTCTAGGGCAAACCGCCGCCTACTTCCACGCCGCAACCTCTACAGACAACATCTCCACAAGGGGAAACTTACATGATGCCTTCTTATCCCCGAAACGAAGCCTCGTAGTAATGCCATCTCGATCAGTCATTTAGCGGGCGGCTACATGAATCCCATCCCCTCCTAAGTACTGCAGTAACGGCCTCATGGCAACCGACCTAATGTTTTTTTCCTTCCTTTCTGTTTCTTTTTTATTAATGTTTGGAAATTATTGGACCTCAAAACTTTTGGGTGGCTTTAGACGCTCATCGTTACTATATATATGTGTTTAGTTTCGCTACTTATGTATTCGAAGAGATGCGTTCTCAAGGCTGGATATCCGGATCCTGGTGACGAATAACCAAGAGCTACCCCGCTCGCAAAAGCCAGCGAATAAAATATCTACTTAAAAGATAAAGTCCCATTTGCACCCCTCAAAGTCCCGCCCCCGCAGTTCACGCCCTTCTCGCTGGTCTTGGTATTCTCTTGTGCTTCCAATCCCGTCGTAATTGTAGAGTATGGGGGGGGGGCACAGGTCTGCTATTGAAGCTGGCACCCTCTAAAATAAGCAAACTGAACCCCCATGCTAGCCAGTGAATAGGACGCAATACGACGCAAGTAGGCAGTCTGACGTCGGATGACGAACTCCTGTGCGCTTTAGGCATGCGTGAGGCTGGTAACAAATGCCCAGCACGCCGAGGTTGAGACCTTGTGCCCTATTAACGGTTCGTTGTACACGGATAACGCCATGTCGATGCCCAACAGAGTCTGACTGGCAAACTTGCCACAGCATGACCAGTTATAAATATCGATCCCTCGTCGCTGATGGGGACCATCTTTGAAGCCACCTACATATCTGCTCACAATAATATCATGAGATCATGGCTGGCCCAAGCCCATGCATGCACTGCCAAGCACCTACGCCCGCTGGCTCCGATAGATGCGGGAGTTGCACTGCCAATCCATGGAACATGTGCAACAGCCCTTATTGCGCAAGGCTACCTCCTGTCAAGCACAAACCGAAGTGAGTATGTGCAAATATCTCATGGACAATCCGCGGCTGCTAACAAGGTGGCATGCAAGTTGATCGTCCGAAAGCGGAAGCGCACTGCTTGAGATTGGCATATACTGCTCTTTCTGTTGTCTCTGATAAGTGGGCAGTCGGCTCGGGGAGAACTTCTTTTCGCTATACATAGCCGCCTGCATCAATTTGGGCTTTCTTCGCGATTCGTGCCTGTTCCGCCGTAATACGTAGTACGATTTGGAGCGCATAATCAGCTTGGAGACGAAGGCTCAACAGAAAGAGGCAATATCGGAGCAAGGTTGTCTGAAAGTAGACAACAGACTTAGGCCCCCTCGTAGAAAGAGGCAGTTCATCCGATGAGAGGTAGTAACGGAATAGCAGCCAAGATGGCTTCTAAAAATTCCCCCACCTTTCAAGAACCTGCTGTACGGAGTCGTACACTTCCTTTCTTGCATTCTCACGGCTCATTTGCTCATTCCCGACAAGCCCATCATACTCCGTATGCGCATGTCGCACATGCGCCACCACCGCCAGGCGCACTTTGTCCTCGATGCCCAGCTTCGACGACCTTCCCACCCTGCCGCTGCGCTTCCTGAGCGTGCGCTGCAGCACCTTTTCCGCGTCCTCCGCGGGCATGCCCGGGAACTGCCGCCGCAGCGCCGCGGCGAAGGCGCACCGAGTGGTCTCGTTGCGGGCCGTCACCGCGTCGCGTCGCGCGTCGCGCGTCTGGCGCTCCTCCTGGAGGGTCTCGTGAACGATGTGTCGGGGCGCGCGCAGACCGATGGTCGTAGACCCGGAGCGCACAACGTAGAGGGTCCGGCCGGCGGCCATGGTCTTGCGGCGACACAGGGCCGTCATGAATGCGTAGCCCTTGCGGAGGAGCTTGTAATCCCTGGGCATCGGCGTGCTGGGTGAGACGGTGATTTCGGCAAAGGCCATCTCCTGCTGCCAGTGTGGAGGTTGGCGTAAAACCACCACCGATTGCTATAAGACTATCGGAGCTTGCATGACGACGTCAGTCTCGTTGACTGATATTCAGCAGTGTGCTGGTTGTTGACAGGTGAATGCTGCGAAGCAAGGGGGCAGTCTCTTTCGCTGAAGCTGTAGTGGGGCAACAGGGTGTTTGTTGGTACGGATACTGGCACAGAAAACACTTGCTTCCCTACGATCCATTTTCTCTTGGACAATATATTCTTTGAGTGTCTGCAAAGAGGAGAATTATCTTGTATTTCAAACAAATCTACATAAAAATACACCGGCCAACACCTCACGCACCGTTCACCCCGATACGCTTTGCAAGATAGTCAAAGATGACCTGGTGCGTCCGGAAGAAAGCGCCTTGATGGCAGTGTGTGTCCGCGCCCTCCTCCGCCTTCAAGCTCACAAACTCGTTCTCACACGTCAGCGTCTCGCGCAGCAGCTCCGGCTGACCCTTGAGGAAGTGGTCGTTCTCCGCGTCCATCACCAGGCACGGCGTCTTGATGTCCTGGCCGCTCCCGACCAGCGTGTACGCCCTCGTCGCCCTCGCCAGCTCCGACGCCGAGCGCACGCCCATCGTCCACCGCCCGTTGCGCAGCGCCCAGCGGACGCCCGTGTCCATCGCCGCCATCACGCCAGACAGCCAGTCGCACACGCCGTCGTAGCCTTGCTCGACCAGCCGCTGCACAAACGCCGGCTGCCGGGCGCGGAAGGCGGCGCCAAAGTCGAGCACGCCGTCGTCGAGGATCAGCGCCGCTGCGCGGTGCTCCCGTGTGGCTGCGCGCGCGACTAGGTAGCCGCCCATGCTCCAGCCGAAGACGACGAGGCGGCCGGGGTCGACGTCCGCGCGGGCGAGGGCGTGGTCGAGGACGGGCGTGAGCACGCGCTCCCAGTCCGGACGGAAGGGCAGCTTCTGGTTGCGGATGGCGCCGCCCTGGCCGGGACCGTCAAAGGCGAGGAAGTTGTAGCCCCGGGCCAGCGCGGCCGCCCCGATCGCGAACCAGCCCTCGCTGCTGGTCGAGTCGTAGCCGCCGTTGAAGACGATGGTCTTGCGCGGCTTCGCCGTCTTGTCCACGGCGACAAAGTAGCCTGGCAGCGTCGTCTCCTCGTACGGGATGGCGACTGCTTCGTAGGCGTACTCGGACAACGCCATGGCCTTTTCAAAGCACTCCTCTGAACTCGCGTACAAGAACTGTGCTAGTTCGTCCTTGTCATAATCCTCCCGTCGGAAGAACTCCGCCGTGCGGAAGTAGTTGGATGCGCGCAGGTAAGCTTGCCTTGCGCTCTCGTTGTTCTTGACTGAGGCGGAGCGCTCTGCCTGTGAAGCGGCGCGCTCGGCAGCCTTTTGCCACCCGCGCACCCAGTCGTCCTCGTTGCCAGGGCTTATGCGCGCGCAGATGGCAACCACCTCGGCAAGGTCTGCGCCGCCGTAGTTGCTATAGCCCGCGGCACGCAGCGCCTCAAAGCTAAACGTCGGGTTTGATTTGAAGAAGCAGTCGATAGTCATGGGCGCGGTGTTGGAGGGTGCTTTGCTTGTTTGCGACAGATGCCGTTGAAGGAGCGACGACGCCGTAGACTTTATAAGAGAGCGTGATGGTGGCAACCGTTCGGCGCTGAACTGCACGGGCTGAACGTAACCGGCCCGAACCGCGACACATGACTGGCAATTAACACCACAACCGGAGGCAATCAAACGAAAGTACAGACAAAAGTAGGCCCCTTAAAAAAGTTGATGCACTAGACCTGAGCGGAGACTTTAAATAAATTACTTCATAGTCCGCCGACTTCCATCAAAAATCTCCCACAAGCTGTACTATCCAACTGAAACTCCTCATCACTCGAGCAGAACAACCGTATAATGGCTTTTAAGCTTTACATATTCAACTAAATGCATTCCAGCCCTGCAAAAATAGGCTAGATGGCTCGTATCCCACCAATTGCTCAACTCCTACCTCTGCCAGAGACATGCCGTACCATTCGGAGTCCGTAAAGAGATCAGTCTCTCTGGTGTACGGCACGGCCGCCACTTCGCTCAAGCCGACGTTTAGTGCAGAGGCATCACTGACCGAACCAGCGGCTGGATTGCCAGCTCCCATCGCATATTCTCCCAAGTTGCTACCTGCTTCTGGGGTAAAAGGGTGCGCCCCGCCGACGCTCTCGGTCTGACCGGGTGCGTCTCTCGTTCTTGACAGGGCCTCGTCCCTACTTCTTAGCAATGGTTGGCCTGATTGCGTATTAGCTTTCATTTAATTCTGTCATCGATATGGGGAGTTGCCCATACGTTCACGCGTGTTGGGCTTTTCGGATAATTTCGACAGGTAGGGCTGCAGTGCAGAGCTAAGTACCTCCCACTGTTTCCGGATACGTTAACACCATGTTCACAATCCCGCAATCCATCAGCTAAAGGATAGGTACTTGCCGGTTGCTGCACGGGTCTCCAGGAAGGCCTCAAGATGTCCAGCACTTGCACGATCTGTTTGGCGGCAAGTAATCTGTCGGTACGTTGATCTGTGTTGGTCGGTGTCTCCGTCACAACTTGGTTGCGTCGAGCAGCGTCTGTCGAGAGGAACACCATGCCAACGACGAATGCGCCGTAGCCAACAAGAGGAGGCAAACGCGAGACATCTTCGTCACCGCTAAGATAGGGCGCCAATAACTGCGCGAATTGGTCCGCATGCTTCAAGACCGTTTCTGCTGCCCGCACTTGTGCCTGACGATGGTTGTCGATGTAGCGATCGGCGGGGATGCCGGAGAAGAGGGGAACAAGCAGAGAGTGCAGAACGATCTGGCATTGGTGGTACACGGCATCGTGGAAAATGTGCAGGTTCTGGACTTCAATCGTATGCTCCTCTTGGGAAGTTGAGCGTCTAGCAGAAGTAGCGTCGTGGAAGAGTATTGTTGCCAATTGTGAGAAGTGATGGACAGATTTGACCTCACCGGTGGTGATTGCTGACGGGCGGTCTTTGCAGAGAAGCTGGACTTTTGCCCTGGGGTGCGCAGTAGTAGTGTTAGCATGAAATTCTCCTCTTTGAAATCAGGCAAGGCCCGTACCAAACTCCAACCATTTTGATGAAGGAACCTGCAGCAGTAGCTGGTCGACTATCCGTCGTCGCAGACTTGGGCTGCACCGAGATTGTGTGCCAATTCTTGTCCATGACCTGATTATGGTTCACTCTCCAGCCTCGGGAGCTAGAGGCAATAGTGCCTGGCAGTGGCAGCATGGCGGCTTCCTTCCACGCGGAGTCGATGTATGCCTGCGGCTCCATCACAATGCAGGTGGACAGCCAGCAGGCCCAGAAACATCGCCGGCCAAATTCGACTTCAATCAATTCGCTGGAGCCCTCATTCTCCTGAGAAAGTCTCTGGTTATATCCGAGCACTTGGCATGCTCGATACGCAAGAGCTGGGGTCCTGTTAGCATAGGTACGAGAACATCGACCCCAGGCACAAATTGGACGGTGCGCGTCATATGAAAACTGGAAGGCTTACATATGCATAAATCCCCCGAGATCGGTTGGCCGACGCCAAACCAATAGAGCTGTACGGTCTGTATTGCCTGAACCACCATGAGAGAAGGAGAGTGCATGACTAACTGCACGGCCTCGGCCATGGCAGCCTTGGCCCAAGGCAGCCCGCAGGGTTGGTATATACTGAGAACTCTTAGTTCCTCGCTTGAAGCTGTTGCAGATCTCCTCTCATCGATCCTTGGATGCAGAAAACTAGAGATGGTTGCGTTAGCGCAGCTCTTAAAATTCTTTGGTGCTGATGCGAGGCGAGCATACAGGGTGGCCATCGCAAACAGCGCTCGGAGAAGAGCTCGGTGAACCTTCCCCTCGATGTACTGTTGAAACAGGAGCGGCTTATGAAATGTGATGGACGCGTTATAAATGCGTGCAAAATATACTTCGAGCAGGGCAAGGCCAAGTGAGGTAGGTGGTAAAGGGGGCGGCTGGCTCGAATCGAGAGAAGACTCGCCTACGAGCCAGGCAGATTTGCGCAGCTGATTTTGATACGACTGATGAGCAGCAAGTCAGTACATCTCGACGACTGGTCCGGGTATATATGCATCCTCCCCCACCAGCACTTACACCAGAAAGGACAGGGTACTCGGTCGCTAAGCCAGTGATTGTGCTTCCTGCCGCATCATCACTTGACGCGACATTCTCCGTGGGGTTTACCGGAGTACCGAGTCTCGGGGCCGAAGATGGGGGAGCAGGACGGTCTCCAAGGTCCCCAGACAATAACGTCTCCCGCGACCCGGACGCTGCCCCCGGGCGAGCATCAGCACCGGCACCATTGCGGACGCCCTGGCCTCCTGCTCGCAACGGCCTCTGCTTGCGCTTGCCGCGCGGGCCACGACGGTCCGGCGGTGCTGGATAGGCACACGCGGCACCGAGGCGACTACACCGGCCACAAACGGGGTGTCCGCGGTCACACTTGAGCTGCCCCGGCCCGAATCGTTAGCCCTCTCGGCGGCACTGAAACGCACGGCTGCGTCGGAAAGATGCGCATACCTTTTGTTCCCGACAGCGGAAACAGGCTGTGATTGATGAATGCGATGACGAACGGCGGTCGCCTTCCTTGTCGCGCGTAGACTGCATGATGCATCGCTGCCAGCCTTGGGGGTGTTGTTAGTTCGGGCCGAAAAATATTTTCTGGGTCGGAGAGAGCCTTTTTGACTGGCATGTTCGGACCGGGCTCACGTGCAAGGCCTGTTCGTTAAGCTCCGAATCGGGCCGGTGGCTTAAAGATTTGGGTTTCAAACGTAGGGAAATTAATTGCAACTGAATTGCAATTGACTTCACAGTGAGTCTCGGATGAACATGATTGTCTATTCGAGGCGGAGCTGCCATTGGCAACTAAGGCGTAGGGGGAGTTGGCGTGAATCATAGGCCTCCGTGTGGGCAGAAACAACATTGATAACAGGTAAACATTCTCGTAAAATAAATAATATTATACGGAATCAATTAGGACATTATTTGAACCCCGAAATTGGCCTGCGGCTCACATTGGATTAGACTACGAAAATCTGTTGTCCACCTCGCACGGCTACATCGTTCGACATACCGTTGTCACAGAACTCCATCCATCTTAACTCGTCCCTGTATGCAGTACCCATTGGCAATTGGCCACTGTGGGCAATTGACGTCTTGTAGCGTCCTCTTTGTTATTCTGTCTTATGCAAAAAGAAAATCTCTTACGACTGCTCCCTCACTTCAGCTCCGCCGCTGCCGAATCCACCGTAATCTCAATCCTATCCGACTCGTACGTGCCCTGGTACGTATTCGGCCTCTCCGGGATGCGCTCCAGAAACTCCTCCGTGATCTCGCTCTTCCGCATCGCCACCACCGCGCGCCACGGGCCCCTCATCCGCGCAAAGAACCGAGCCCCCAGCTCCCCGTACGGCACGTAGGCCGCCCGCAGGGCAATGTCCTCCGAGACCACCGCGCCGCCGCCGCCAGGCACCTCCACCAAGTAGTCGACCTTGGGCGGCCATGGGCGGTTGGGCCGGATGGGGTCCACGGGCTGGACCGGCGCGGCGTCGGCGGGCGAGCTGGGCGTGAGCTCGACTAGCCCGAGCGCGATGGCGAGCGCGTCGACGGGCGAGTCGTAGTCGAGAAGGCACACGGCAAAGGGGTTGTTGTTGGTGATGGTGGCGCGCAGCGTCGGCGGGTGCGCGCCCGGGACTTGCGCCAGCGTCACGGCGAGCTGCGGGATGGGGTCGGCGGTGACAGCGGCGGAGGAGGCCATCTCGGCGAGTCTGATCTTGAAAGCGGGGGTCGAGTAGGCGAGGAGAGCGACGATGGCGATGATGCCGAGAATGAGACGGATGCGGTGATGAGGGGGTCCCGGCGCGAGCATTTGGTGGAGGGGGCTTGCTTTTTTCGTGGCTTCCTCAAGAATCTCGAGAGAACATGGCAATGAAGAATGCAGAAACAGAAACGCGAAGAAAACGATGGAGAACGGCGTCTCCGCGGGGGCGAAACGGATCTCAAGATAACCTTGTTTGTTATCCCGACCAGCTGCCTGAAATAGCGGTAGCGGCTTCTTTGAGTTGTATCGGTCGGGGGACTACCTATACTCAGAACTTGTCAAAATTTCGCCACCTCGCGGAGGCTACTTCCCATGGCAACACTTGAGCGGATGCAGTTGCGAAGAACTGGCCGTTTTTACAGCTCCAATCGATCAAGACCATGCCTAGAATTGCTCGACTGGCCGAGGGTCTTGAACTTTGAGACTTTTCTCATCCTCCTATCACTGAATGACTGCCGATCATCATGGCTAATTCGTCTCGGAGCCAGCTACCTTCCATTTTAGGAAGCCTAAAGCAGCAAGCTTGGTGCTACGATGGACGCATCATCATACAAACGAACGTGCGGCTTTATAGATTAATGATTAATATACTTCCGACCGGTCTGGCTTGAGGCCAGCGGGGTTCTATACAGTCTTGAGAATATGATGATTGTCTTGTAATTCATAAGTCATTCCAATAACACAGTAACAAAACAGCTGCAACCTCAGGTATCCCAACAAATAAAAAACGTCAACATCAAACAAAATAATTCGTTGCCAATTTGATTCCTATACATCCTGTGTATACCCAAAAAAATCGCATCGCTGCCCGTTCTATCTCTCACTCTCACGTGAGGCTGGTCAACATGGCGCGCAGCAGGCCAGGGTGTGGTGCTGGAAGATAACCAAAGTCAGCGGCCGGTCCGATGACAGAGAAAGGAATGTTGAAAAAGAAAACAAAGAATGAAGAATGTTTCGCACGCTGCATCGTGGATCCGAATCTATCTGTAGGCAGGCAGGCTAAGGGTGATCCTACCTTTCTTGTCCTTTTCGAGTCTCGCCGGCTTGGGGTGGCTGGTGATGCGATCAACGCGTTCTTCGTACACGACCAGTTGGCCATCCTCTGAACGCTCGGTGCGGATGATGTCGTACTCTTCCTCATCGCGGTGGTGGTGATGGTGGCGGTGCCTTCGCGAGCCTTCGTACTCTCGCTCCAGGGCACGAATCTCAGCACGAATGTCGGAACGTGCCCGGGAGCGCGAGCGCGAGCGGGTTCTCACAAGGGGACCAACTACCAGAGTGTCCTCTTCATAGTCGCCCCTGAGATAGCGAGGGTAATCTTCGCGGATGACCGTCTTGTCCACAACCTCCACGGTGGCACGGCCAGGGGAGCGTGGATGGGCGTCGACAATCATTGGGACATTCGATACCGGAGCGGGAGGTGGAGGAGCGGGGGCGGGAATGGGAACAGGCACGGGCGGAGCCGGAGCCTGGATATAGATGGGTTGCGGAGGAGGCGGAGCAGGTGCCGGAGTGATGATGACCTCTTGCTTGACCTCGTCATGATGCGGGGTATGACGCTCCTCACGGCGCTCCTCAATGATCTCGCCGCCGGAATTCGACTTTGGTGGTGGTGGTGCTGGCACAGTAATTTCTACCTCGGCTGTGGCTGTTAGCATGGTCCAGCGTGAAACGAGGGGTTAGATACTCACTCTTTGTGTATTCCTCGCTGAGTCGGAGTAACTCATCAATGTGTTCCTGGCCAAGGGCCTTTTGAATAATAATTGTAGTTCCCTGCGGTGGTTAGTGTTGGTAATGACAGAAGCTTTTGGTAGTGAACGAACCTCTTCCACGAAAGGGTATCCCAGGTCGATAATGACCTTGGTTGAGACGAGACGGGCGGGGATGCGAGTCTTGCCCTTCTTTGGGTACTCTGAGCGCACGCTGGTTCCACCGCCGCTGCGGCTGTGACTGGAAACGCTCCTGCTGCGCGACCTGGAGTGGTGACTGCGGCTGACCCGGGAGCCAGCCGGGCTGCGATCGCGCTCGATGGTGCGCTCGCGTACGACCTCGTGGAGATGCTCCGGTCGCTCAGAGCGGGGCGCGGGAGGAGGGTAAAACTCGTCCCGGTACGGGTCGCGGGAGGGCTCACGGTAAGACTCGCGATACGTGTCACGCTCGTCATACTCGTACCGGGACCTGGCGGGCGGAGGGGGCGAGCGGCGGACCAGAGGACCAGGCTCGGGGCGACGGTCGAAAATGTCACTCCTGGGCCGGCGGAACTCGCGCTCCCTCTCGTCCAAGGCGACCTGGCGCTCGAAGTCGCGGGCTAGGTGGTCGGCATAGCGGGGTTCCTCGTAGGCCGGGCGACGACGGTCAAAATCGGCATCGCGCTCATAGAAGCGGTCGCGCTCTTCTACTTCGGCGCCGCGGGCGCCGCGCATGTAGTAACGGTCGTCCTCGACAACTCGGTCGCGAGCGTATCCGCGGTCTCGGTCGCGGTCACGCTCATAGTCGCGATCACGCTCGTAGAAGTAACGGTCTTGCTCGTAACGGTCGCCACGACTCATGGTGGATGCGACGGTTGATGGCGTTGTAAGGCTTGGGTGAGGGGTTGACGACGGGAGGGGTAACTAGCAGATGATCTAGAGGGAGGCAGGGCAAACGGCGCCTAGCGGGCGGTGGTGGATGTAGTATATAAACGAGGGGCTGTTGGCACAAGACAAGCACGGGTACAGCCGTTGAAAGGAGAAGATAAAAACGAAACTAGGATGGGAAAAAAAGAGGGGGACGGGTGAGAGATGTGTAATGTGGGTTTGTTGGAAGAAAGTGAGTGCGCGGGCTGAAAAGCTGAGGAGGGCCAGCTGGTACAGTCGAGGCGTCCAAGTCAGTTGTCGTGAGCAAATCTAGAGCAAAGATGGATGACGTGAAGTGGCAGTGCGCGCCCCGCCCGCCACCCTTTGGGCTGTGGCGCTGCGGCCCCTTCTGGCGCCCGCCTCGAGCCGTGGTTTGAAGGGCAGACGGCGGTGCCAGAGTCCACTGGAGCCCACTGAAGCCCGCCAAGAGCCCCTTTGAAACCTGGAAAGTGCCGCGCCGTAAAATGTGGGTTCCAGGCTTTTTTTCAGGCTTCCAGGTGCTGGGGAGGCTCCTGAGTGCCTTGCCAACTTGTCCAGGTACGACGTCATGATGCACCAGCCACACCTCCTTACGGGGCCTTCTTCACAGATATCACAGATTCTTCTTCCCACATCTCTTCCCACATCATCTCAAATCACCAATCTTGCCTTGGGCTGCAGTAGTCAAACCCGCCCATTGCCACCCATCTGCTCTCCCCATCCTCGTACACCTTTTCGCTGCAACTCGCACCTGCAGCCAGCCCGCGCGCTCGTGCCCACCCACCACACCCTCCTCGTGACTTGGTTGGTCCCTTGCCTACGTCGTCTGGCCTTGTTTTCAATTTTTCAAACCCCGTCGTGTCCAAGGCTAAACTTGTCATCCCGTTAATGACTATGCGGCTTTAATTTCTCGACAGTCCAAGCATGACTCTTATCGCCTTGACCAACCAACCAACCCACCCCGGCCGTGTCGTTGGGCCGCTACTACTCCTCTACGAACCATCGGGCACGAAAAGAACTCTATAAGTGATATGGAGACAGCCATGCCAAACGTTGCCAAGCTCCTGGGCAATCAACTAGAAGTCAAAAACTAGCACTAGTCGTCCATGTGGTGGAAAATCTCCCGAGCCCGCCGCTGGCCCCCAACCCAATACCCGGACCCGGCCCTGCCGTGCAACGAAACCGGCTGCAGATCACAAATTGCCTTGCGTCCGTTGCCTATAGTTGGCCCAGGCACAGACGGTGCGCTTTGATTATTTGGCCCAATCTTCGTCCCAAAAACTGCCCAACCTCGTACCATTTAGGTGCCAATCGGCAAGCCCGGCGCCGGATATGCTGCCGATACTGCATGGGCCTTCCCGTTGCGTAGATGTCGCGATCAAACAGCCGCCTGACTACAACAATGGCGCTTGCTTGGGTAAGGGACTATACTCGGCCTGCACAGAGACTATTCGGGCTATACCAGGTAATGCCAAAGGGGAAAGCCGCAGCTTCGCTTAGGGAATGATCAATTTTAGATGAAGAGAACCAATGGGGCTAATGACACAGGGTCCTCTTTACACATGACGTACTCTGAACAGCTCCAACCCTTTTTCCAGCCCAATGTGCAATTTTCGAACCCTTCAACCTGATACCCGACTTGACTTTTTCCCTGAGAAATCTACCGATTGTTGCCTGTTGCCACGCCCCAGAAATATGCAGCCCAGGCTCCCAAAATGAGCGCGATCGTCGCACCAAAGCAGCACAAACTGACCTGCCGATTCCTCTCCGCATTCTCGTCGTGCTCAAACTTGTCCTTTCTTTCGTTGATCAGATGTCCCTTTGCCAGCCTCTGCTTCCTCGTCCACTGCAGGCGGCCGAGAATGACGTCAAACCGACTCCAAACCAGCAACACCAGAGCAACCGCGACGGAGCCCACCGACAAGAATACATAGACGACGACGACTCGATCGTAGCTGTTGTTATCGCGGTCTTGGATGACGCCCGTGATGATGCGGATGATGATGTTCATGCTGTTGTTGATGGCGTTCTTGATGGCGTACCCCGACCCGAAGACTTCTTGATACCACATTGTCGTGCGGATGCTGTCAATAATGACGGTTGGTCCGAGAGACGATGCGAATGCGTAGACGCCAAAGCTCGCCGCGGTGCCGCGCACAGTCGGCCCCCATGCCGCGAGGCACATGGAAAGAAGCATGCAAGTACCGCACACGACCATGATGCTGATGCGATTGCCCAGGACGTCGATGAAGACACCGAGAAGAGGCACGAAGAAGAATCCGAGGTACTGCGACATGGCCGAGTACCAGCCCGCCCTCTCGGCTGTGACGTTGAAGCGCTGCTGCGCGAGCTCCGTCGCGTTCTGTGTAAACACCGACGCCGTGGACGTTTGGAAGAGCGTAAACGCCGCGACGAGCCAAAACGACCACGGCAGGCGCAGCATCTTGCCCCATTCAAACTTCTTGTTGCTCTCCGTGAGGGCCTCGCCCGTGGCCGGGTCCGCCGACGGCGCGTACGTGCGGTGGCACCAGCGCGTGAACCACCAAAAAACGAACGTGGCCACGTTGGTGAAGAGGTTCATGAAGACGGCGCACCAGTACACCCACGAGAAGTCGCCGGTGCGGCGGGCGATGACGTTTGCGGTAGCCTTGCCGACGAAGCCGCCGATCTTTCCGAGGCCGAGCTCGAGACCGAGCGTGGCGGCGAAGCCGTTGGAGGGCGCGAACCACGAGGAGAAGACCTTGTACTGGGCGACCTGCGTGGCGATGTCGCCGAGAGCCTGCACGACGACACCACCAATCATGAACCGGTAGCTACGGACGGTGGCGGCGGCGGCGATGAGGATGGCGCCGAGGGAGTAGACGGCGTTGCCGTAGAGGAGAGCGTTGGCGCCGCCGACGCGGTCGGTGACGACGCCGCTGAAGAGGATGAGGGCCGTCTTCATGAAGTCCTCGCTGGCCTCGAGGACTGCGTACTGGGCATTGTTGATGTGAAGTTTCTAAGGGCGGGGGTGTGAGTGTACACGAAGATATAAGTTGGGTTGCTGGGAATTAAGAAATGAATGGTACCTTCTTGATGGTGCTCTTCATCGCACCCGTGACACCACTGCTCCAGTGCGAGCCGAAGCCGATGAGACTGACGAGCACAACGGCGATGAGCTTGATGCGTAGCGGGATAGCCGTCTCGCGGTTCGTTGCCGATGACGACGGCCGATCGTCCGCCCGCGGCTGCTCATGGTCGCTGTCGACGGGGACGACGTCTGTCGCAGTCTCGTTCTTCATCGTAAGCAGAAGATGGAAAGGGCTGCGGGAAGCCGAGGCATGGCAGCGGAGGAGGGGACGTCGCAACGTTTATACTTGGTCGATCAGGACATGCAGGTCATTTATTTTTTGCCTCTGGTTATCTGATCTGATTGGTAAGATAACGGCAGTTTGTTGCCAAGACATGATGAACCCTCCTCTCGTTAGCGAAATAGGCTCGCGATGGGGTTCGCCATCCCACTTCTCGCGTGGGTTTGTGGGAATTGCACAGGGATTATTCTATGGACTTTTGGAAGGACAGCAAGTTTAAAATTTGGGAAATTGAAGGAAAGCCCACGTGGATTTGGAGCCTCTCTCCGGAGCGTGGCTTGCACAGGTCTATCCTGTCGGAAATACGAAACTTGGTGGGGGGGTTTTGGAGCCATTCATCCATATGCACCAGTATTCCTAACGGGCCGTTTTCTAAAGTCGGATTTACGAGAGAACTATAACTGCAACTCTGAAAGGGTAGGTACGACGCTGGCATCTTCAGGTGAGGTGCAATAAATGCTGCAGGAGCGGAATCCAGGCAAGGCTGCATATTTTCCGAGGAGAAATTGCCAAGCCAAGTCCGCCCCAGCCACTGGTTCGACGTTGCCAAGAGATGCTGCCAATAAATGTCTCGTCCAGTCTGGTCTTTTTCTTCATAGAGCCCCGTCACGTCGCAGTATTCCACGAATAATACTGTTTCTCAGTCGTGAGGATTTGCGATGGTGGCTGTTGCCCAGAGCAGCCCTATACAGAGAAAGCAGCCCGGCCAACTGCACAGTCAATCTAGTCGTCGCCGAGCACGCTCGATTTTATCAGTTTAGTCCTAGGGCATATGAATTCGAGATAATGGTCCCAACAGAGCCACCGAGAAACGTAGAAGTGAGGAGTTGGCCCAACCGACCAATTTTCTAGAAAGATAAAGAGGACAAACAACCTTGTTGACTCCGCGCTCCACGCGACCATCCCTCACCGGCTCTGATAGAGGATGGAGCTCAAAGAGAACTCGGGCCAACTGTAAGTTTAAGCTTCCACCCATACGTTTTATTAGGTGGGTCGATAATGGAACTATTAAAGTGCCAATATTCGTCGTCGTGACAGAAACGGAACCAAGGTTGTTCGCATACAGGAGTGGCGAACTCGGTGAGTGCTTCCGAAGCAAGCTATGGATTTATATCTCATTCTTCTCTTATAACTCATCAAAGGGTTGGGTTCTTGAATCTTGCATTCAATAAAGTGGACTACCAGACCAGACCAAATCACAGGCAAGCTTTCTCGATTGCGTGTTGACAGTTTTTTCAAGTTCCGGTTCAGGTGTACCACCGGAATGGTTCGTTTTGTTGATAATGGCAGACAAAGGTATTATTAGAGGATTGTATCAGAGCCGCTATTTTTTTTATATTCACTAGTGAACGCCGCCGCTCTCCGAAAGTACGCCGATCTTTGTCGACGGCATTCCTCGAGTGGCCCTGGCTGTCATGATAATACAACAATATTCTAATAGCACACGGCAAACAACGCCATTACCGTTCCCATAATCCATGCGGGAGCCAGCAAGGAAGCGCCACTGGAGCCGCTGGGGGACGCGGCCGTCTGAGAGCTGGTCGGGCTTGCAGTCGAGCTTCCCGCCGAAGTCGACGTCCCGTTGCCGCCGTTCTGGCAGTTGGCCTCGGAAAAGTAGTCCGTCGTCGCGTTGAACGTGCTGCTAAACGTCGACACGTACGGCTGCGCCAGCGGCTGCAGCGTCTTGGGCAGCTTCGTCAGGGCCTCGTCCACCAGCGCCTGCGCGCTCGGGCTAATCTCCGCGAGCTTCCCCCGCACCGCGTCGCACTCGCCCGCCGCCTCCACGACGCCGCGCTTCGCCTTGATGTCGTCGGTGAGCGCCTGGCTCTTGGTGCTGAGCGCGCCGAGGTCCGACGCGAGCGGGCCCGCGTCGCCGGCGCTGAGGTTGGGCAGGGAAGCGATGGTCGACTTGCCGGCGTCGAGGGCCCGCACGAGCGCGTCGGAGGCGTCGAGGACGGGCTGCTTGTCGCTGCCGGCGCTGGTGTAGGCCTGCACGGCCGAGTCGAGGTTGTCGACGGCGGCGGTGATGTTCTTGATGACGGTCTTGTAGGGCGCGGCGTCGCGCTCGACGACGAGGGTGGCCGAGGCGGTGATGGCGACGAGGCCGAGGCTCAGGAGGGTTGCGCACTTCATCGTGTCCTTTGTCTTGTTGAATGGAGGAGGGGAAAGGACGAAGACGAAGGCGGGAGGGGAGGGAAGGCGTGCGCGTCGCGGCCAAGACTGACTTGAGCCGCTCACTAGGCTGGAGCTTAAACTCGAAGAAGCAAAATCGAGACAGCCTGATTGATGATGATCTAAGCAGTGATGACGTCAGGAGGATGGCCGCTTCATGAATTGAAAGGCATTACTTAGTCAGAACTGATAGATGTATCTTCTGCGTTTATTAATTTGGCTAGACGGTGTTTTTTGAAATGCTCAGATAGGGCATTTTACAGACGTTCAATTTCGCTGTTCAAGTTGTTGGGCTGTCAAAGCGATTCCCTCCCCACTGTGGCGATGCTTTCATTAGCCGTCTTCGGCAAAAATATTGAACCTTCCTCGTGGTTGTTCCAGGTTTATTTCGGGTCAATTGGCCAAGATTCAGAGCCAATCATGCTCCAGACTTTCAAACGGTATTAGTTCTACTAATCAAGGCACTCTAGAAGCATCGACAGCTCCTCGCCGCAATGCACCGGGCGCGACACTGCCATGATCCCCGGACGTGCATGATCTACAGGCATATAGCCGCCCTAAACCCGAACCAGCCGGTGTTAGAAGCAGCAGCACCGAGTACGTCGAAAGGTGTCGCAAACTTACCGGCTTGTGATGTCAAGGGCCTGGGTCACCCCGGCTCGGGCCAGACCATGCGGGAGGGTCACTTTGCTGGACCCCCGACGGGAATCTTTGCATGGAGAGGAGTCAATCGGATCTCGCGAGTCGCACGTTGAACACGAAGCTGGCGGCAGACCTTCTGGTGGCTACCTGACTGCCGAGGATAGGGTTCCCGAGTTCGTTGAGAGGGTAGCCGTTGAGAGACGCCGAGCTACTCGAAAACCGGCTTTCGAAGTGTGTAGATACATTCCCTATCGATCATCCCAAATTACATCTGTATAGGTCTTTTGAGTATTTTTTTTTTATTTCATAGTTGGTCTATGTATTCGTCATGTACAAGTGGCTTATCATGCTGTCTATAGTCTATTGGTTCATATATCTTTAGTTGACGTACTTGAACGTCTCGGTGGGGGGCAGCTTGGGGGGCACGGCGTCGTTGTGAGCGGCCGGCTCATCGCCGTAGTTGAGGTGAGCGCGCAGCTTGTAGCTGGCGGGGACGTCGAGGAACTTCTTGAGCGCCTCCTCGACGGGGGGGATGCCGTTCATGTGCTGGAGGTTGGCGCCGAGACCCTCGAGCTCGAGGGCGGTCCAGACGAGGATCTGGTTCATACCAGTGGCGTGCTCGCCAAAGGACTCGAACATGTGGGCGAAGGAAGCGTGAGTCTTCTTGGCGTCCTCGGTGATGTTGGTGTCCTCCCAGAAGACGACCTGTTGTTGTTGCGTTAGTGGTGCATGTTCAGATGAAATCGGTGTTACATTTTGGGCGGGGACGTACCGAGCCGTAGGAGGCCTTGTGCGACTGCAGGATGCCGCTCATCTTGTCCCACACAGCCGCGCCGGCGCCCTTGAGGATGGGCTCGGCCGTGTTGATGACGATGTCCCAGAACTGCTTGTGCTTCTCGCCGGTGACGAGGGTGACGCGGACGGGCTGGGTGTTGTACGAGGAGGGGGCGAAGGCGAGGACCTCCTCGATAATCTCCTTGACGCGGCTATCCGAGACCTTGGACGTGCCCTTGAGGCCGTAGACGGAGCGGCGGTACTTGGCGGCGGCGAGCCAGTCGTTGGTGGACACCTTGGGGGCGGACATTTTGATGTAGATTGCGATGAGAGTTGTAAGTGTCAAGAGGATGATGTTGATGATGCTGGAATAGCGAGGCATTTTCTCTTTCGACTGAGCGGTCGCCTTGCCCCTACTTATACCTCTGGGCATCTGAAGCGGAACCGCTCGGAAATCGGGGGACGTCGCAGGTTCTCACACACTGACAAGCCCACAGGTGCCCCAGGTGCCGCTTTTCCAGCATGATTGATCATCAAGGGAGGTGACAACAGATTTTTTTGACTTTGGTAGCGTCTCGGCAGAAAGAGATGGACCCGGGGCAACCGCATGGTTGATGGCGTGCCTGCCGCGCGCTACGCACGAGTCGGAGTTTAGAAAACGTCCAACAGCTTTTGTCATGATTTCATCAGCAAAAGAAACCCCCATTGCCAAAGGGTCTGGAGGGGTCAAGAGGGGTCCCAAACGCCTAAGTGGGATGCTTTTGGTGGGCTTCGTGATACACTCCGCACTATTCCAGTTGGGAAAATTATTAATAATAGTTGGGTAGTCCCCGCCGGCCCCACATCTGCCTTTGCTTAGTTGACATTGGTAAGCGGCAGATTCTGCTTGCCACCTTATCAGCCGTCCCAAACAAAAGAAAAGAAGCCGCTGACTGGTACTTCTAGTTCGTATTGGTAAAATTCGCCTTGTCCCGGTTTCTGAAAGGCACGTCCCTAGTCGCTATGGTTTACCTATTCAAGCAGTCTGCAGATACACCATTGGCCGCCACCTGCTACCGGGCTACGGACTGCTACCCTGCAGAGCTGCATCGATCTCTTGGCGTCTTGTTCGTGCATGCCGTTGGGCTAGATGTGTGTCTAAAAAGGGTTATGGCTTGTATATGCCAAGGTAAATCTTGAGTTGCTGTTGCTTCGATTTTACTAGGTTGCTTTGCAGTGTCTCTCACTGCATAGCGAGCTAGTTGACTAAAGCAACTTGCAATGATTCTATCCCCGACTTTATTGCAACTACGATGTGCAAACAAGATCAGCGAAGGCTTTATTGGAGAATACCATATTCTAATTCAAAGCCATAGATTTTTTATCATCAATCAAACCACAAGCTGCTGCAGTGAATCAACAAGTAATATTGTTGGTGCACCCACTCCCTACCTATGTACATACATAGCTTACGTGTTGGGCCGAGCTTCTTGCGTGCATGAACCTCTGATATAAATCCTCACCCAGTATGAACTGCAATTACCCCACAATGGAGAACCAGATCGAGCTAGTTCTCAAACTTGACGGTCCGGTAGTTAAAAGCTTAGCGTTCAACAATCTATGCTTGTTATGGATGTTGGCGCTGCGGCAGCCTGATTAACATCAACGGGTACAGCAAGCGATTGCGCGTCCATAGTGTACCTCTCTATCCCTCAGCCGACTGGCGAGGGTGAAGAAAATCAGACTCGTCTTCATCATTATCATCTCGAGAGATTACGAGTTTCTAAGACAGCCGGACTCAAATGCACATCTCAAAAGTTGCCCTCACGGCCCTTGCCAGCGGTGCTGCTGCTCAGCTTGTCCTGCCCATTGGCCCCTACGGCGCTCGACTCAAGGCTGCGAGTGCCATCGGCTCCAAACACCATGTCGATTTCGGGACTCAATCCCAGCGGCCCTTAAGCGGCGGCCGTAAGCTGGGCTCCTCCTTCGCGGCCGACGACCTCCCGGCCTACAAGCACGGCCGGCACGCCCTCGTTGAGCAGGACGGCTCCGTGTGCCCTTCATACGGCGAGAAGCAGTGGACCGGTACCATTGACGTGACCGACACGCGTCGCCTGTTCTTCTGGGCGTTTGAGAGCCGCAATGATCCGGCCAACGACCCCGTCGTCTTCTGGATGAACGGCGGGCCGGGCGGGTCATCCATGACGGGCGCCTTCACCGAGATGGGCGCGTGCATGTTCCGCAACGGCAGCGCGACCCCGGAGCCGAACCCGTGGTCGTGGAACAACAACGCCACGGTCGTGTTCCTCGACCAGCCTGCCAGCGTTGGATTCTCCAGCATCGCCCCGGGCGGAAAGCTGCCCACGGTGGACGAGGACGGCGCAGAGGACTTTCAAGAGTTTCTCAACATCTTGTTCCGGGATGTGTTTCCGGAGAAGGCGCACTTGCCTATTCACATCGCGGCTGAATCCTACGGTGGTCATTATGGCCCGACGTACGTCTATCATATCCTGGAGTCCCGCCGATACAATGCGCCGACGGCCTTTTGGGGCAACATCACATCCATGATCCTGATTGATGCCGTACTCGATTTTGGTGGACCTTTCGGGGGATCCTATGAGCTGTTTTGCAAGGACAAGCGTGGAGCTGGAATTTTGACGGAAGAGCAATGCGAGAAGATGCTGGCGGCCCTGCCAGGCTATGAGAAGCTTGCCCGGCAATGCGAGCAATCACTCGATGCCAACGTTTGCGCGGGTGTACTCGCTTACGCCGAGGAGAAGATCACCGTTTACTATGACCAGTTGGTTGACAAGGGTGAACGCAACCCATATCATAGTAAGCCTTTCTCAAGTCACCCAACCAGCATAACTGGGAAGCAACGATCTCGCCAATTATGAGCGCTAACTGTATTCAAGTCCACCGCCGTTGCCTGAGTCACCCTCTCTGCCCGAACCCAGAGATGGGCAACTTTACCGAGTATCTGAATCGCAAAGAAGTGAAAAAGGCGCTCAGGTTCCCCAAGTCCTTTACCTTCCACGACGTGAACATGGAGCTCAACTCAGCCTACACCGCGTCCGGCTCGGCCTGCATTCCCACCACACCCAAGGTCGCAGACATCCTCGACGCTTACAAGACGCCCAAGTTCGTTGATGACGGCAAGAGCATCGGGGATATCCGCATCATGGCCCTGAACGGGAACCTTGATGCCGGCATCAACACGCACGGCAACATTGCCCAGTATGAGCGCATCATCTGGAGCCGCATGGGCGAGTATCGTGCCGCCGATTGGCACAACCTCGAAAAAGCAGAGGTCAAGGGAACGGGATCATGGAAGGGAACCAAGGATGGAAGACTGGTATTCATGGCTGTGGATGATGCGGGACACATGGTACCTGGCGACGTCCCTGAGGCGAGCTACCATATTCTGCAGCGATGGCTACACAATGAATGGCGATAATAAAGCAAGCTTGCATATAGTCCGAGTTTTATAATGCAGCATATAAATAAATGTCCGTGCTTTTCCGTATAGAGTGGAAATTACCCCGGATTTCAGTGATGAACCGCTAGTCAGCGGGATCACGGCCCAACTTTGGCATAATGCAGCCGGCGCTATTCACCATTGAGACGGTGGCGACCGCCACAATTGCCTCCTCTTTTATAGTTAAGCTAATAATGGGACTTTTTTTTATAAATCGGCATGGACGGACTCATCTTCATCTGATGTCTAGTAGCCGTCGCTCCATCATCACACCCCAAACCACGGCCACGGCCTGTCCATCCTCACCATGGAAGCGCTTTGGAAGCACATCGTGGCGACCTACAACCCGCACGTCATCGACATCGTGGGCGGCCAGCTGGTCCAGCTCGTCTTCTGGTGGCTGCCGTCGCTCCTCTACATCTCGCTCGACGCGCTCGCGCCGTCCTTCTCCGCCACGCACAAGATCCAGCCGGCGCCGAAGCAACCAACTCGGGCCGATATCGCGCACGCCGCCGGCATCGCACTCCGGAACCAAGCCATCGTCCTGGCTCTCCAAGTCGCCGCCGCCGCCGCAGCCACCCACTCCGGCCAACCCCCCGTCTTCCGCGTGACCGCCGAGCTGCCGTCGCTGGGGGAAGTCGCGCGGGACCTCGTGGCGGCGGCGCTCGCGCGCGAGGCGCTCTTCTACTACGCGCACCGGCTGCTGCACTGGCGGCCGCTGTACCGGCGCGTGCACAAGACGCACCACCGGTTCACGGCCCCCGTCGCGCTGGCATCGCAGTACGCGCACCCGCTGGAGCACGTCGTCGCCAACGCGCTGCCGATCGCGCTGCCGCCGGCGCTGCTGCGCGCGCACGTCCTGACGCTCTGGGTGTTTGTGGCCTTGCAGCTGGTCGAGACGGCGACGGTGCACAGCGGCTACGACTTCTTCGGCGGCCTGGCGCGGAAGCACGATAGGCATCACGAGCGGTTCGACGTGTACTTTGGTGGCATCGGGTTGCTGGACTGGCTTCACGGGACGGACGAGGCGGATCGGGCGGATAAGGCGAAAAAGAAGAAGAAGCAGTAGCCTGTGAGCATTATGCTGGCGGTTTATTAAGACAGGGCGATGACCTGTTGGCTGTTGGGCAATGTCTGTTAGCTGCGAATCTGCGTTTTCAGTTGCATAAAAAGAAACTGGTTTTTTCTTTCGAAAAAACAAACAAACAAACAGACAAAGGATAATCGTTCTTGAAAGCTTGCGAAAGCTGCAATATTCATCAGCTAGGTTGTAACGTAGTATGCTACATTGTTCTGTCGGCCAAGTTGCACCACTTTGACGGGTTGGATCACAATCTGGCACTACAAATAATACGTACAGAGAGAATAATACCCAAATTACCATTTCTTTTTAGCATCACCTACGGATGAAGTCATTATCCAATCTAATTCGCCAACGCCCAATGCTCTCCGGGACTTCGGCAAGTCGGGCGCTTAATCCTCAACGCAGATTCGCCGGCTCCAAGTGGGTGGACGGGACAATCTGCAGCCATCGGCCAGGGTCTCCGGGGCTGTGCAGAAAAGACAACACCAGACCGAACCAAGATGTCTATCCTCATGCCCCAGACAGATGTGATCAAGTTCCGCGGTGGAGCTTGCCTTGCATCCGGGCGCCTGCTCGATGCATCCGCCCGACAGTTATGGCTACTCTGTGATGGTGGGTGACTGGTAAGCATGCAGCATAGTGGGATGGATGATTGATGAAAAGCCCTGCTGGTGCCGCGTCGATGGTCGAGAGCCTTTCCCCTGCCATCTTTTGTTTTCCTTCTCGATGCTCGCTGTGCGAGGCTCGGCAAATTCTATCAAGAAGCCCGCCGTTCAAGACTCAGTCAGCTAGGCTGACCCCCGATCGAATCTGTGACCCTACGTCGTCGCCCTCGTCGAGACCTGAGATACGCAGTCACCATGATTCCCTTCTCCCACGGCACCAAGCTGTACATGGCAGCGACGGTTCTCCAATTGGCCACATTCTTCCTCCTTGCCTTCGTCACCGTCTTGCAGTTCTGCTTCGTCCGCCGCCATGGCGACGCCGCCCGCACCTGGGTCAAATGGGCTCGTTACTCGCTCGCCCTCTTCACCTTGTAAGTCAAGTCAATTTCAATCCCCGCCGCGTGCATGCTGACCAAGCGCGCCCAAAGCACACTGTTCGTCCTCTGCGGCGGCCTGATCATCGCAACCGTCTACAGCCGCTTCACCGACCGCCACATCGAGTTCTTTCAGTCTGAGCAGGAGGGCCTCACCCAGGCGCGCGGCTTCCTCGACGCCATCTGGATGCTCTGCGAGGCCGGCGTCCGCGTGCTCCTCCTCGCCACCTTTGTGTCGCTTGCTGCGGGCCTTGCTGCGGCGCGCTCGACCGGCGGCACCGGCGAGGTGCCGGCGGGCTGGGCCAAGATGTCGTTGCCCGCGTGGGGTGCCGGAGGCCTGACGTTTGTGCTCGCGATCGGCTTGTTTGGCGTGCGCTGCTACTACTGGGCGCACGTCTTCGATGAAGCCAAGGCTCGGGCGCCTTCAATGGCCGGACGACGCTCGGTGAGCGACTTGTATGGCGTTGACGCGGTGGATCTGCACAACATTGAGAACGTGACGAGCGATATCGACTTTGCGCTCAACTGCATCTGGCTCCTCCTGTCCATGCTGGTCTTGGGCCAGGCTGTCCGGACGCGGGCGCTGAGCCAGTCGGCGCCTCATACTCGACCGGTACGAATTCCCAGCCAGGGAACACATACTAAACTCTCATGCTGACAAGTTTATCTCACAGGCTTCCAACTATTTCCTCGCCTGCGCTATTCTCTTCGCGGCGCAGCCCCTTTACAACATCATCATCTTGATCATGTTCTACCTCAACTCGTCCGATGTGCCGGGTGTAGAGGCTACCATTGTCACGGGCGTCCTCTTCCGCACGTGGCCGTACGCCACGATCCTGCTGATTCTGTTTGTCCTCGGACGCAAGAAGATTGGCGGCGTGTGGTCGAAGCAGCAGACATTCCTGACCAAAGAAGCCGCCGCTGGCGAGACGGTATATCAGACGCCGTGGGGATACCAGGTCACTCACCAGACTGCACCGCAGCAGGCCCCGACGTCGAGTGCGCAGGCGCAACTGGAAAATTACTATGCGCAGCCTCAGCAGGACATGCAGTTCCAGCAGCAGCAGTATCAGCAACAGCAGTACCAGCAACAGCAGCAGCAGCAATATCAGCAACAGCAGTACCAGCAACAACAGCAGCAGCAGCAGCAGCCACACTATGGCTAACAGACTGGCTTGGAAGAAGTTGGAACAAGGATGACGGGATATGACCCGAGACTGATGATTTGAGCCGAAGAAAAAAAGACGAAGAGTTGAATATTGCTCGCAAATTAATGATACCAATTTGATACCGAAGACCTTGCTGGTGGCAGCTGGTGGTATTGCAAGGCAAACCCGATCTGCCAGCGCCGCAGCCACATTGATGGAAGTTTTCTGCCAGAATATTTATTTAAAATTTTATTCCCATCTTCTCGTTGACTGGCCCTACCCGCCTCTTCGTGCAGCAGACTGACCACATCTTGAAGGCTATTTATATACTCATAGACGTTTCCCCTCAACCGCCTTGCGTACCACCACTGAAGTCATGGCTCAAGGGGATATCCCACGCTACGCTGCGTGCCACCGGAGGACCTGAGAAGTTGGAGAGGCGGCTGGGATGCTGAGCTTGCGGAACCCCGGCGCTGGGTAGCGTTGAGATTGCGCGTCACCGCCGTGGGTTAGTGGGGGGATGGGATGCGACGGTGTTAGGAATCGTTCGTTACTGGTAACTTAGTTCAAACAGAGACGCAAGTGGTGCACGGAGCGGAGCGGGAACAACACAAAGCTAGTAGAGTTGGGGCAACTATCTAGCGTCAACCAGGTGCCTGGTATTGTGAGACTTGCCGAGAGGAAACATATTTCGCAGGAGGGCCTGTATTTGGTGTTTGGAAGTTGGAACAATTTTCTGACTTGTAACTTGTCCCGAGCGAGAGAAAATAATTCGACGCAGCCACACACCACAAGTCGGTCAAGCCACAATGGCGGTGCTTGGGGAACAAGGTTTCGCGGGCTAGCGTTTGACATGCAACGGCCAGGCGGTTTTGTGCAACCTGATAACCACTGCAGCAGCATCCGCAGACTGGTTTATTGGAACACAGCAGAGATCGATCTCAGCTCGCCCGCTTCATTACGTTACACAGAAAAAAGAGAATAAATAGGGGGATTCTTTGAATCAAGGTAGAAGAATCAATGGCTTCGCGGAGTGCGTCTTTTTGCCGCTACTGGCATGGCAAGTCGTCTCGCCAAGAGAATTCTGGAGCTGGCCCCTCACTGTAGAGGATCTATACAGGGGTTTCTAGTGGACAGAGAGCGCATTGGCAAGCCCTCTTTCCACCAGTTAGCGTGTTGGACGGCCCTTGTCTACGGAGACTTGGAGGGGCCATGGCCATGGGGGCTCGGGAGGGAGAGGCTGCAGCACATTGTGCAGCATCGGTGCCAGGCCTCGAGGCGCAGCAAGGACCGTCTCCCTCCCCCAGGCCTGCCCGTTTGCTGGGCTGCCAAGATTTCCGAGGTACCATCTTGCAATCTTGCTCTGTCCTTGCACAATCCATCGTTCGTCGGTTTTTTTCTTCTCATCATCATCCATCGAGACGGAAACAGCCGCGGCAACCTAGCTCTCGCTCGACGAACAGCGGCATCTCAGCGTCTTCTCCACCGTATTCGTACAATCAACGCCGCAGGTCTCCCGTCCGCGTCCGACGCCCGAGCCCGACGAGAAGCCCGTCTTTGTCCCTGCCCATAGTCGCCCGCCGCAAAAAAGGGCAGTTGTCGCAACACGCCCGCTGTACTCCTCGTCCGTCAACACTCCGCGAACCACGATATACTCGTGCAGCCCGCCGCCAGCGCTCCGTTCCGATCGCCCCCAGCAAGTCGCCCGCTTGAGAATGTGAGTCGAGGCAGGCCGTTTCCGCACGGTTCTGCATCGACACCATGTCCGCCATCGTCGGATATGAAATCTTCCACTTCGTGACCGATGCCATCCTCTTCATCACCCTGGTGGCCTCGATATGCTTCACCATCTGCGCCGCGCTCCGCCTCCGTCGCCGCCGCGACCATGCACGCAGGGTCTTTTCTTGGGTCAAGATAGCCTGGGTCATGCAAACAATGTATGTGATTATGGCCCCAACATGCTGCAGAAAAAGAAAGGAAAATGAGAGAAACGAAAGAAAGGAAAATGAGAGAAACGAAAGAAGGGAAAAGGGAGAGAGGAGGATATATTCTGGGACTCGATGTTCTAACGCAGTCCCTCAACAGTGCCGTCTTTTTTAGCCTCCTCGAAATCGCGACCGTCACCCTCGTCTCGCGCGTTTATCAATCCAACTATGACTATCTTGATGACGAAACAACAGAGGAGGACCCACTCGTTTTGGTCACTCGCATAGCGACTGGCGCCTCTGCTCTTTCTCTTTGCTTCAACGTCTTTGCCGAGCTCACTATCTTCCTCACCCTCGCTAGCTTGATCCGATGCATTCGATATATTGCTCCCCGCGACGAAAAACACATTCGTCGCCACAAGTGGTCACGATACTCCGCTTACGCCGTCTCGTTTGGCATTTGTATTCTTTCTCTTGCCGTTCTCAGTGTTGAGCTCTATCATATTGTTCTCTCGGAAATCATTTCCTCCACAAACGGCATTGCCTGGGATAGACTCTACAACAACTACTACGTCGCCTCCGCTATCATGAACTTGACATGCCAGGCGGTTCTCGCGTTCCTCGCCATATCCATGCTTGTTCGGTCTTGCCTGCTACGGCGCAAACTTCGCTCCTCGAAGTCGCTACAGAAGCCTCTGCGATACCTCATTGCTTGCTGCAGCGTCTGGATTGTACGTGCTGCTTTTGACATTTACTCCATCATTTTTCAAACGGTTAGCCCGTTCTTGTTTACCCCATTCGTTGAGGCTGGGTCGAGTTTCAACGAAATATTGTCCGTCATTCTCAAGACATGGCCCCTCTTCATCATTCTTGTTATTCTCTATTATCTCGGGCTGGAGAAGAAGACTGGTCTCTCATCTACTGGCACTTCCTTGCTCCTGGGAGACCGTGAAAGCCAGGTAGCTTCATCGGAATTCCTATCCCCAGAGCCGACAATAGCCACGCCGATGACGGAGCGCGCCGTCACCCCAGCTCTGTCGCCCGTACACCAACGCCCAGAAAGCTTATTTTCCTGTGACGGTGTCGCCGATGCACCTCCCGAATATTCTCCGCCAGCTTCCCATCATGTCGTCTCCTCTGTCACCGCAACTTCTCTTCTACATGTGCCAATCATCAGACGACCTATTCCCCCTTCTGCCTCACAAGCTACCGACGAAATGACGCGACTATCGGGAGAGGGCCATGAGCTATCAGCCAATCAGCCCGGAACAATAACACATCAAGCGGCAGTTCCATCGGTTAGCAATTCTTCGCCACAATCATCCCAACTATCACAGCGGAGCCTAGATGAGCTTGTACCGCAACTCCCCAGTACGACAGAAGACGATGATGAGTCTTTGGGTCTTTACCATCAAGCAGATGGCCGCATGCCGCAATCAGAACTGTCCAGCTCATTGCCATCCCACGATGAAGCAATGGGCTTGTACCATCAAGCCGACGGTCGACCCCCGACGTCCGAGGCGGACTCTAGTGTGCTACCCTCACACGAGGAGAGTATGGGCTTGTTTCATCAGGCGGACGGAAGGCCACCGGGATCAAGCAGCAGTGATGTGCCTCCGGAAAGCTCGAATGCAGCCCTCTTTTCGTCATTTGCAGCTACACCAGACACCATGTCTGCCCCTCCATCGCACGATGAAGCGATGGGATTATATCACCAAGCGGACGGTAGAGTGCCTCTGTCAGAAGTGCTGCCACCGGAAAAGGATACGAAAAAGAAGTAATTCGTGTGTTTAAAGCTACAAGGCGTTTTTTTTTTTTGCAAAGCTTGGATACATAGACGTATACGAAGTCGGCATTTATCGGTTGACTTGTCCTTGGCTTCGGTTTGGATATTGGGTTTCCGCATTATTGTATTACTCGGGAAATTGGCGTATTGATGGAAATTACGAGGCGGACGCGCACAGAAACATCTGCATTTATATATTCCTCAGCTGTCGATATGACAGCGTTTGCAAATTCTTTGCTTCTATACCAGATGTACAAATATATGGCTGAAATGCATAGGGGGCGTCTATCTCTCGCTGTGATCCGTTTAATCTACGTCGGAAAATTCACCAGGAACCACGTACTCTCCAAGCTCATTCTCAGTGCCAGCAACGAATCTATTTGGGTCAATATGTGACAGGCGGGTAGTCAGGATGGAACGTACTTTGTGTGGCTTCCTCGAGCTGCGAGCTGGCCTTTACTGTTGAAGAAGTGTACCGTCGTGTACGCCAACGTCTTGCCGACTGCCAATTTGCGTAAGCTCATGATCGAGGCTCTGTTTCGGTCAGAACTTTGAAGGGACTTACTCTTGTCGCAGACGGCCACGCCTTTGAGAATATCGCCGGGATTACCACCAGGATTTAGGTAGCTGACTGGAGGAAAGGAAGTCAGTATCGATGTATCAAACGCGACGTCTCCATTGCCAGACGTACTGTTGATGTCAGTAGAGACGCCAGTCTTCCATCTTCCGTGGGATGAAACGGCTAGACTGCCGCCCAAGTCGACAATCGCGGCCAATGTGCCCCCATGGATGGTATTGAGGCGGTTCTGTTAAGCTGTTATGCGGACATTCTTGAGGATAATGGCCGAGATGGGGGCGTACAGTGTGGTCTTTGTGTATATCCAATTCAAAGTCGACCTTGCCTTTGGCGGCGCTGGTCACACGAAACTGCAGACGAGAGGATTAGCTCAACCGGCCGCGAAATGAGACTATGACCATAAAGTTGAAGGCCCTTACTCGGCTGGCACCAAGTAATCTATTAAAGTGTTAGCTGTAAGCACTGTGCCTGTGTTTGCGCCATCAGTGAGCGGACATACTGCGGCTCGAGACCGGACTGGGCCATGAATGACTTGACCACCTGCTGGCGCGTTAGCAATTGGGCACACTCTGCCCTTCAAAAACAAGCTCACGGTCTGTGTAAAGACCAAGGGTGATAACTTCTTGGCCATCTTGTTAAAGCAGCTACTGGGCACGGAATCGAATAGAATGGTGACTTTGTAAACGCTGAGTATCGGCTACCGAGGCGGCGTCACCACTTTCCGCGCAGTGACCGAGTTCCACCACAGCGACCCTGGCCACTGAAACAGCCGCTAATAAACTAAAGTAATGGGCGCAATTATCCGACCATAATCCGGCCATTTGTTTGATGGCGCCGACACCGTGAACTTTCCAAAACCTTCACCCGTTGTTCTTCGCCCTCCAGTCTCTCTCCGCACAGCGACAACAGAAGCGGAGCTCTAGGGCGAATACGGCGACTTCCCATACCATGATCTAGGCGGTTCCTTCCCTCTCACGGAACGACCTTGGCATCGCCGCCGTTCCGGCGCAACGAGCGCGCACCGAATCCAGCAGGCAACCGTTCCCGCCCTCACGAGAACCTCGAGCGAACGAACACTCCACCAAGGGGCGCGCAAAAATCATGGCGGTCAATCCGCAGCCGGCGCTGCAGCTGGCTGACTACCTGGAGAAGCTGCCGGGCACGACCTTCAGGAAGCTCTACCAGCAGCCCTCGACGGCCTTTGCCATTTTCCGGCGCATGCTGCCGCAGCTGGGTAAAGTTGCCCGGGCCGAGTCGTGGGTGGTGAGCGTGACAAGTTCACTGACGGACTGACAAAAAAAATACCCAACAGCCAAAACGTTTGTGATGCGCATGCTGTACATGCCCAACCCGATGAGTCTGGCGGACCTGGACACTTGGGTCAAGCCCGAAGCGAAGAGGTGAGAGTGAGGCCCGTTCACGGATGTTCTTGTGTCGGGGGACGTTGCTCGCAGAACCAATTTCGCAGGACTAACGCGACGAGCGCCGCAAACCCCGATAGACAAAAAGACCAGGTGCTCTCGACGCTCCGAAGCCTCCACATCGTGCAGATATCCGCGCCGTCCCGCGACAAGCCGCAGGAGGTGCAGCTCACGGCCAACTTTCGCACCTCGATGCGCCTCGCCCTGACCGGCGGAGGCGACCACGGCTCCTTCGGCGTGCCCTCGAGCCTCCTCGTGCCTCCCGAGATCGACCTTGCCTTCCTCGACCGCCACGCGCGCCGGCGCTGGGACGACATCCTCCACTTCGTCGTGTCCTCCGTCGGCTTCAAGAGCACCCTATCCACCAACTCTGACTCCGGCCCCAACAAGAGCGTCCGCGATATCCTCGTGGCTGGCGGCCTCGTCGACCGCCGCCCTAACGGGTCCGTCGGCATCACGCAGGCCGGCTTCACGTTCCTGCTGCAGGAGGCCAACGCCCAGGTGTGGACGCTCCTGCTGATGTGGCTCGAGGCGCTGCTCGAGGCCGACCGCGGCGCCGCCGTCGACGTCCTCTCCTTCCTCTTCGTCCTCGCCAGCCTCGAGCTCGGCCGCGCCTACGACACCGACGCCCTCACCGAGAAGCGCCGCGACATGCTGCCCGCCCTCGCCGACTTTGGCCTCGTCTACATACCCCCGCAGAAGCGCTCCATGTTCTTCCCCACGCGCCTAGCCACCACCCTTACCAGCGGCGGCGGCGGTAGCGCCGGCGGGAACTTCCGCAGCATCAGCGACGGCGTCGCCGCCGCCACCTCGGCCGCGCTCGCTTCCAACGGCCAGCAGTCGAGACCAACTACCGGCTGTACGCGTACACGCAGTCGACGCTGCAGATCGCCGTGCTCGCGCTCTTCGCGCGGCTAACCATGCGCTTCCCGGACATGGTCGCCGGCCGCATCACGCGCACCTCGATCCGGCAGGCCATCCAGTTCGGCATCACCGCCGACCAGATCGTCGCGTACCTCGCCGCCCACGCCCACGAGCAGATGCACCGCTCCGCCGCCCTCGCCAACAAGCCCGTGCTGCCACCGACCGTCGTCGACCAAATCCGCCTCTGGCAGCTCGAGAACGAGCGCATGAAGACCACCAGCGGTTTCCTCTTCCGCGACTTTGATGACCCCAAGGAGTACCACGACACGCGCCGCTTCGCCGAAGAGATTGGCGTGCTCGTCTGGAGCAACGACAAGTCCGGCATGTTCTTTGCCAGCAAGTTTGAGCAGATTAGAGACTACTTGAAGAGTAGGAAGAAGGCAGAATGAGCGTGTCGAAGACGGGCTGCAGCAGAGTGTTGGGTTTCTCCAATACGACATAGATTGGCGAACAAAGGTAGATCTAGGATGAGGATATTTGTTTTCACTGGCGTTGACTACTGGACAATTGCATTATGCACAAGTAGATTGGGACTCGTTTGAGGCTGGAAAAAATGGCCGCATCTATTTAAAATTACAGCGTTATTAAAAACGCAACAATCAAGCATTACTTATATTCTATTACATCAAGACTCCCACCGAGCCAACCGCCACCTTCCTGGGGGTATCTGTCTATCCATGAAAAATCAATCAGCACCTGTGTGCGCCAAACTGCCAAAGCCAGTAATACTCCATCTCGTAAAACCATTCAGCAACGGCAGAAAAGTCAAGAGCAAAATGCAAGAGGCCGAAAAGAAAAGTGCGTGAGTTCAAAGGCCAAAATCAGATACTCCAATCATCAAGACTTCCCTCGATAGTGTCCGTTACCAAAGTCAAAACCAGAAAAGAACGAAGTCCAAGAGAATGTAGCGGGTCGAACCAAAGAAAGAGCGCAGCAATTCTGCGATGTAAAACATGCGGATTTGTGTACATCAACCGAATTATCGAAAATTTAAATATCGACCCTCGAGGCTGTTGGGGTTGGTCATCCCAAAGGCGTTGGAAGCATTGCTGTAATAAGCCTCCTCTAAAAAGTTCAGGCCTAGTTCATCGCAATGACGAGCGTGCGATGCAAAACGTCTTGAGATCTGCAAGTCTCCAGAAAAACCAGGACGGAGATTCGGTCGACGGCGGATGAAAGCATAGTTTTCTCTCCAGCGCCTCAGTGACTCTCTGGAAGCTGTGGTGATGCATTGTGATTCGAGTATGGAAAAGACTTGACGACAAAGGTCGTCCTCGTCCCGTAGAAGGTATGGAGGGTCTTCACAGAGTTCTATATCTGCATGCCTTCTCCTGCGGGAGGCGTCTTGAACACCCATCTGGATTGTGTCGGTGGCTTGAGCCAGCACGTGAGCCATGTGCTCGCTAGAAAGACGGTCTCGTAGCGCAGTAAACCGACCGGTCCAGTAGGCAGACGGCTGGGCATGTATAATTTGCCCAGGGCGTGGTAAAGATTCGGTTGCGTCGTTCATCTGTCCTGAGGAATCTGGTGTTGTAATGTTGGTCGTGGAAGAATGTCTGCTCGATGATATCGAGTCTTCTTGTGAAGCTCGTCTGAGCGAACGGAAGAGGAATCTGATAGGCATTTCGGATTGCTTGAGAGGAGTTTCGGGCAATTTGGTCTGTGGTTTGGGGATAGAGTCTAGCGCAGTGGTTCGACGGGGAGCCGAGTTCTTTATATCTTGCAAGACATTCATAGTTTTGGATTTAGGTAGTCTTGTGGCAAACGTAGGCTTTCTCGTCGGAGGGCTAGCAAGGTGTGGCGGCCTGGTAGTGTGCGTATATTCTCCATTGTCGGTGAATACAGTGGTGGTAGATTCTGAGGCGATTTTGAGTTTCGAAAGTGTTGAAGTAAGTTCTTCTTCGAACTTACTTCGTGGCGTTGTGCCTGGCGTGGGCACCGCGTCTTTGGCAGGGGACGAGAGACTTGCTAAGCTTTGCGTCTTCAATAATGTCTTTCTGGCGAAGATACTGATAGCCGTCTTCTTCTCAGTTATAGGTGTTGCCGAGGTTTGCACTCCGTCATTGTCTTGTGCTTGGGCACAGTCGTTGATTGCGTTGACAATGATCAATCCGGCACTTCGTGTCAAGTCTGGTCCTCGGGAGTTTTTGACAGGCCCGATTGGCGAAGATATCACCAAGGGCTGCTTAATCCGACTGGAACTCGAATCATTTTTGTGGCCTGAGAATATCTGAGAAATTCCCATTCTGCTTTTACCCATACTGAAGGGCAGAGCTGACTCATTTGGTTCCAATTACGTCAGTGTCAAGGCCCATGTCGGAACTGATCGATGGTAGAGAGCCGCCGGTTGATGAAAGTACAGTGCAATCCAAAAAGAGATTAATAGTCCAAGTATTGGGTAACAGCAGATGCTGGTTTGGAAGCAAAAGAAAGCTCAGTAACGAAATCGGACAAGAGGAGAATGTGCAAGCCGGCCGGATCCAAGCCCAACCGAGGATGGAGATGGCAGCTGGTAGAACGCGATGGGAAGCGCGCCTCTGTCGCGAAGAAGCTGACGCAGTTTGCATGCAAGTTCGCTTATTCAGTGGGACTGCAAATGGCATAGAATGCGATGAAAGGCAAAGATGCGATTGGCCGGGCGTTTCGTTTATTTTGGTCCAAGGCAGTAGCAGTCTGGCAGCTGCCTGTCAGTCAGATGGGCCGTTCGCCAGCTGGCAGGCATAAACCAAGCAAACGCCTGTGGTTTGTAAATTTGACATCTCTACCTGGTACCTACAGATCTTAGTTAATACCTAGGCATGTGCCAATGTAGCCAAGGTCTATGTTACGCAGCTTAAGAACACTTATGTACACTGGTTTGGGACCGACCTTGTTGAGCGGCATGTGATATGTCTCGATTTCCTTCGTCGTCATTGGCACTATTGGTTCGGTACAAGAGGTGAGTAGCATCACGTAAATAGGTAATACGCCAAAATCACAGAAGAAAACGAATTTATTACAGTGTCAATAAGTCATTCTTGCAATTTCAGCCCTCAGTCTCCCAACCGTCCACAGTAAACTTGATTGTCACGTCCGCCGCGCCTCGCTCAATCACATTTCCGTTTGGATCAAATAAGGCCCTCTCGATATATGTAGCATTGCCATTCAAGTCGAATAGAATGACTGTCTGACGCTGGGTTCCATACAAGCCCGTTGAATAACCGCCAACGGGGTTGGGTGGTGCATGGCTGGATCCATTTGAAGCTTTGGAGTCCTCATCCCAGCCCACACGACCTTTGGCTGCGGATTCTGCGAACTCGGCCTTTTGCTGAGAGGTGCCGACGGGTGGTAGGAATACGCTGTGGCGAAACCTCTTCATGCTATCCTGCACGGTACCTTCTCCGTCGCTGGCGGGCGGCAGCGTGTCCCGACTAAGGACTGTGAAGAGTGACTCGACAAAATCCGATTCGCTCTGATTATGGGATACAGCATCTTGGATAGCCTTGCTGACTAGCTCCTCACCGTCCAGTACCTTCGGCCATTTTTCCGGGTTCGTGTATGTTGTGTTACTCAATCCCCAGGTCCTTCCCCTCTCCCCCGTCACGATCGGAACATCGTCCACGCGATCTGCTCGGTTGCTCACAATCGAAACATTTTCGGCATTTTTGCGCACCCTTCCGCAGATCATGGAGAACCCGCCGACACCTTTGACCCCGCCGTCCTTGACCAAGCGATGGACACGATCAGTCAGCGACTCGTTTGCGTCACCGCCCAGCCATAGGCTGGGCATGCCACCTCTGCTTCGCGTCGTAGAAATCGCAGACGCCTCATCGACAATTTCTTGATAGTTGGTGAGAATGGCAAAGTCGCCAGCTTTGTTCACAGCTAGCCACGTGCCTTTCTCGGGTCGCTGCAGGTCCCGCGACGAGAGGACCTGCTGGCCGGAACTTTGGTGAGTCCACCAATGAGGTCGAGATGTCGGCCGTAATATGAACTCATCTCGGTTATCGACGATTATCAGAGAATAATCCGGGTGGGCGGTAGACAAGATGGCGATGCACATCGCGATTGTGCCGTGGCAGCTGCGTTACTAACGGAAAACGCGAGCGGCACACGGGTTGTAAGTTGCCGCACTTAAGAAACAGCTCTTTGTACTGGCTAGGCCAGAGCGAGTTTAAAATCTGTTCAAAACAAACCGTGAAGGAGGAAGATCGGTGAGTGTGAGTGTCAGGTTGACCGCGCCGAGACTCCGAGTCCTCGGGGTATGCGATGGCGGCTGAAGTACTCCGCTGCATGCTGCGTCATTGGCCACCCCGAACCACTGCTGCCCGAAATCCGCCCAACCCACCATTCCTCATACATAGAAGCTTGTGATCAACGCCAACGCACCTGAGTCCTGTCAAGACAGCCCTCAAACAAATTAATCCGCTATTAAATGTGTTGGAATCCAAAATCGTTCTACGACCTCTCCAAGTGGCAGCTGTAATGGTTGAGACTGACCGACTGGCGTGCAGCCGCAAAGAGGCGATCATTATTTGATTGTGCAGCAGCTCTGTATGTATGTATGCAAGGCACTGCGCCGACATCGCTGGGCTCGGACAACAAACGAAATGCAACTAATTTCGTACAACCAACATTTTTACCGACCATGCATCATCCAAAAACCGTTCTTGCAGCTTGTTCGAAATGCAGTTTCCGCTCATGCAACGGCCTCTATATACAGCCTGAAATGCAGCAAACCAAAGTTTTCAATGCAGTTTGAAGTAGCCTGGCTGCAGCCGCTGCAGAACCTGGTCCGGGTCGTACTTCTTGGAAATGTTTCGAAGTTTGGCGAGGTTTGCATCTCCGTAGCTAGCAAACACATCCTGCTTCTGCGAAGCGTAGTTTTGGTACAGGTAGGGGTGATCGAGCCCTCGTGTCTTCGCTGCTGCCGTGGAGCGAGTCACTATGGCGTTGGCTGCGGCCATGATGCGCTCGTCGTCGCTAATTTTCGTCCACGAGAAGTCAATGTTGACCACTGTTCCGAAACAATTAGCACAGAAAATAAGAATACTTGAGGCGGTGTACGAACAGGTAAGCGGGCCTTGGCCTTCTAGACCCAAGGGGTTGCCGCCGTTCTTGGAAAAATGCTTCGTCATGGACGTGGTGATTGGCTGAAAGATGGCAGCCGGCACGATGCCGGGCGCGTCCTTGACTTTGTCTACTTCCTCCGTATAGATAGCAATGATCTCGTCCATGAGTGCCGCACTATTTTTGAAGGTAAAAGTCCAATAAGTTTTGCTACGACAAGTTGTCAGAATCAATGAGTCAAAATCTGTTTCTCTCGCTCATAGACGACGTACCGGAATCCGTAAGGATTGGTAGCGTTGAACTCTTGTGTTAGTGACGGTAGGTCGACTACGCGCAGAGTGTCGGCAACGGCACCGGTAATGGCCGTGAAGTTTTGAAGAACGGGAGGATTGGCAACGGGTTTGCCATACTGGAGGTCCGAAGCAATGACATAAATGCCCTGCGTTTGTGCGTATGCGTATGCCGTAATAATCTGAGCATAATCATCTTCAGGAGAATTGATAGCAAAACTCTCGAAAGCCTTGTTGATGGCCTTGCTCGTCTCGAGTGTGTTGATAAAGGTTTGCGAACCAGCCCACATGTCGCCTTGTGGATATGTCTCGAGGTCGAGGCGCGTGACAATGGCAAAGTTATTACCGCCGCCGCGCAGCGCCCAATAGAGATCCTTGTTGCATGATTTGGCATTGATGTCGCGAATGGAGCCGTCTGCAAGGACTACCTGGTAGTTGTAGACATTGTCACACGCCCAGCCGTATCGTGCCGAAAAGAACGATATGCCGCCACCCAGAGTAAGTCCTCCAACACCGATGGGAGACACCCTGCCGCCGATGACGGTGAGGTTTTGCGGAGTCAGCTGCGAGTACACATTGTACCACGTGTTGCCGGCTCCAACAGACGTGATCTTCTTGTCTTTCGATAGTTGTACATCTGTAAGATGAATAAAATCAACTGTTACGCCATCTTGAATGTTGGAGGCTCCCGAGAATGCGCCATGACCCCCACTCTTGATGGCGAACTTGCATTGGGTTACGCGAAACGTCAGGATAGCCAAGGAAACATCCTCGGCGCGGGTGGGCGAGAAGCGGCAAGATGGACGGGTAAGCTCCTGCTGCTGGGACCAGTATCGGTTTTCTTGGAAATCATAGGTTGAGGAGTTCGGGAAGGCAACGGTATTGGGACGGGAGAAGGCCAGGAAGCCACACTGTTTTACAGGTCTGTCAGCCACGGCCGAGGGAAGGGACACGGAACTTGCCGCGTGGGAATCTGGGGCTGAACTCACTGCTACGTCGCAACCAAAGTTGGAAGCTGCCCTTGATTGGTGAGTCGCATTGTGACCCAGGTAGGTTGATATGTCGGCCTGGACACCCTCCAATGTGTAGGGTGAGAAGGAGACAGCGACAGCACTGCGCGAGAGAAGTGCCAGAGCGGCAAGCAAGAAGAGTCGCATCATGAGTCTGTGTGTGTACCGCGGGGGAAGCGACCACGCGAATAGGGTGACCCAAGGGAAAAGGATCGTAGACGGTGGTCAGCAATGGGGTTGCAGGAGGGGGCGCTAGACGGTTTCCTTGGTTGGGTGAGTGGATTGGCGAGGTCCTGGCTGTTGCGCGGGGATAACCATCGATGTCTTCGTTGGGGCAGGAGAGAGATCGGACGAGGAAATCCAGGGTTTATTAGCAGGTTGAGTCGAGAATCGCGGTAGAGCACGAGTTCGGGCGAATTGGCCACCCGGCGGCGTTTTCATTGAGCAGTAACGCCGTCAACTGTGGCCGTATTGGCGCGAAAAAGGTGGGAAATTATCGACGGACATGCTTGGAGGGCCGTGTTGGTGATTTTTTGCGTGGGATATCGGCGGGTGGCACGGAGGACGCGGACGCTAGCTAGCTTGAGGCAAGTCAGCCGAAGATCTAGCTAGGAAATAAATCGTTTGGGAAGGTCGCCATCCGGGAAGCATTTTCCTTTGTACGGCCGGTGATGGCGGATGCAGACTCTGCCTATCGCTACCCAAAAACGTCACTATCTCTGTTACAAGCGAATAGAGCGGGGTTTCAAGGGAGACTTCGTTGAGGCGCCAAAAGCCCTCTTTGAGTAAACAAATATTGCCATTTTTGTGAATGATGGGCATGTATCCGTACCTTGCGGGAAAGCCTGGGAACTTTACTACAAAAGAATGACTGTGGCTTGCCTTTGCCCCTGTGCCAGCCGCAGCCACTTCGCGGTGCGCCAGCCACCATTACTAGCCTCGTATGGGCAATATATTTGATTCAACTCTCCATCTTCTGCGTGTTATGCTGTTGCGGGCCATGGCCACACAAAAGCACTTGCTAATAGCGACGGCAGGCTTCGGTGCTATCATTTCATAAGATAATGTCCAAACCATGGCCCACCCTGGTACCAATATGGACGCACTAACGTCGAGACAGATGGGTGTGCTCCGAAGCACCACGACTCGAACCGTCTACAGGCCGTCAGATTGAGCTTCAAGCTAGAAGAAACAAGTCAGCAAAAACCAGTTCACTACCTGCTTACGGCGGCCGGCGCGAGACCTCCCCTCCAAAGTCTAGCACTATTCCACGCCAGCGATGTTCAGTGTCGGAGACATCTTCGCGGCACCCATGCTGCCACTTCGTCAATAAGCGACTCCAACGTCACTGTCGAGATGTCGCAGCGCAGACTCAATGGAGCCCGAAGACCCTTGCGCTGTCATCTTACTGAATGCCCTTCACGGCATCTCCCGTCCTCCGTTGCGGCGGCCTGCCCACTGGCGGCAACGTCATTCGTCGGTGGACGCTGACGGGCTTCGGAGGGGCGCTTTTGTATGTTGGATCTGTGGTTGATCTCTAGCCCAATTCCGGGCCTGTTCCTGCACCATTCCGTCTTGGTCTGATGCGCGGCCATGGGGGAGGTCGGTACTCCCTCACTCTTATTAGCGCCCGACCCCCAAATTCCATATCCTCTTAATGTAGCCTCATGGCCCCCATCAATAAGCCACCCTCTACTTCTTTTTACCGAATGCTGGATCAAAGGTAGCAATCTGTCATTGTTGCTGCTGCTTCTTTTCTGGTTTGCTCGATCAACCTGAGTGTGGTGGCTCGCCCGTGCCAGTCGCATCGTCACAATGGGCACGCAAAATGTGTCTCAAAGGGCTGACCAAGTACGTCTGACATATCTTTTACCAGTGGTCGATCATACTCCCGAGCGCGGGGTAGAGGTTTGCTAACCTTCGTCGTCGCCTTTTATGTAGGAGGGCTTGATTGCATGCTTATGCGTCGCCATCGTCTTCGTCCTTATGCGTACTGGCGCACGCTGGTATAAGCTGCGCAAGGTTCCCTACCAGATGGAGGACATCTTTATGTACTTCGCACTGGCCTCATTTATCCTCACGGTTGCACTATACTATGCAACAATCGATGCATTTTTCAAAGTCACCGCCATTGCGGAAGGCCGCGCACAACCATATACTGGACTCTCCGACGACCTGGTCGCGATGCTGAAGGAGTTTTTTGTTGTCCAATTCTTCTTCTGGTCGACGCTTTGGGCTGTCAAATGGAGTCTCCTATTCATGTTCAAGCGACTCACCGAAGGCTTGCCTCTCTACACACAGATTTGGTGGGGAGTCATGGTATATTCCGTCCTGGTTTTCATTGGATGTTGCATTAGCAACTTCACCAGTTGTTCATCGATGAAGGCCTGGTTTACGGCGGGTGAATGCAGCACGAGCGACCGAGATGCGCGCGCCAAGGCGATTAGCCTATGGTTCAGCTTAGCCGCTGATTTATCTACAGATCTCCTGAGTATGTCGGGCTCCATCTTCCATCCCCAAGCGATTCTAACATGTCCAGTCATGGCCGTACCACTCCGCGTATTGTGGAATTTAAAAATCTCTCGAGTCGAAAAGCTCAGCATCGGACTCATTTTTGCCGTCGGCATCATCACAATGGCCACTGCCATTATTCGAAGCGTATCACTCAACTCAAGCTCGAGCACAGGACAAGTCAGCACGACATGGCTAATGCTGTGGGCTGGCATCGAAGGAGCTGTCGGTATGCACAAACCTGGGTGTCCCTCAATGGGCTGGCCATCGCTAATACATCCATAGCCATCATTGTAGGCTGCCTGCCTGCCTTTGCCATATTCATCCGCGGCCGAGTAATCGCCTCAAAAGCGCAGTACGAGGGCGACTCGAATCAAAGTCCGCCAGACTACAACTCGCAGCCAAAATCCCGCGAGCGGGCCAACAGTCTAGGGTCGCAAGATCCCAATCCGGTATGGGAAACTCGTGACAATTCCAGCGACAAAAGCTTGGTCGACTCTATTACCGTCGCTCGGCCATGGTCACAGAGATGGCACGGCCCGAATCGGCAAGCCATACAACGAGATCCCGAGGCTGGTCACGAATTGCGACCGGTGCCGCCATCTTAATCGGCTGTTCATTCTTGTTTTGTGTATATTTCCAGCGCAGCGAGCGATTACTCCTTTGATGAGAAAATACAATGAATAATGCGAACCACTACGAATAGCGCTCGTCAGTTGCAAACTATCACGCAACGGAAACACGAGCTGTCGTCGTACCCCCCATCTTGCAGCTATTTATACTATATCTGTGCGTCGTATACTAGGTTAGTTAGGGGCCCGCAAAGCAGGAGAGGGAGGCATCATCATTGTTATCCCCTAACCTTGTTTGCGGGGGGCACTCGACTTACTACAGGGGCTCTGTTAGCATGGCCCAAGAGGGCACGATAGAGCGATGGTCGGTTTAGGGTGCAATGTTTGCGATCAATTATGCCCATAAGCCCAATATGTTGCAATTATGCGAAAGTAGAATCCTGCTTTTATCAGCGCCGATTAGCGACAACAGTTCGGCTGGTGTGCCTTGCATGCCAGCCCGCCATGTTCTTGGCTACATGCCAATATTACGGGGTCTTATGTGACTAGCTGACGGGGCCAGCCACAACAAACTCGGACAGCAGTGACGTGGACATTGTGAAGCAGACCCTGCAAGCCTGAAGAGGTCGAGAAGAGTATTCCGTGCCGAACAAGAACATGCTCTTACGACCCTGTTGCAATGCCACCCACGAATGCACAATTTTGCCCGCAACGCTGGCGTAGTACTCGGACGAGACCGCGCGTATATACGATTACGCACCGATAACAGAATATCAGATCAGCTAAAAATGTCGCCAACACAAAGACTTAGGCAAGTGACAAGTCGGGAATAAATAACAGCCTAAAAATAGCCGTCCGCATGCATGAGACTCAAACAGGAGTCTCGTAGCGTAGCGTTGAGTAAAGTGATATTTAAATTCTCCTTATATGGACATTGGTATCATGGCTAAACTAAAGGGACCTCTCCCGAGTTTCCAAAACAAAATAACAACAAAAAGAAGTACGCCAACCGTGTGTAATCTACAAAATCAAGGCTCCCACTGCAGCCATGGCTAGCCAGCCATAGACCCCAGAACTCGCCGCACCACCCGCCGCCGCGTTCTTTTTCGACGTCGCGCTGGGACTGACCGTGGCGCTGGACCCTGCCGCGCCGGCCTTGCCCGAGCTCGTCGCCGCCGCCGTCGCCGTCGCCGTGCAGGCGGACGCGCCGCGGGGGACGCCCGGCACCGGGGCGCCCTCGGCGTTAACGTCGCAGCGTCGTGTGCCCGTCTTGTTCTGTACCTTGAAGTCGATGCTCGCGCGCCGAAAGTCGTACGAGACGTTCGTCGTGGTGTTGCTGAAGACCTGGGAGATGGCGTAGGAGAGCGGCGCGGGCACGCGGGTGCGCTCGATGGCGGCAATGTAGCGCAGCAGGTCGTCGTCCTGGCGCCAGACCTGGAGGGTGGCGTTGCGGACCTCGCCGGTGTCGATGGCGGGCGCGACGGCGAGCTGGGAGTCGGTGTCGGCGGTGCCGCCGAGGGTGCCGGCGGCGTCCTGCACGCTCAGGTTGGTCCGGATCCAGGGGTAGGTGTAGACGACGTCGTCGAGCGTGTCGGCGGCCGGGATGTAGGAGACCTCGAAGAAGGCGATGTAGCGGGCGGCGCGCGCGGCGTCGTCGAGCTTGACGAGCGTGACGACGGCGGGCGTGTAGAAGACGGGGTTCGCGGGGACGATGTCGGCCGGGGGCTTCAGCGTGGACAGCGTGACGGGGGTGGCGGTCGGCTTCTTGGAGGAGGACGAGGGGGATGCGGACGAGGACGAGGAGGACGAGTGGAAGTCGGCGGTAAAGTCAAAGTCGCGGCCGGTCAAGGGCGGATCGGGCCAGGAGGCGGCGGCGAGTGAGGCCAAGCTGGCGGCGACGGCGATCCAGCGTCGAGGCGGCATCGTTTTGTGTGTGGTGTGTGGGTGGATGGGAGATGGAAGGGCGAGAAGGCAGGAGGAGGGAGGAGGGAGGAGGGAGAGATGGATTGGATGGCCGATGGAGAGAAATGGTAAAGGGATGAGAGGGCCAAGTCAATGGTGAGTTGAAGCAGTGGCGACTCTGGAGGAAAATACAATTCAGAACCCTCGTAAATTGATGATCGGTGGGGAAGGGCCTGATCCCCCTCCGCTTTGTTAGATGCCGTTTGGCCCGTAGCGTGGTGGCCGCGTAATGCACCTACGAAGCGCCCGTTGCGACAAGATGCACTTGTAGATGTAGCTTGTTAGTTTAGATGAGATAACGCAGATTAGGTACTGGTCTGATCTTGAAAACTGCGACTAAATCAGGATAAAGAATAAAACAAGTAATTTTTTTTTTCTTTTTCAAAGTTTCGATACGAACCGATTTCCCCGTGACAAATTAATGCGGTCTTGACTGCCTCGTCAATCAGACTGACAGACCACCCCAACCAAAACCAGATAGACAGCAAGCCACACTTTGTCAGCCCCACGACCGACCGAATCGGAGCTCTTTTTTTTTTCTCTCCATCACAGTTGGACAACAACTCCTGGCAAACGCCATCCTCTCCTCATCATTCTTCTGCCTCTATCGCCTGACCGCAAGCCTCCACTACTCATCCGTGTACCTCAACAGCCCCTTGAAGATGCTCAGTCTCAAAGAATGGCCAACTTGTCCGCAGCACAGTTGAGATCCTCACGGCACGCATCACAAATGGCATCTGAATACGTAACGATGGCGGGGATCTCCGTCGGGCACTTGAAACCGGCCTTTCGCCCTCTAGGCGTAGCCATTTGCTGCAGTAGTTGGTCGGCTTGTCGACTTTGTGTCCGCAACAGTAAGCTACACTCACTTCGCCGCACATGTTGATGGTAGTGGAAATAAATTCCTGAGGAAAAGGCTTGAGGTAGTTCGTCTTGTGTTGTTGTGTTGTTTGGCCAGCACTTGCTTCTTGGAAACGCAAGGTAGGCTCAATTTATATCACTAATAAAGAGCACCGCCTCACGGAAGCACAGCTGTTGAGGCGCACCTCGCTAAGCGCCCGTACTTCTTGGATGCAATACAAACATGTCCTTTTCCTCTTGAGACATTGCTTCAAGGCTGTAACCTGATTATAAGGTGCACAATGCCTCTACGGACTTGCCTTAGCGCGCGCATCGTAAAGGCTCCAAAATAGGGTTAAATCGCCAATATTCGCACATCACTCTTCAAAGATGTTTCATTTAGCACCCAAATAACTTGTATTGTACAGTACCGTCTCCTTTTACGTAGGAAGGCAACGACGCTGACCACTTCCGCCCCGACAGGGGCCATTAAAAATAAAACTGTTGCCATTACTGTTCCGCTAATTACTTCCCCCAAACATCCCTTTCCAGTCATTTCAGCCCGATCATCGATTCGCTGGGCTGGTTGCATTTACGATCTAGGGATCCGGCTCTTGGTAAGATCCTGAGAGCCAGGCCAGTGGAAGCCCCAGCTGTCATCAAACTCGTCTGCCACATAAGAAACTTGACCAATGCAATACCCTTTATACAGTATCAATCTCTGAGCCATCCTGGCACGTATGTAGGTTCGCGCTTAACTGTACACCACTCGATTAGCATTGCCTTTCAGTGCCCGCTGACTCCGACTGGCAGGAGGTGCATATTGGAACCTCAGTGAATAAATACCTATTGGCACGCAGTTGCGGCAAACCTCGTGCGGGCATTGCACCTTCGGGCCTATACCACAGCTCTTGTCACCTTGGCAAAATTTCTGCGTATTCGGCTCATTGCACTCGCAGCAGCGCCACTGCCATCCTTTTGCGCAGTAGTGGCAACCATCCAGACCGCAAGGCTCGGAGGACCCGGTGGTTTCATTATTGTTCCATGAGTGATTTTCACAGACCATTTTCTTGCCGGTAGAGGAAATCGTGTGTTCTAGGCAGTAGACCGCGTCCCGGATCGTGCCGTTCCCGCAGGGGTGCGTCTGGAAGAAGAGTCTACACATGTTGTTTGGTCTCGGCGTAATGAGTTTCGCGATGATGCGTCGGTTATTTTGCTTTGAAATGTTGAGTATGTAGATATCTGGAAGTGATGAAGAGGAAAAGATACGGCCACAGTCCGTCTTCTGGACGCTGTTTATATAGTTGCGGGATCTTATTCTTGTGACAGGCAAAACATCCATGGCATGTGCTAGAAACTTGCTTTATTTCTTTTGATATCTTGATGTAAAAGTCGGCTGCTGTGGCCTGCCAGTGCATTGACGAGTCTCGCCGGTGGCACCGTGACGACTTCAACTTCCGATGCCTGCGCTGCCTAGGCAACCTCTGCTCATTTGAATGGAAGCGTAGCACATGAAATGAGGAAGGCCTGTCACAGCTGGACTTGTAGGATACAAGGAGACGACATGACAAGTCCATGGCGTCGTCGAGCCTTGGGCAGCTGAGATTATGCCCTGATCTTGCAACACTGAGAAGCTGCTTCACCTCAGACAGTAGACATTAGTACCTTTTGTCATCTACTGAAGACTGAAGGGAGGGGTCTCCAGGCTATACAGATTACGAATGTTGTTCGAAGAACTGACGACTCTTCCGTACCTCAGAATAGACATTGGCACCTTGTGCCATTTGCTGATGCTGAAGCTGAAGACAGCGGCCTCCATGTTGGACAGAACACGAATGGTACTTTTGTCATCTTAGTATGACTCTTCCTTGTCACTGTTATGCTACTGCTCATATTCCACAGCTTCAGTCTAGAAGAAGGTTTGTATTCACGTCGGCATGAAGGTGCTGACTTGTATCTGCATCACACAAAGTATAGGCAACTACTGCTCATCGTCCACACTTTCAGTCCCGATATATGTCGGTATACTCACCGGCATTTAGCTACTGGCCTGCATCCGTATCACACATAGTATAGGTGACTACTGCTCACGGTCCACAACTTTAGTCTAGGTCTGTATACTTGACGGCATGAAAGTGCTGGCTTGTATATATATCACACAGGGCATAGGCAAACACTGCTTCAGTCCAGACATAAATATGTATACCCAACGACATTCAACCACTGACTTGTATCTGTATCACATGTAGTATGGGTGACTACTGCTCATGGGCCGCAGCTTTAGGTCCAGGTCTGTATACTCGACGGCATGAAAGTGCTGACTTGTATCTGTATAACACAAAGTATGGGTAACTTGAAAATCTCAGGAGAAAGAGTATTATTAGGACTGTTTATGTCATTCTTGGCTTCTACCAGGATTCAGTCTATGCAGCGGCCAGCAATGGTAGTTTTAAGCGCCCACTAACATGGGCGACTCTCGTCCGATTTTTATCGGTGCCCACCACTCAGAGACGGAAGGCGTCGTACTTGGACCAGTCAATGGCGGGAGAATTGTCGTAGCACTTGACCTCCTAGGCAAACAGGTGGTGATCCTCCAGGCTGTCCACCTACTCGGCGCACTGGGGGATGAGGTTGACCGGCACGCACTCCTTGGGGATGCGCTCATGGTCGTTGCCGACGTAGAAGATGTGCAGCACCGGGTGCTGCTCGCCGTCCACCTCCTGCACGCACAGGCCCGGGCTGGACAGCGACACGCTGGACGCCGGGTCCGCCGAGGTGACCGTGACGCGCTCCCCCGACGGGCCCGCGTTGAGCTCGCCAACCTGGTTGACGAAGTGCCCGTTGACCGGCGTGAACTGCGTGCTGAAGGGAATGCCGGGCTCGCCGACCTCGGCGAGCATGCGGGTGTCACCGCGGGCGGCCTCGGCGTCGGTGCCGTTGATGAAGAAGGTGGCCGGGTGGCCGCTGTTGTGGGCGACGCCGATGTAGTTGCGGGAGGGGTCGCGGTGCAGCACGGTCAGGAAGGTCTGGTGCATGGGGAGGAGCGGACGAGGTTCCAGGCGAGGTCGGTGACGTTGACCATGAGGGTGAAGGCCTTGCCGGTGTCGCGGGGAGGGAAGTTGCCGGCGGGCGATGCGGGAGGCGGTGGCGGTGGAGAGCATATTGAAGGACTCGTCTTTTGAAAGAAGTGAAGTTCGTGTTTAACAAGATAGAAGGGACTGTTTTGAGTATTTGTGTGTGTCTGTGTGGTGATGATGAACAACAAGAGGTAAACGTCGCGACTTTATACTTGGAATAAGAGGCATAGACCAGTGAGTCCTTCACTCGGACACAGCGAGATGCTCATCTGGACTTCGTATTCAATCTTGGACAACGGTGGAGTCTGTAAAGTCAGACTTGATAGTAGCCACCAAGGCTCAAGGCTGAGGTCATCGCCACTGCGCCGGTCTCCGTGTATTCTCCGAAGTACCCAGTCGTAGCCCTTCCGGTATCGTGTCGGGGAACCCTTTCGGTCGGTCTATGAGTGATCTTAGTTCTGCTCTAGCGGCTTCAGTCTCTCGGTAGCGGAGGCAAAGCAACTTGCTATTTTTCCTCAATGGGAAGCCTAGAGCGAGGAATCGTGCTAATTACACCAATGAGGCCATACGTTGAAGCCTGCCAGATTTTCCACCAAACCTTGTCCCGTCGACGCGGCAGGGAGAGCAGCTTGCCTTTCCAGATTCATTCCAAGCGAACACCGCCTCAGGTGTGGATGTTTCGTATTGATGACGATCTTTTCTTAATTGTAGTCTTATTTGCTATTACAATCCCCGGGCTTTGGGGACTTGAATACACTCAGACGACGACAGGATTAAGACACTTGGAAGCCTGCTGTTGGTGTCACCTCAAAAAGCCGCGGCCGGCTCTATAAACTCCTGGGATCTACATGGCCTGTATGTCGGAAAATACATTCATATGTTCCATGTTGATTTCCCTTTTCACACCTTTTTATGTATTGTTGAGAACTATGGAGGTGCTTATGACACTATGTATCAAGACAACGCTTGACGTAGGAGACTTTGGAGTCCCGGATGTGTTTCCGGCTTTATTGGCGTCACTCCTCTTGGCAGGTATTAAAAAGGCCGCTTCTTCTCTGTTTCGTCTTTTCTGATCATTTCTAGAAGACTGTTTGCGTCAGGGGTCCATCTGTGCCGTGCCGCACGGGGCCGGATCGTCCTTGTTTGGTCTCGCCTCTCGCACTAGAACACTGTAGATGATTTAGACCTGGTCCATTAAGAAGACGGTTCTAAAACTGCAGCTTAGATTTAATGTCATGGCCTTCAGCGTGGGATCTCCTGCACTCGCGTATACGAGAGGATGATATAGATCAGGTGGCTTGTTCATCCCGAGCGGCGATATTGTCAGTCGACAAAAAGTAATCAATTGACCGTAACCAGATATTCAATACGCTTGTTCAAAAGCAGCTAAGAGGGGCAAAAATGATATCAAAATCTCGGTTGTAGTGGCAGACCCTACAGCTTGGCTTGATCCTCCTCGTCTATTTCAATGACGAGCTTCCCAAACTGTCGACCGTGCTGCATGTCGACGAACAGTGACTCGATAGCTTCAAGATCACTCAGCCCTTTGACGGCCCTGCTGACGACCGGCTTGATCTTGTGTTTGGCCACAAAAGCCACCATGTCGCGAAACTCTCTCCTTGAGCCCATGGTCGAGCCCTTGAGCTCAAGGTTGGCCAGCACCGCCCGCATCTGCCAGTCCATCTTGTTACCCGCCGTCATGCCGTACTGCGCGATGACGCCGCCGGGGCGCATGATCGGCGCCACCTCCGCGATCAAGTTCCCACCCGCGCCGTCCACCACCGCGTCCACCCACGGGCGGTCCTCCGGGAGCATCTCCAGCAGCCCCGCCGCCCAGCCTGCCTCCCTGTAGCTCACGCCTCCGCGGGCGCCCATCGCCACGGCCCTGTCAATCTTGCCCCGGTCGCCCGAGGTCACGTAGACGGCGCTGCCCAGCGCCACCGCGAACTGCAGCACCTGCAGGGCCACGCCGCCGCCCACGCCCGTGACCAGCACGTTCTTGCCCGGCCCGGTCACGCCGGCCTTGGAGACGAGCGCGCGCCACCCGGTCAGCCCGCACAGGGGCAGCGCGGCGCACTCGGCCGGGGTCAGGTGTGCCGGCGCGGGCTCGACCTCGTCCTCGGGCACGGCCAGGTAGTCCTGCCCGGTGCCGGCGTCGCAGAGTAGCGAGGCGCCGATGACGGCGAACCGGTGCGGGTCCTCGGGCGCGACGGGGTCGGCCTCCCAGCCGCGCATGGGGGTCAAGATGACGGCTTGGTTGAGTAGGGAGGTGCGCTTGACGTCGGGTCCGAGCTCGACGACGACGCCGGCGCCGTCGGCCAGCAGCGGGTTCTCGAGGGACAGCCCGGGGTACAGGTGCCGGCGAGCCCATAGGTCGCGGTGGTTGAGGGCCGCGGCCTTGATTCGGACGAGGACCTCATTCGAGCCTGGTTTTGGCCTTGGGACCTGTTTGACCTGGAGACTGGCACATGGGAACGTCAGCATTCGGCTCCTCGATGGTGGTACGGCGAGTGAGTGAGTGGCCTACGGGTAGTAGACTTTGCCTGGACGGCCGCCTTCACCCGCATCAAGAGTTAAAGCGCGCGGCATGATCGAGATGATGATTTTCGGGATAATAAAGTGAAACTTTTGCAGGAGGAGGGGAAGTGCCCAAGTCTGCTTAAGTCTGCTTGCTCTGTGCGAGGGGTTGAGTCGCTGCATCTAGAGCAACGGCTATATGTCAATTATACCGAGGCAATTGACTAGTTCGGCGAAATCAACGTAATCAACTAAAACCTCTTGTTGCTGCCCAAGTTGAAACCGAACTCAGGATCCGAATAAAATTTCTGCGTTTTTCTGATTCTAGGGCAGCCCGAAAATGAAGCCGAAGCAGGCTATTGACATACCAGCTCGCACCGTCCTGGCAGATGGACGGACCAATTCGAAACTCATCTGGACCTAGCCGAACCAGGGCGTGGATTACCCTTGAACTGCTTCTAGTAAACATGTCAGGTCTGAGAAGACGGATGCATTTCTCGGATCTGCACCAGATGGTAGGCATAACCCGGGGTAAAGTCAGTCAGATTCGAGCCTCGAATGCTGGATGGAGCCGCAATAGGAAGCCACTATAAACGGTCTTGGCTGCATCCTGCATTTCCACGAGTCAAGATTGCTCGTTACTCCCAGAAATTATTTGTAAAATACTAAGCAAGAGGCTCAGAAAGTTATTCTTTTACTCAAAAAGTTACCATAGTGTGTGTACTCAATGTTTCTAGCAAATTGCCTCGCCTCTGGGTACTGTATGTATGTACAGTACGTACATATATGTATGTATGTACCTGCAGCCCAGCTTGAAGCCCACAGCTTACAGCTGCAACCAGCAATGGCGACTGATGATGATCCAACAGGACAACTACCTCGTAGATGTTTCTAAAAGAAAAGGAGAAAAAGTCGATAAAAGTAGCGCAGACGAAATACACGTAAATGTACGATACATATACCTAGTACAATAGATAAGGTCTGCAGTGCCAAACCTTAGCGGTATGTTCGGGCCGCTTCCGGGGTGGTTACGTGCTTGGGGGTTGCTATTCCGTGCTTATTGCTCATCCACGTTACCAGTCTCTCAAGTCTCACTGAAGACTTCAGCCAACCATATCTTGAGTATCTTTCATCAAGAACTTAATCACCCGAGACGCAAGTGCCTACTATTCAATCTGCTTCTCACAATGGGGGTTCTGATTGACCCGCGACCAAGGATTGGAGACGTGCACCCAATCGAGGATGCCAGAGTCGACAAAATTAATTCCAACCTATCGGCACAGTCCGTTTCTAAGGTCACTATAAACGGAGATCAAAAGCCAATTATAACAGAAAATACATCATCTGGTGCACCACATACCCAGAATCACACAACACAGCTCGAGATCCTGGACAGATACATCGACGAACCACGCCCGCTCAAGGTCGCAGTCATTGGCGGCGGCCTTGCAGGCATCCTGGCTGGCGTCCTTTTACCGGTCAAAGTTCCTGGAATTCAATTGACAATCTATGAGAAGAACAAAGACCTTGTTAGTTGTCCCACCCTATCCGCTGGTTAGCTGCTCACCAACTGAACAGGGAGGGACGTGGCTGGAGAATATCTATCCTGGTGTCCGATGCGATATTCCATCTCATGTCTACCAATCGACTTTTGAGCCAAAAAGAGATTGGTCTGACGAGTTTGCACCCGGACATGAAATTCGCGACTATTGGCAGTCCGTTGCAAAAAAGCACAATGTGTACCAGTACGCCAAGTTTGAGCATCTCGTCACGGAGACAAGCTGGGATCCTGATGCAGGAAAGTGGCGTCTTACTGCCCACAACTCCAAAGACAACCAATCCAAGACGCTGGAATACGACTTTGTGCTGACCTGCACTGGTCGATTCAACGATTGGAAGCTGCCAAACTATCCGGGCATCAACGACTTCAAGGGCACCCTACGGCACACGTCGAACTGGGATCCTACATTTGACCCAACCGGGAAGAGAATTGCCGTCATTGGAAACGGAGCAAGTGGAATCCAGGTCGTCGCTACTCTTCAGAAAACTGTTTCTCGTCTGGACCACTATGCCAGGAACAAGACGTGGATTGCCACCTCGTGGGCGGGAGATGAGAGAACGGCAGGAGCCCAGCCCATTGAAAAGGAGCTCCAAGACACCTTTCAAGACTCCGCGACCTACATCAGCTACAGGAAGAAGCTGGAAGACAAGTACTGGCGTGGCTTCCCTGGTGTCCTGCGAGGCAACGCTAGGAACGCGAGTCTCAGGGATAGCTTCATCCAGGTGGTGAAGAAGCGGCTATCCAAGAAGCCGGAGATGATTGAACAAGTGGTCCCGGACTTCTCGCCAAACTGCCGACGGCTCACCCCTGGCCCCGGCTACCTTGAGGCCATCACCGAGGACAACGTGGACTACATACGCACGCCGATTCGCGGAATCACCGCCACGGGCATCGAGACGGAGGACGGGGTGCACCGCGAAGTCGACGCCATCTTCTGCGCCACCGGTTCCAAGTCCGACCTCGTCCCCCGCTTCCCCATCACCGCCCACGGCAAGACCCTCGCCGACGTCTGGGCCCCCAACGGCTCTGGCGAGCAAGGCTTCCCCTACACCTACATGGGCGTCGCCACGCCCGGCTTCCCCAACCTCCTCTTCGTCCACGGCCCCTTCGGCACCGGCCCCTCCGGCACCGTCCCGCAGAGCGTCGAGAGCCAGCTCGCCTACGTCGCCAAGCTCCTCCGCAAGGCATCCCGCGAAGGCATCAAGGCCGTCTCCGCGGACCCGCGCGCCGCGGACGACTTCAACGCCTTCGCCGAGGCTTTTTTCAAGACGACGGTGTTCTCAGAGGACTGCAGCTCGTGGTACAACGGCGGGCGGCCGGGCGGGCGCGTGCACGGCATCTGGCCGGGCAGCGCGGCGCACCTGGCGATTGTCAGGCGCGAGCCGCGGTGGGAGGACTGGCGGTGGGAGCATTTGGGAAAGTCGGGGAATAGGTTCCAGTGGTACCTGGGCAACGGGGCGACGAGGAGGGAGGCGGACCCGGAGGAGGATATCACGGCGTACCTGACGAACCCGGAGGAGGTGGACTTGAGGGACGTGCACGAGAGTTGGTGGAGCGTGCCGTAAGTCTGGATGAGTCTAGAATTCATGTGCGATAGATGTCAAGTCAAGGAGAGGGCAGCTTGGGTTGGCAGCCATTCATTCATTCATTCATTCACTCAACTGCCGGAACGCCCTGCCGAGTGTGGCGGGTACGCGGAATCCGGAACGTTGCAGTAGCTGTCAATCAATAACCGCAACTATCATTATAAAATGAACTCATCTGATCTCCTGTCAAACGCAATTGATAAGCTCTCAAAGCCAAGGTTGTTGCCGCATGTTGTTTCGCTTCCTTGAAATGACGTGCTCGGGGGATTGCCGCAGAGCGGAGGAGCAGCAGCTCACCAAGCCGGCAAATGAAGGATGGACGCATGAGGAGCGAACACCGGATGTATTCAAACCCTAAATAAACTCATCTTCTGTATAAATCCTTTTTGAATATTTTTGCTTGATTTTCTCCCTGTCCAATTCTTCAAATTCCTTCAGTCATCCGTCTCTCTCAGACGAAAATGTCCTCCGAGCCGGTCTCAGGTATGGAAGAGGCGACAATGCGCCTATAAACGACAACCTTGCCAACCTGGACTCACTCATCATAGTAAAATGGCATCGTTCGACGTTTTATAACATCACGATCCTCGGCCTTTGCAACTTTGCCGCGCCGGGAATATGGGGAGCCATGAACTCCCTCGGAGCCGGCGGCGCGCAGAAGCCGTACCTGGTCAACACGGCCAACGCCTTGACCTTTTCCCTCATGGTCGTCTCCTGCCTCTTCTCCAGCGCCCTGGTCCGCCTAATCGGCATCAAAGGCGCCTTGATATTCGGAACGTACGCCACCCCACGCACCGAAAGTTCGAGCCCCCCCCCCCCCCGTACGCTGCGGGACTGTACACGAACAACCGCTTCGGCACGGAGTGGCTCACGATCCTCGGCGCCGCGCTGTGCGGCGTCTCCGCGGGCGTCTTCTGGATGGCCGAGGCGGCCATCGCCATCGCCTACCCGGAGCCGTGGAACAAGGGCAAGGCGCTGGGGTACTGGCTGACGTACCGCGTCAGCGGGCAGATCCTCGGCGGCGCGATTAATCTAGGGCTGAACTCGGGGCGGAGCGAGGCGGGAAAGGTGTCGCATACGGTGTATCTCGTCTTCATCGCGCTGCAGTGCCTGGCACCCGTCGGCGCGCTGCTCCTGACGCCGCCGGACAAGGTGCAGCGCCAGGATGGGAAGAAGGTCGAGCTCGGGATCTTCAACAATCCTTGGTTCGAGATCAAGGCGACGATCAAGTTGTTTTTCTCTCGCAAGTTTCTTCTCCTGCTGCTGCTGATTGGACAGGCCGTATATGCTGAAGCTGTCTTCTTCACCTACCTCTCATGTGAGTCCCTTCCTCCCCCCCCCCCTTTTCTCCTCTCCTTGGATCCCCGAAAGAAGATATGCATCTTGACAACTCTGCCGCTTAGTATGGTTTTCTGTTCGCTCGCGCGCCTTGGGATCCTTCCTGTCGGGCATTGTGGCTGCGATTGGAGGCAACGTTCTCGGGGTACGCCGTTCTCCCAACCACAAGCATCACAGGGTACTGACTATTGGATGAACAGTACTGGCTGGATAAAACGGACGTTCCGCTGAAATTGAGAGCCAGATCCAGCTTCTGGACAATCATCACCCTGCAGGGGGCATGGTGGACTTGGGCAACCGTGCTGTCCACTCGCTACCATCGCACGCAGCCTACATACGACTGGACAACCCCGGGCTTTGGCGCCGGCTTCGCCGTCTATGTCTTCTTGCTCCTTGGCTTTCAGTTGAACTACATGTTTCTGTAAGCGATCAAGCTCATATTCGTTCATGTCTCTTTCTCTGACTCTCAATCAATAGCTACTTTATCATACAAAATCTGGCCGATACCAAAGAGCAGGTCATCCGCTACTCTGCGTTGCTGCGTGGAACCGAATCTGCCTGGCAGGCAATCAGCTACGGCTTGGGATCCATCGAGATCATGGCACAGGTAGGCAGCATCTACTTGAACTTTGGTCTTTGGGCGGCTGCTATTCTTCCTGCCTGGTTCGTTCTACGCCACATTGGCGTGGTAAAGGAGGGTGATGATGATGGTCAGCATTCGGAGCAGAGCAGCAGCAGCGAGCCTGGTGATGTCAAGGTTGCGGGGGATGTGGCTTCTACCTAATCGCGTGCATTCTTTTTCATGCAGTTGTTATTTGTGGCAGTTGTTTGGGTAGATTGATTCTTGAACTTGAACAGAAATAGAAGAATTGCTGTTGAAGTAGGCGGGGAGGTTGGCTGCTTTACTGGCACAATACCGCCGAGAAGAAACCAGGGGACAACATGACAGTAGTTTACTTTTCGATATCCCAATCGGTCCTACCAAATAGTCAAATAAATCCAATCACTTTGAAATCCGAAACCGGAAGCATTGATATGCAGCCTGCTCCTCGTAAGACGCGGTCCAAATTGCGCCATCGCATATCCTACCTATCCTGTCTCCCCCGCGAACTGGCGAACCAGGAGATAACTCGGTAGATAAACTCCCCCCACGTTCGGATATACTTGGAAATATAATTGACTCAAGTTTGTATTTATATCCGCTCGACATGCGTCGCAATTGCGTCGCCACAATCACGTCATTGCATTCATTAGCAGTGCCGTGTATTGTTAGCCCGACTACCGAGCCAAGACACCAGACGACGTTTATATCGCGGGACAATTGCTCCAAGTAATAACTTTTTAATGTACTCATCTGGCTAGAAATCTGCATCAGCCACTCTAGATACCATCGCAAGCATGGCCGACGAAACCCCCACCAACGGCAAGAGACCGCTCATCCTCAATGCCTTTGTCATGATGTGTACGTTTGCGCTCACATCGCCAACCTGCCCTTTCAAGTCACCAACTCTGTTTTAGGTAGCGGTCATCAGTCTCCGGGGTTGTGGCGCCACCCGGAGGACAAGTCTTGGAAGTTTGACCAGACGGAGCATTGGATTGAGCTGGCCAAGCTGCTCGAGGCGGCCAAGTTTCACGGCATCTTCATCGCCGACGTGCTCGGTAAGTACAGCCTCCAAGAGTACGACACCCGCCGCTGATTGATGTAGGTGGCTACGATGTGTACAAGAAGTCCTTGGAGCCGGCGATCGTGTCTGGCGCGCAGTGGCCGGTGACGGAGCCTCTGGCAGTTGTCCCGGCCATGGCAGCGGCGACAAAGAGCATCGGGTTCGGAGTGACTATTTCTACTACGTACGAGCAGCCATATCATCTGGCTAGGAGGATCTCTACCATCGATCACTTGACCAAGGGACGGTAAGTACAGCTCAATATTCGTCAGCTCCAGGGTATCTCGACTAAGGCTCTTGTTAGGCTGGGGTGGAATGTACGTGCGACAAGATGTTACCGATCAGAATCTCTACTCACACCACAGTAGATTGTCACGAGTTATCTGGACTCGGCCGCTAAGAACCTGGGGCGCACTGAGCAATTAGATGTACGTCCTCTCCGGGGTCCAGAGGACGACAAACTACTAACGCAAACAAACACGCGCAGCACGACGAGCGCTACGCCCAGGCCGAGGAGTACATGAAGGTCATCTACAAGCTGCTGCAGGCCTCCTGGCGCGACGATGCCGTCACGCTCGACCGCGAGCGTGGCCTCTACACGGACCCCTCCCTCGTCCGGCCCATTCACCACGCCGGCGCGCACTACACCGTGCCCGGCCCGCACGTGGTCCATCCCAGCCCGCAGCGCACGCCGCTGCTCCTGCAGGCCGGCGCCTCCAAGTCCGGCAAGCTCTTCGCCGCGCAGCACGCCGAGGCCATCTTCACCTCCGCCCACGCGCCCGAGGCCTGCCGCAAGAACGTCGCCGAGATCCGGCAGGCGGCCAAGGAGGTGTTTGGCAGGGACCCGCGGGGCCTCAAGGTGCTGGCGCTGGCGACGCCGATCCTGGGCCGCACGGAGGAGGAGGCGCGGGCAAAGTACGAGGAGTATAGGAGGTACGCGTCGCTGGAGGGCGCGCTGGCGCTGTTTGGTGGGTGGACGGGCATCGACCTGAGCCAGTACGGCGATGAGGAGGAGTTGCGCGAGGTGGAAAGCAACGCAGTGAGGTGAGTCCTTGGACTGTCGACAAGTGGGGAGATGGCGACTGACTGATGCGGGCTTCAGATCAACGGTGCAGGCGTATGCCAGGTTTTCGCCGGCCAACTCAAAATGGACAAAGCACACCGTGGCCGAGCACGTCAGCCTCGGCGGCAACGGGCCGCTGCTCGTCGGCACCCCGGCGCAGGTCGCCGACAGTCTCGAGACCTGGGTCCGGGAGGCCGACGTCGACGGCTTCAACCTGGTGAGTCCCCTTCTCCGTCTTTTCCTTGCCGCAACCTCCCGGTGTGCGTCGGTCTGTCTAATCTTGTTGTCCCAGGCATATGCATTGTTCCCGCAGACGTTCGAGGACATCATCGAGCTGCTTCTCCCGGAGCTGCGGCGGCGCGGCTTGTTCTGGGATGACTACGCGGCCCCGGGCGCGACGTATCGCGAAAACTTTTACGCCGAGGCCGGTCAGAGACATCCCAAGCCGGAACATGTGGCGTCAAAGTATCATTGGAAGGCAGGGCAGAGTGCGGAGGAGAGCGCGTTTCCTGAATAGGGGTCGGTTTCCCCGAGCCAACTGTTTCCGCGGCGCGATTTCCTCGGTGGCGGCTCTTGGACGCGTAGATTGTGGCTGAAGCTTCCACACGTCGGCATACTCAAAGAACTAGAACATCAGCTATAGTCATCTGCATAAATATGATATAGCCACCTTGTCATGAATTAACAAGCCACCTTGTCATGAATTAACAAGCCACATTGTAGATCTATGCAAAAGTGATACGCAGTGGCGGAGTGACTCTCGCAAGGTCACGGTTGTGAAGCTATCCCTTGGCGACATCGCAATAGTTGTTCATTAATAAAAAAAACAGTGGAAAAGGTATACCTAGATGAAGTATTCCCAGAACAACGAACCATATCCGCCCGATTATTTTGCCAAGTTTCGCACGCACTAACTGGCATCGGAAAGTCCCTATCGATCTACTACTGGCTGGTCGAATGATTTGGCTTGGCCCCAACGTGAATGCGAGCCCAGGGGCCAAGAACGTTTCGGGGACCGTGAAAAAGTATTTGCCGAACACCAAAACCTGCACAATTTCGGCCAAGCGAAACGTGGGACGAGGCGAGGCCGAGCCGCCGAGCGAGTTGGCTGTGGAGAAGAAGAGCATCAGCCAGAACTTGGGACGGAGTTTATTCAATGTTGTCGGTACACTGCCCGAGGGCTGAAACGAGATTCATTATGAAAAGGGTACGGGTGGATGGGATCGCCCCATGAAAAACAGTGAGAAGATCAGGGGGAGAAACAGCCACAAGCAAGGAAACAAGGGCAGAACCCCCAGGAGTGGCTTGCCGTGGGTTGACGATTGACCGTGCGCAGCGAGGAAGATGGCTTTTAGACCTCGGGTCATTAGAACATGTAAGGAACTGACTGGGTTGTTGTCAAGGTTTACTCCGTCATCGTATAATCGTACAGAATATACATCTTTCCTTCCATTCCTGTGATTCTCTTCTCAACTCAAACTTGCTCAGCCGATCTGAGGGATCGTAAAACTCAATTACGTGTGGCGCCTCATTCATCAGCTTTTCAGCCACGGAAGCTCGGAGACAGGGCTTGTTAGTTGCCACAGCCGCCAGCCTAATTCATGCATAAAACATGGGAGCTGCCTCGCAGGGAAGTGATCGACCAGCCAGGGGACCTAACTAGTGCGCGGCTCCCACCATCCACTCACTCATCCATCCATCCATCTATCTATCCATTGTACGGAAACAAGGGGCAATAGCATGGGGGAGAGAAGTTTGATGTCTGATATTGAGTGTTTGCATGGGGTTCCGAGTCCACGGCTTTCGAACTAGGCGGTCGACGGCGCGGGCTGCAGCGGGATGTTTGTTGTCCGAACTCCCAACAAGGCGAGGAGCTGAGAGTTGAGGAACGTATACGTCTGCCTTCGAGGTACTTCGACCGGGGATGAAACAGCCATCTGGAGAGGGTGGGAGTAGGAGTAACTAGATACTCTTTCTTGGTGGGCTTCGATCGCTCATCGACGAGTATAAAGATGGTCTTGTAGCCCGCCTCAGAGTATCTCTCCTTATTCTTCTCTCAGCATCAAGATTCAAGGCAGTGCCTCATTCATTCATTCATTCCATTCCTTTCTTTGAGATCTTTTCCAGATCTCCCCTGTTTCTTTTCACCTTGTATTCATACATTCATTCCTTCATCCCTTCCCTCACTCACTCACTCGCTGCCTTGCATTGCATTGCCCAACATGCAGCTGTCTCTCCTCCTCTCCGTCCTGCCGCTGGTCGCCGCCGCCCCCGCGGCCAAGAAGCGCTCTGAGCCGGCGCCTCTCCTGATCCCCCGCGGCGCCGGCGCCCACAACATCGTCGCCAACCAGTACCTCGTCAAGTTCAAGGACGGCAGCAAGATGAAGTCGGTCAAGCAGGCCTTCAACTCGCTGTCCTCCGCCTCCGGCACGTCCGGCGGCGAGGGCGGCAGCGGCGGCGACTCGGCCGATTTCTTCAGCGAGGTCTTTAACGGCTTTTCCGGCGAGATGGATGCCAAGGCTCTCGAGAGCATCCGCGACCACCCGGATGTAAGTTGTAATCACGGATGGACATGATCAAAGTACTGGTCACGACCAAAGTACTGAACGCTAATTTCCTCGGGCAGGTCGAGTATGTCGAGCAGAATGTCCAGATGTCGGCCTTTGCTGCCGTCACCCAGGAGCAGTCCACCTGGGGTCTGGCCCGCATCTCGCACAAGAGCACCGGCGCTCGCAAATACGTCTATGATGATTCTGCCGGTAAGTGGCCTGTTGCATTGCTGAGAGAAACACTCACTCACTGACGATGCTGTCACCAGGCGCTGGAACCTGCAGCTACATTGTCGACAGTGGCATTGACGAGTCGCACGCTGTAAGTCAAGAGAGCCCGGATTCCCCGCCGCTTCAGTTCCATCATCTAACCCCCCCAACAGGACTTTGGCGGCCGCGCCAAGCAGCTCAAGACCTTCATCGGCGAAAACAGCGACAACTGCGGCCACGGCACGCACGTCGCCGGCACCGTCGGCAGCAACACGTACGGCGTGGCCAAGAAGACGGCCCTCTACGGCGTCAAGGTGCTCTCCAAGGACGGCTCCGGCAAGTGCACCGGCCCCAACGACGGCATCATCCGCGGCCTCGAGTTCGTCGCGCAGGACGCCGCGAACCGCGAGTGCCCCAACGGCGTCGTCGTCAACATGAGCCTGGGCGGCGAGTTCTCGCAGGCCTCCAACGACGCCGTCGCCGCCCTGGTCAAGAAGGGCTACTTCGTCGCCGTCGCCGCCGGCAACGGCGACAACAGCGGCAACCCGGTCGACGCCAAGGGCGTCAGCCCAGCCTCGGAGCCCTCCGCCTGCACCGTCGGCTCCGCCAACGCCGACGGCGGCGTCGCCTCCGACTCCAACTTTGGCTCCCCTCTGGCTCTGTACGCTCCGGGTGTCGACGTGGTCAGCTTGAAGGTCGGCGGCGGCACGACCAGCATGTCCGGCACTTCCATGGCCACGCCGCACATCGCGGGTCTGGCGGCGTACTTTATGGGCCGCGGCAAGAAGGCCGGTGAGATGTGCGGACACCTCCAGAGCCTGGCGATCAAGGGCGCGATCAAGAACGCGCCGTCGGGCACCAAGAACCTGATCGCGCAGAACGACCAGGCCGGCGGCGACCAGGGCAAGGACGATCAGCCGCCCGCCAAGGACGACGACAAGCCCAAGGACCAGCAGCCTCCCAAGACCGAGCAGCCCCCCAAGAACCAGCAGCCTCCCAAGAACCAGCAGCCTCCCAAGAACCAGCAGCCGCCCAAGGACGAGCTGCCTCCCAAGAACCAGCAGCCCCCCAAGACCGATCTTCCCAAGACCGATCTCCCCAAGAACGACCCTCCCAAGAACACCAACCTGCCCAAGAACCCGCTCTTCGACAACGACCAGCCCAAGAAGGAGCAGCAGCCCCCCAAGACCACCCAGCCCCCAACCAGCCCCAAGAGCGACCTCCTCGAGGACGACCTGCCCAAGAATGACCGTCCCAAGAAGAACCAGCCCAAGAATGTCTTCTTCCAGAACGAGGAGGTCAAGAACGAGCAGGTCAAGAACGATCAGGTCAAGAGCGAGCACAAGAGCTTCTTTTTCCACAACAACAACGACCAGGTTTAGAGTCATCCGTGGTCTTGGCTCGACACACTGTCGAGTGAGTGATGAGGCCTCGGGCATTGTCTTTGCGACACAGCGATATTTTTCATGTCCATCTTCTTTTACCTTTCTACATATGATCCTTGCAAATAAATAGACATCTTGATCAGCATGATAAGTGCACCTAACTGTGACATGGACATCCTCATTACACTACTTGTGGAGAAGGACTTGGAGATGAAGTTTCAGCAGCGTCTTCCTACCAAGATAGCCGCCGTGTCATGAGCATCCACATCAGCGGAATAGCCGTCCAAGCAGCCGAGGTCCTCTCCTGTCCAGACCTCCGTCACGCGATACCTGCCACTAGGCAAACCAGGCACCTCGCTCCACGTCGCCGTCTTCCTCGTCGTCTCCTCCCTCACGTTTCATCATCAGCACGAGCCGCCCGTCCTTTGACGGCCCGGACCAGAACTCGGCCGGATTCGCCGGGTCGTTCGTCCAGTCCGGGTTAACACCCCATTTATCGTAAAACCCCGTCGCGTGCGACCGGAACGAGTTTTTCATTGATACTAAACTTGACGCTCGCCCCGGCCGGGCTCGATGTCGGCGCCCATCCGCCAGCTGGCGGCGACCTCCCGACCCCAGGAGTAGACGTCGGCGAGGCCCCAGATGCACGCCGAGTAGACGACCTCGCGCGGCTGCCGGGCGAGCGCATCGGCCATGCGCCGGAAGCGCTCGTAGGACTTGGACGTGCGCCGGTCGTAGCCCGGCGGCGTCAGGCGAGGTTCCGGCGAGAGGTCGCAGGTGCCGTTGACGCCGCGCTGGACATCCCTGGGCTCGCAGGCGACGTATTGGTCGGCCCAGTCGGGGGGGGGATGTGGCAGTTGTCGTACTTGAGGTAGTCGATGCCCCATGAGGCCCAGTCGGCGGCGTCGATGTCCTCATAGCCTAAGCTGGCAGCATAGCCGGCGCATGCATTTGTTCCTGCGGGTGCTTATCGTTGGCCATTGTTGAAAAGTGGAGAGGTTTGGGAACTTGCACAACTTACAGCTGTATATTCCAATCTTTAAATTCATATCGTGGATTTTCTTAGCGAGGCCATCGATGGCGTCGGGAGACTTGTTCTTGTCGACGGCAATATGCCCATTCACTCTACCTCCTTCGGCCTGCCAACAGTCATCGACTGTTTAAGAGCTGATGAGAATTTTTCTTCTTTTTTGTTTCTTTTTTCATTCCTTTGGTTTAGTTCATCGCTGTTAACGTACTGTCGATGTAGGTGTAACCGGCGTCACGAATACCACAGTCAACAATGGCTTCAGCAGCCTCGAGAAACTTGGCAGCGTTGATGTCGCAGTGGTACGCGTTCCACGAGTTCCATCCTAGCGTTGGTTCTTTGCTCTGAACACTTTATTAGCCCGTTTGCAATGGTCGCTCGCATACAGCCACGCCTTTGCCTTGCAAGAATTGCTGCTCTGGAGCACCGGTGGCCGTGGCGACCGTCGCAACCGAGCTCGCCGCACAGAACCAAGCGTTCATCAAACCGTGTCTCATTGCGGCGGAGTGCAAAACGTGGATATTTGATGCCTGTGGCAGGTTTCTTCCCACACAATCAAGCCCAAGCCTCAAGCTTTATAGTTAAGTCGAGAAAAGGCTAAAAGCTTTACAGTGTAACAGTAACTACTTCCAATAACAAAAGGGAACGAGCCTGCAGGTATCTGTTTCACTACAAAGGTTGCATCGAAAGGAAAGGTTCTGAAGTTCACATTTCATTTTCTGTACAGATATCCTTTTCAAGAGTCGTGCCCAGCGCTAAGAGTACATAAGCTCTCTGCCAAGGCCGCCAGAGGCACATGACGATGCTTCTTTTAGATGGCTGCTAAAGCCATTATACACTTTGCTAGTTGTCTAGCTACGAGGATTTTTGGTCAATAATTACTTCTTCATTTTGTACATGTCCTGTGTATACCCTCGCTGAACCCCTCCTACCTGTGGAATCGCAGCAGAGACAATTTTTGAAAGCATCCTCGGCACCAAACTGGGGTGGCTGTTTTTTTTTCTGTTTTACAAAACAAGACAGAACTAGGTTGCACTTGTCCAGCCTATCTGCCTTTCCCATCCCAATGGAATCCATGAAACTGTTTGCTTGAATGCTCCTCCTCCGAGCGTAGATCGTCGGTGGTGGCCGCGTCTGAGTGCCAGTCACCCCCCTTTGCGTGGCCCACGCTGTGCAACTCGTTTCCGTGACTCTCCAACGTCGCGCTGGAATGAAGGACACTTTGGCCGCGCGACCCATGGCCGTAAGATACGTCGCCTCCCGATGCCGTCGTGTTGCCCACAATCTTGGGGAACAGACGCAGGAGAAGCAGCCGCAGCGAGGGGAGGCAGGTGCAGATCATGCCAATGTTGACCTCGATCGTTGACCAGTAGGCAATCTCCCACTGGTCCCACGTCGGGTTGTTCGAGTTCGCAAAGCTAACCAAGGATCGAAGTCGGAGGACAGAGACGACGGTTACGCTATAACGCCGCACAGTTAGATTCCAGCAGGCAAGGCCGTCGTTGTTCGGTTTGTTCACTTACAAGGTTCCTGTCAAGAACATGATGAATACTCCGACCTTCTTCCTCCAGTGCAGTTTCAGCTTGGTAATTTGACTGAGCGGAACGACAATCATCAGCATGTCAATCACGACGCTGATGACGGCGTTGGACCAGCCCAAGGCGTTGATGTTGATGCAGTGGCCGTGTCCCGGCGACTCGTACTGCGTCCACCAGTAGTGAATCGGCGTGCACTGGAAGATGGCCGCCGTGACGAACCCAAAACCGAAGAGTACGTTGATGACCAGGATCGCCCACAACAGCCGCCGGACGCCCGTGCCCGGAAAAACGCATAGGTAAAACGCCGACAGACTCAGCTTGATCAGGGACAGCTCCGTCAGGTACAGCACCTCCATGACGTACAGCCACATGACAAAGGTGCTGAGCTGGTTGACCGGCAAGGTCCACACATCCCGGCCCATGCCGTGGTCGGCGAGACCCTTGATGTTGAGGATGGTGCCGGAGACGCGCAGCAGCAGGGTGAAGAGGATGATCTTGTCGTCCGGGCCGAGGCACCGGCTCGGGTGCCAGAACTGCTTGAAGACGAGCCGCACGATGACGAGGGCGATGGCGAGCACGCCGAGCGCGATGGACATGTCGTAGTACTGCCCGGTCCGGTCCCGAACGGGCGCCCCGCAGGCCGTCTGCGTCGCGTTCTTGGTCTGGAGGGCGTCGGCGAGGGAGCAGGCCTTGGCGATGCACGCCGCGGCGGTGGTCTGCAGCTCGTGGTCCTGGCAGACGCAGGCCTTGTCTGTCAGAGAGCATTTCGACTTGGACATTGCGGTGAGCAGACACGGAAGCTAAAAGACGTCAGCCCATCTTTGGTAAGTAGGAGAGGTACGTCGTGAACTGGCACTTACAGCGCAAGAAGGGAGTGGTGGTAGTTGCAGCGTTGCGCTGTCTGCTCGTGGCTGCTGCTGCTGCTGCTGCTGCTGCTGCGGCTGCTGCTCCGGTATCGCCACGCATAGCCCAGTGCCCAATGCAAGGGCGGCCAGACCCCAATGTCGAACCAACATCTTCAATGCGCTCTTGACTTATTCAAGTTGTATTCGTAGGGAATAGGCGCGGTCGCATTCCGGCACTGCAGGTTGCATTCGTGGGAAGAGGTGTTGTCGGTGCGGGGAAGGAGGCACGCGACAGACAGCCCTTCTTATTACTTCAGATGCAAGAAATAATACACAGGGGTCAGGTAGGGGACCCTCTGGAAGCTAGAGACGCCGACTTTTTTCTTACCTCCCCTTTCCCATCCGATCAGAATCTACAAAAGCAACGCCAGTGCAAAACCCACAAGGCGACTCATTCCGGAGCTATTTGGGAGAGGAGAGCGGAGAACGCGCAGGGCTTCCCCCCTTGTTGATGTGTTCAGTCGGAGCCGACGATCATTGACCGGTACATACAAGCCATCGTCACATGGTAAGAATGAAATGTGGTTGGACGACGATGTCTTGCAAGTACGCCCCCGAGTGGGCGCGTCGGCTTTTGATCCTTTCTTCCCCGGCCCGGGGTCTTGGCGATGTCTTGGCCTCTCATGTCATGCATCTTGACCTGTCCGAGAAGTCATTTCGATTACCGAGTGACGAAGATATTAATAATTGGGGTCTTTTTATCATTCTTCGCTCTCCCCCGCCCAGCTTCAGCATAGTTAGTCACAGAGTCAGGCATGACAAGTTTCCCCGCCAAAAGTGCGGACCGCGCAGCCGGTCATCTATATCAGACGGACAGTGGCAACTACTAAACTAGTTAGCGGCGGGAGACCGTTGTACTTTGGTGCAATGTTGTATTTTCGCACAGACCGTGTTGGTGGCTGAACCATCCTGGCCTTTTCGTCGGAAGAGAAGCAAGACCGTGGCGCGTTGAGGGTTCACCGCTTGGGTTCTGGACTCTGAACTGGTTGTTAGTCGAGACAACTCGAACAAAGAGCAATTGGCCCGTGGCAATCTTGAGACGGAAATCTGCATCTCTTGTTCAATACTGAAGCACAGGGGCTTTTGCCTGAGTATCCTTGTATCCTGACCGGAGGAAGGCATCCGGCCCACCACTGACGCCACCGCACAATAATTTTTCAGGGGGAAAGAGTTCAGATAAATTTCGCAACCCTGCGGGTGGTTCCCAAGTTCGGTCTTGTTCCGCCAGCATGGGGCAAGGCTCCGCCTTCTGGCAGGTTGGCAGCTTGTCATCATTACCAAGCCAATCAGTCGATGTCTCTCCAGGCCTACTCCGCATCCAGCATGGATTTACATAGCTTTTCATGGTTTTCTGTGGCTTTCATATTTACTTTTTTTCTCCTCGCTATCGATTGAACATTAAACAGGAGGGTAAGGTGATATGATATGTCAGCTATGATAACTGCCGTCGTCCCCAAAGATTGTTAGTTGCAAGAGGTGGTGAAGAGGTGTGAAGAGGGTCCAATAATGATGGGTGAATTTTTAATAATCAACGTATGTAGTTCATCGGGCTCCCACCACTGCTTCCTAGTCCCAGCGGGAATTAACCACCCCTACACTTAACTGCCGTTGAGGTGGCGATCACACCTGATTTCCGTGATTTTGGGATAGGTTGGTTGATCTAGAATAATGGGTTGAATGAGTCTTGTATTGTTAGAGCGCCTCGCGGCGTAGGATCTGCGTTCCGCGGGGAGCGTGGCGTGGAAATTGCTGCTGGTCGACCCGGTAAACTCGGTTTGGTAAAGCGATGAAAGTTAAACATGGTAATTACAGAGTGCTTGGCAGTAGTTCTGGGCTACTCTGTGGTTTGATTGCTTTGAGGCAAACTGAGACCCGGAAGTGGTGATAGACTTGTGAGTTTCCACATTAGAGGTGATTAACATTGGTTCTTCAGTACGTATCCGTAACCAAATGTCCAGTACGAACTTAATGACTTTGACAAAAAAAAGGAAAAAAAGGAAAGAAAGAAAGAAAGAAAGAAAGAAAGAAAGAAAGAAAGAAAGAAAGAAAACACGAATTTTATTTTTCTCCTTCAAAATGCGCTCCTCTTATAAAGAAGCTACTGTAGGGTAGACTGCTCTGTAGATTGAATGACTTGGCTCAAGAGCCTAATAACCTACCGTATCGCTTCACTGTCCATCTAGAGCAGAGCAGCTCACATCACCACCCACCTTGCAACCATTGAGCAGATACAAGAAGAGCACTCTGAATGGCCTCTTGTTTTTTTGCATCAGCAGGTTCAGGACACTAAATCTGCAACTAGACACTTGACTCGTTGTCTTAGCCGTCTACCCTATACTAGTAATGCAAGTGCTTATTCAGCGGGGTAACCCAGGCAGGGCCTGATTGCATCAAGCTGCAAGACAAACGCCGTCTCTTCCTCCCCTCGTCCCAAATCCAACCCCCCTCGCATCATCCTCCATCAACACCCAACGCACTGCATCACAATGTCCCAACCGACCGCCGTCCTCATCGTCACCGGCGCCTGGCACGTGCCGGCTCACTACCAGAAGCTCCGAGACGCACTCGAGTCGCGCGGCGTCCGCACCATCTGTGAGACGCTCCCGACCAACAACAACGCCGTCCCCCCGACCGCCACGCTTCACGACGACATCACCTTCCTCCGGACCCTCGTCGCCAAGGAGGCCGCCGCCGGCACGCGTTTGACCGTCCTCGCGCACTCTTGGGGCGGCGTCGTCTCCAGCGGCGCCCTCGCCGACCTCGCCGTGTCCTCCCCCGGCGGGGGCGGCGGCGGGGGCGTGGCGGACCTGGTCTTCATGTGCGCCTTCGTGCCGCGGGAGGGCGAGTCGCTGACGGGCATGCTGGGCGGCACCAACCCGCCGTACCTGGTGGACGACGCGGGTGTGCTGAGGTGGCGCAACCCGATCGAGCACCTGTACAACGACCTGGAGCCGGCGGAGGCGGCGCGGGCCGAGTCGCTGCGGGTGGCGGCGCACGGGACGGCCGCGCAGGCCACGCCGATCGACGCGGGGAGGAAGGCGGCGTGGCGCGCGATACCGACGACGTACATCTTCTGCGAGGAGGACCAGGCGCTGCCGCTGGCCGTGCAGGAGGTCATGGTGCGCAGGGTAGAGCGCGACGGCGTGGCGGTCAGGCGGTTCAGCCTCAAGGCCTCGCACAGCCCGTTCCTGAGCATGCCGGACAAGGTGGCCGATATTGTGCTGGAGGTGAAGGGCAAGGGGCCTGAGTGAACGAGAAGAGGTACATGCACGCCCCTTGCAAGTGATCAAGTAAATTGAGTACACGGGTGGGTTGTCGCATTCTGCATAAACAGCTTGAAGCATTCATCTCGAAGAGGAAAGACTCTGCGAAGTAGCTGCCCACAGGGCCCGGTCAACACGGAGCGTGAGACTGTCCAACCAGCGCCAAGGATTCCTGTTCCCGCATGCAGGCATTGCAGTAGTACAAGTTCATTCACCTCCCAGATCAAGTGCTCAGGCGCGAACTGTCTCGGCTAGGCGCAGCAATACGAGTGTTCCATGGCGGTGTACGTCAATTGCTTCCCCTGCTTGCTGTACTCCCGAGACAACTTGCTCTCGACCTCATCGGCGTCCATCGCGGTGCCCGGTTATAAGCACCGATGGACCGATGGTCGCCCCCGCCGCGGGTGGTACGTACACCTGTATGTACGGTCAACAGTAACAGCAGTCCGATTCATTAGCGAAGCATGTCACTGTGGGAATACGCAGAGGCCTTTCTTTCATTGGCGGCAATTGGCCATGGCCGGTAAGCACCAAGCACCGGCAAGTGGAGGCCGATTTGGGTGGCCAGAACCAACGCGTCCCCTTTAGCTTTACTCTGCCCTGTTGGGAGCTCGCATCTCTGCTCCTGAATCGAAGCGACGTGGATGGCTGGGGTCATCTTGGCGCCGACCTGGCGAGGCTGGTCAGCTTGCATTCAAGGAAGCACCCTGTTGAGAAACAGGGCATCCCAGCCGCTCTCTGCTTTGACGCTGAGGTGCAGGGCGAACGAAACAAGTTTTGTTTCTCTTTTAGGCTTTCCGGTGGCCTCCTTCCCTGATGAATAATCCCACGAATCGCCGGCCGCTAGCATCGGAACACTCCAAGGAATACTGAACAAGCCGACCCCGCCATGTCAGCGTAGCATCGCGACGTGGACCCGGAGCGCCGCCGGCCTTCTCGATATAGAGTCTGGGAGCTGGGGCGAGCATGGGTATCGACTTGGGTAATCGGCACCGCTTCGTTGCATTCATTGTACGTGTATGGACAAGACGCAAATCGGAATTCAAGTGCGTGTTAGTCAAGTAGCGTGGGAACGCGGCCAACGATGTAGTCTCTTGGTCCGGAAGAATAAATAGAGGTCCCAAGTCCCCTTCCATTCGTGTCATTCCCTTCCTCCTCATCAACCGACTTCTTTGCACGAGAATTCAACTTCATCAAAAGTCAGCATGAGATCCACCACCACTGCCGTTGTCGCCGCCACGCTGGCCGGCTTCGCCTCCGCCTGCTCTACTCCTGGCAACTTCATCGTCACCTTCTACGGCTACCCGGACAACGACCCTCCCAGTCCCGCCACCTCGTACAACTGCGGCGGCCGCAACAATCGCGCCGGTGGTAAGTACACGGGCTCACCGATGCCCGAGTCCATGATGCTGACGACCGTCTCCCAGGCAAGGGTACCTACGACGACCCCGTCACCATCGCCACCGCCCCCGGCGAGCTGAACCAGTGCGAGATCGTCTACCTGCCGTTCCTCACCAAGTACGGTCGTGTCGAGGACTACTGCGCCCAGTGCGGTAAGCATCATCCCACATACTCGGGACTTTCCCGTCGTTGAGAAGGTGACTGACACATCCAAAGACACCGACTTCAAGAACGGCCAGCCTCACATCGACATTTGGACCGGCTCCTCCACCCAGAACGGCGGCCAGAACCAGATCAACTGCGAGAACCGCCTCACCCCCGGCGGCCGCTACTCCATCGTCCGCAACCCTCCCAAGAACTACGGCGTCAACCGTAAGTGCCTCCTTCCCGTGCGTTCTCAATGCATGCAGACTTTGCTTTGCTTTATACAGCGCTGACATGAAAACTTCAGCCGCTCCTCTGTTCTCTCCCCCCAACACTTGCAACACCGGCAACGTCTACCCCAACAACCCTGCCCACTGCTAGGCGGGATCCGTATGGGGGAGGCTCGCGTCAGCATGATCTAGTACATATATACTTGCAGCACATGCACGGACTGGTGCGCATCATGAATATACGAAAATTTCATCCGAGTCCTTGTCAATGAAACCGGCAGCCCGAGTCTGAAAGCTACCGTCTTTGGAATAAATACAGCTCGATCGACTCTTCCTCACTGCCCAAGACAGGCAAGTTCAGTGTTTGGCTATCTTGAATAGACCACCGTTCGTTTGCCATGAGATCAAAGAAGGCGCGCTCCGATGCATGCCGTGGCTTCGTAGCAAGGAAGACTTCGGTCCCAGCTGCATCGCTCTCCTGCCGCGATGCGCTTGAGCTCTCCAGAGCACCCAGAGTTTCCACGAGCGCCGGGAGCATATCGACGTTGTAGGTGCAGTCGCTGATGATGACGAGATCCCAGTAGCGGGAGGCGACTTCCGGACCAAACGTCCCTTTCCTCCCATCCTCCCAATCAAGGTTTTCGTACAGCAACGAGATGCCGTGGTTTGATGCGCCGCTTCTGGCTATTCGCCGCATGTTTGACTTGGCTCTCTCCTCGGCCTCTTCCAGATCTGTCATCATGACCGTGCACTTCTCCAGGCCCTCCTTTCGCAGTTCAGGAAACAGCGTGGCAAGTCCGATGCCTAGAATCCCGACGCCGCATCCGAGCTCGAGGATGTTCAGGGAGCTCTTGGAGGAAAGGGTGGTTCTGATGGCATTAGGAAGCGACTGTTGGCTGCAGTCAAGACCAGGACACAGGTAAGCGCCGGCAACGGAGCACATGGCCACCACGCCCGCGTCCCAGATGTGCCGGGCTATGCTCTCGCCAATCTCTTCCTCTACCTCGACAAGATACTTGCCGGCGCCCACGTCGTCTAGCACGATTCGTCGCGTTGACACGTCCACGCCTTCGTCCGAGCTGCTCAGCGACGCCCAGACGGGCATGACCTGCCCGTTGCCTTCGCCTATTTCACATCGGAAGAGGATGTCACGGGCGCCCTCTGCGGATAGGTCACTGCTCGCGGCCACGCAAACGTCAACCCTGGCTCCGGATGCCAGAGCAGCCTGCACCGGTCTGGGGAGCGCAATCTTTTGCTTCGACACTCGCAAGCCAGGCCGCCACGTAACTTGGCCTTTCTCGGTCAGTTTCAGCCTCGATACGTTGGGAGACCCGTGAATCTCGGCCACGATGTGCAGATCAATCGGCACATCTGGGTAAAGAAACGAGTCTCCGAGATCGGTAGTGACGGTGAGCACCAGCTCAAGATGGAGGCCGGCCTGGCGAATGACCTTGGGTGGTCGCAAGAGTCGGATGTAGTGCATGGCGGCTTCTTCCCAGGAGAATAAGAGAGAATAATAATAATCGACTATGAGATGGCCCTTGACGGGCAGATGTTGTGCTATGTTAGGGCCATTGTGGATGATTTATTAGGTGAGGTTCGAAACCCGAAGCTAGGTTTCACTGCGGATGTGGCTTAGTCATCGTGCCATGAGGAGAGATCAAGGCCGAGGTGTTGGTTTCTGGGAGTGTAAGTGTAAAAATGAGTCAACTCGGGGCTTATCATCAACATTAAACATGAACCTGATGCCTAGTTGATTGTTCGCTCTGGTGATCTGCAGAGTGTGGCAGCAGTCGGAGGCCGCCGCTGACATGGCGTCCTCGGCGGTGATCCCCGGGCTGCTACATAGCTACTTACATTGGTCAAAGGAGCATACTCTCAACTCTGCAACCTATAGCTGCTTAAAACCATCTTCAGATCAATCACTTATAATGTCTTCCAGTTCCAAAGACACCCTATCCACTCTTCTTCGCGTAATCGAAAATGACATCATCCCACTGACCCAGGCCGGAGTGGCCTCCGGCTCCAAGGTCTTCGGCGCCGCCATCCTCTCCCGAGAGACCCTCGCACCTCTCACAGTCGCCACCAACGACGAGCGCGCCTCGCCCCTCCTCCACGGCGAGATCAACTGCATCCAGCAATTCTTCACCCAGGACTACCCGGACCCGGCCACCCGGCCCGACCCGCGAACCGACTGCGTCTTCCTGGCCACGCACGAGCCCTGCAGCCTGTGCCTGAGCGGCATCGCCTGGTCCGGCTTCCGCGAGTTCTACTACCTCTTCACCTACGAGGACAGCCGCGACCTGTTCGCGATCCCGCACGACATCGACATCCTGCAGCAGGTGTTTCGCGTGCCGGGCACCGAGGCGCCGGAGCAGGTGGAGCGGCGCGCGCTGTACAATCGGGAGAACAACTTCTTCACGGGGCGCTCGTTTTTGAGCTTGGTGGAGGAGCTCGGGGCAGGGAAGGAGGAGAGGGAGTATTGGCTTTCGGAGATTGAGCGCGTGAAGGGACTGTATAATGCGCTGAGTGAGACGTACCAGAAAGGGAAGCAGGCCGGAGCGCAGACATCTAGCGCTTGGAAGTAGGGCTCGACAGATATGAATGATATGAAGTTCTTCTGTTATTAAAAAAAAGTGTGGAACTGAGTGAGATTTTGGTATTATTTAAATCAATCTTCCATGATCTCTCAAAGCCCTGACTATACTTTTCACTCACAATGACATAGCGTGTCCCCTGTCTCTCCTCCCAGTCCCTTGGCTGGATTTTTCCGTTGGTACCGGGAGTGAGTTTTCGGCATCAAAATCTTCATTCCATGTGTTGGGCGGCTCTCTTGACTAACCGATTGTCGCTTTGGCAGATACATAGTCGAGGACCTGCTGCTGCTCAGGCCCTCTTCGGGATGCGTCCCGGCCTCGGGGCGACGAGCGTCAAGGGTGTTAACGTCATGCTCAACTGGTGAGATACTTTTCTTTCCTTCTTTTCTCTATGGTTGTGGTCTAATGAATTAACTTTTCCAAATAGGAAGTGGGATACGGTAGGCGGCTTCGCCCGTTCGGCTGCAGAGTTCAAGGTCTGGCGCAAGCACTGTACGGATCAGCAGAAACTGCAAACAAGACTTACGACGTAAGATAACTCTACAATTTGTGCACGGTGTTTTGCAGAACTAATAATCTTCATACGCAGCGTCCTTTGAAGCTCATCTACCGCACTCATTTTTGGCCAGTCAAGGACCAACTGAGTCAGGTGTTTGAAGCGTTCGTGGTTCGGATGGAATCTTTTGGGTTTCAAGCGAACGAAAGTCCATTTCGCAGAGACTTGGTAGAAACACCGTCCAAGGGCACTGATAGATCTCTGGACGAGTTTCTGCACTCAGTCTTTGCCTTGCCCGTGAAGTCGTTGCCCTCAACTGGCGGCCAGTGGCTGGATTTCGATGACCGATAGATTGAAGAGTATATGGACAAGATTGGAAAGCCCCCCGTTCTCAACAGCAAAGACGGCTTCGAGGTGTAAGTGCAAGGATATATACACCAACACAGTGCTGTGCAGCCAAGTCCCTACTTATTGACCATCTCGTTCGTGCACTGATTACACGCCAACCGTGAGAGAAGAGCAGCAGCCCGACGATGTCCGGGGCCTCCAGGCGTACCACGACTGGTTCTACCAGTACGTCATGCCTCCCGATCAGGATGGATACTCGCACGCCATCATGGCCTTGCCCTGGACGACCGGCGAGCCAGTATATCGCGATACGCACAAGACGGGGCTGCCGCAGTTCTCGGAAGCGGGCGTCTTTTCCTACAATATCGGGCCGTACGCAAAATGCCCAGCGCTAGTCTCCCAGGTATGTTGGCAGCTTTTGCCTCTGACTTGGGCATCCATGGACGGGCGACTGCTAACCCGGGCGTAGTTGGCAGCATCCCCTACATCTCCAGGGACACGGGAAAGGAGGAGCGGCGACCGGCTGCGCTGGGACTCGTGAGCGCCGAGGGTAGTGATGTTATGCTCACTGATTTGTCAGCAAACTTTTCGAGAGCACAGATGCAGTCGCTACGAACAAGGGCGGATTGAGCTTTAGTTGGATTTGGAATCCGAGCCAAATTGAGCTTTAGTTGGATTTGAGATATGGGCTTTCGAAGGAAGACTGCTATTACTGTATGCGTACGAACACCATCTTCCATCCATGGCACGTACCGTTGAATGCGAAATTCACATGCGGTAAAATAATACGGTACAAGACATGGACTGAACATACACACCGTCTCTTATTCTTCTCTTATTCTTCTCTTATTCTTCTCTTATTCTTCTCTTATTCTAGGCAACAGCAGTGATGAGGAGTGAGGTGGTGGTTATTACGTAGATGGATGCCTTGGACGCGGGGAGAGAGTAGTGTAATCACTCCGCCGTGATGAGCCGAGGACCGCACTGAATGAAGTCTTTGCAACGAGCGTATACAAATGACGGGATCAAGCCCCTTTGCTTCCGCTCATTCTTAGCCGTCACTACAAAAAAGAAACAAGTATTGAACATTCAAGATCCCAGCCTACGTTTCTCTCGTCCCTCCCTCCCTCCGACTTCACCATGACGTCCCGCTTCGCCTCATCCGACTTTGCGCCGCCCAAGCGCGCCGTCCCGACGACGCGCGACACCTCCCTCGCGCCGTGGCTGCGCACCGTCACAGCGGCCTTTGGCGGCGGCATGGTCCTCTTCTTCACGCCCATCCTCATCCTCCTCCCTCTCCGCGTGCCCGTGCCCCCCGCACTCGCCGCGCTTGTCCGCTGGGGCCCCGGCGGCGGCGGCGCGGAGCAGTACGAGGAGATGATCGCGTCCATCTACGTGGTCTGGGGCGTCTTCCTTTTGCGTGCCGCCGCCGCCGAGCACGTCAGCGAGCACGCGCTGTTCCTCGACTTCACGGCGTGCGCCAACGTGGCGCACATCGGGTTGATGACGCTCATGGCGGTGGTCAACGTCGGGGACCGGGTGCACCTGGTCGGCGACGTGCTGGCGGCATGGCTGGTCCTCGGCCCGTTCGTGTACATCTGGGGCTCGGTGAGGCGGGAGCATGGCCGGCGCCGGCAGCTCCCGTGAATGGAAACTCCGGAGCCGGGCCGTCGTCATCAGAGTTGGTGCCTACATTGCGCGTTGGGATCTTTAGCACGGAGCGTCTTCTGAAAAGAGTTAGCTCATCGTGTCTTGCAGATTCTATTTTTCTACTATTATACGCCCCCTCCTCAACATGGCATGGGTCTTGCGACGGACTCTTGAACAACTCCACAAGTGCCGTCATTGGAGTGGCTTGCATGCGTTCATGACTTTTTGGGTCCAGGGACACTTGTTCACGCGCCCCGAGTGTGATTGCCAGTTTCATCGTTATTAGGTCATCTATAGAAAATCAAGGTTTTTCTGCTTCCACCAACGGAAGGTGTCTGTCAGAACCTACCAAACGCCCACCTCCCCCTCTCTCTTGGCGTTTTTCTCTCCAAGCACCTACTGTAGCTGTCCGTTCCCATCCACGGGCAGCGAACGAGCTTGCAGCAATAAGCGATGGCTTGCCGCATGGCTGACTGTGAGCAAACTATCTGCGAGTCCCCGCCCTCGGCTCGTGCCCCCGGTTCGGCACCTACTGGTAGCCTGTAGGCTATTTGGTTGGGCAAGCCTCAACTGAAGCACTAGAAACTGGACCGGCATGGTTCCTGATTCTAGACGGGGTTTTTGATGATGTTTGCAAACCATGGTTTCGGGGGGGTGGTCATTAAAACCCTCAAAGAGTAGGTACCTCCATGTACAATTGTCCCTTTTTTCTGCAACAAGATCTTGGAACTTTTTGCGAGACATCCATCTCACCTTGTCTAAGATTGCGGCTGAAAAAAAAAAGAAAGCCAAGACAAACCAGGTGAGCTGAGTGATTCGTTGTGACTACAATCGTTGCCGCCGAATGTAACAGTGACATGCATCACAAGGTCCATCACAGTTGGTAGTATTCTCTCTGCGACAACTCAGCAAAAAGCAGGCTGCAGGTGGCTCTCAATAAGACAAACCACAAAGTCATAACGGGGCGAATTCGGCCTTGTCCGGTGACGTTTGTAAGCATAGAAGAAGCAGAAGAAGAGAGAAGAAGAATAAGCAAAAAAGGGTGGTATGCACGCCAGTCTGCAGAAAGGGATCTGGCTTCATCAGCATGCATGCCGCCCCCAGCCCCCAATTTCTTGACGCCGTGATACATGATGCGCTGTAATTTCAGCGCCTTAAATTTGCTCCTGCAACGTTTGATTGCTTGTTCATCAAGGCATGCGCTCGGTATACGAACACACTCATGCGAGTTTGTCCCAAAAAAAGCGAACAACCAAGTCAGCCATCATCGAGTCATGCCCCGGCCGCGGAACAAGCAAGAACGTGCTACAGTAACTATGTAACTACTGCGCGCGAAAGCATCCGCCCGCCGGGGAGCTTGCGGGCGTCAAAGAAAGCATGTTCCTCTTTCCTCCCCTCTACTAACCAGCTAACTACGTTAGTTGGAGGGCTTGCTTGTTGGGCGAGTTAATGCAGGTGATGGACAGCCACGCAGCCACTTATGCAGGTTGGGTTGGATCTTCCTTTTCCCCTCATGAGAAAGGAGGGGGGGGGGATGGACGGCCAACGAAATTCGCGCCAACAAACCAAACCCAAAGAACAGGAAAAAAAAAGAAAGGTCGGTGAATGCGTCCTTTGTTCCAAGAAAAAGAAATCCGCGGTGAGCACGGCGCCGCGTGATCAGACCGTGGCGAGACAAAGGAGGACAGCTGTCAAAATCGTGTAACGCGCCCGGCGTCGAATCATTTTCCTAGGACTTCACACCCATTCAACCGTTCGACCGAGCGACCGCCGACTTGCCTGTGCCTTTTTAGCCACCGCTCTGACTGGCTGTTCCGGCTCGGGCCAGGCACGGACGCGCGTGCCGGTTCCCCTTTTTCTCTTATTAGTGCGCCTGGAGCGATGGTGTTGTGGTAATTCGAGCAAACCAAACTTTTTGCGACTTTCCAAGTATAGCAAGCGGCTAGAAAGAAGAAGGCTGGAGAGGAGGGGGGACGCAGGCAGCCACCCGGGTGAGAAAGGGAAGAAAAGGGGGCGGGAGCAAAGACATTTTGGTTTTTTTCTAGAGGCCTCTGAAACATCGGCGGAAGAAGACGCAAAAAAAAAAAAAGAGAGAGAGAGATCACACGGACACTTTTCATTCTTGGATTCACGTACGCCCTTACTATCTTTCTTCCCAGCCAGCAACACTGCCGTATTTACAGTGGCTGTCAATCTTGTCCTCTCTGTAGGGCTGTCCGTAACTGTTAGTCGCTGGGTATCCGATACTTGCCCCCCCTACCTCCGCGAGACCGGAGCCGGCGGCGCAGCCGAGACTGCGCTGTCTCACTTTTTTTTGTCGGCTGGACCTAGTTGAGAGCCTGGACGCGAACTCAGGAGGGGCGTGCAGATGGGAGACGCGAACCTTGTTCAAGGGAGGGAGAAGAATTCGCATCGAACCATGCTTCTTGACCACGCTCGCTCCTCTTCTCCCTTTGTCCTTTTTTTTTTTTTTTTTTTTTTTTCA